AAAACCAGAAATATTTACCTGTTGCAACAGTTTCCTTCAAATCTAGTTGCACACGCTGCATTTGTGCAAACTGATGCAAGGCAGATACTGGGTTTATCTCCCCACGTTTATATTTTAGTATAAACTCCTTTGGTATTTTCTTTGGAAGAAGTGAAGTGATTGGAGGTGGATGGGCTGCTTTGGAACATAGCAAGTCTGAAACATGACCTAAAATATATTTGTTAAATTAAGATGTTAGTGTGTAGTAAGCTAAAAGCAATATATAAAAGTAAAATGAAAGTGTGAGAATAATATTGCTGCATCTCAACAAAGGCTACCTGGAAGATTAAGCAATTTGCATTTTATTCTAATTGAAGAGGTTGTAAGTAGTTTTGGTAACCCTGTAAATGTTAGTGACTGCCCCTTTAACGGCACTCGGACTTGTTCCTTGACTAGTAAACCTGATAGTCTCTGAAGTCAAACCCAGTCACATGTAAACCCAGAACCAAAGGCCATAATTTCCAAGAATACAAGTACTTCCAGAGATTATCTGATTTAACAGATCAAAATCTATTTCATGGCATACAAAAATAGCAGAAGCACAAGCCATAGTTCTTTACTACAGTATCACAAAGGGCAATAGAGTTTTTGCCTCATGCTGTGGGCCCTCAGGTCCATTTTAACTGAGTATGCAGGTGCTTAGGATACAGCACTGGTGTTACCCTGTATCTACACTAGAAAAAAGACTGGACTTTAGCATGGGTTATCTTAGCCTGATCTAAACTTGATTACTTTTCCTAAGCAAGACACTGCCCAATTATCCAAGTATGTTTTGAGCTTTAAGCACAGGAGAAACATTTTTCTCCAAAAAGTCACAAAAATGTTATTATGTTCAGTTCACAAATACACATAAGCACCTGCCACATGAAATAAATGCTGCATCTAAATTATACAGAATAAGAGTTCCTCTTCAGTTATAATAAACATATTGATAGACAAAAGACTCAGAAATAAGACTACCTGCTAAAATCTTGAACTCCCTCATTTGAAAGTTACATGTGCGGGGGTCAGGGAATTTGTGACTATCAAACAAAACTGTAGTTAAAATTCTCAGCTTTTTCTACAAAAGATGACGCACACAAAGCCTGTTATATACATGTTGGTGCACTTTATATGAAGTGCTGTGTACACATTATAGACCTGATGAAAGAATAAACTCTAGATGGGCAGACCCTTGCACCCACATGGATCCTCAACTGCAGGTTCAAGGTAGAAGTTGCCCTAAAACAAGAGAGATGGGGACGAAGGCAGAAAGCAGATTAGTCAGATGAGAGGTAGCATTAGCTTAGTGGGCTGTAAGGATGAGGATTCTACACCTCTCTTTTACAGAAAAGCTATTTCTGAAAAGCTATTTCTGAAAAAGTGTTTGTAGTTATTCAAGTTTATTATGATGAAAATTCCCTGTACTTCCACCTGTAGAGTCACTCAGTTTATACACACAAATTCCATGGATGTTACATGTGATGTTAAATCTGAATAGGTTGCATCTCTTTAGTTACACCACTGCTGGATAATAATTAAGAAACAGTCAAATAATATGTTTACTGACATGTACAAGTAAAGAGGAAAAAGATCAAAATTAGTTAAAGTTAATAGTTCTAACCTTTTATTTGCCCTCAATATCTTATTTTTTTAAATTGGTAAGTAAAATATTTTTTGGTAAAAGGCAAGTAGATGGCATGTCTAGACAGGTTAATTTTCATTACAATTTTGCAAAGCCATTTGTACTAGTGTTGAAAGGCCATTCCTAGAAGAAAATCAACTTAATAAATGTAAAGACAATACCTGTGATTTGTGTCACCTTATGTGCTGAATTTGGCATGTTGTAATTTTCAGAAGATGAAAACATCAGGCCCATATTCACAGGGTGTGGAGATGGCTGAGGAGGGACTTGAGGAGGCGGTTCAGTGGGCAAGTTCTTTTTTAGCATCTGAGCAAAACTGGGTACTCTGGAACTTCGAAACCACTCATTGTTGCTAGCCATTTTTCCATCTACCTACAAGCCAAATTTAGCCAACAGGTATTTTTAAGGCTGTTGAACATTAGCATAGCATAGCAAATCTGGACAGTTTCCCCACAAATTAGTTTTACATGTTTTACGGCTCCTGATTCTTTCTGTTAATAAATAAAGTTACTAAATTCAAAAGCACACTAATAATAGTTGAGACCCAAACTTACAGATGGGGGGAAACAGAACATAGGGAGAGAATGGCAACGCTAACAGTGAGCTAAGAACTTTCTCCCCTTCCTTGCAACCACAATCTGAAAGGCAATTGCCCTGCTGAGTCCCAGGTGCCCTAGATCAATAGTCATAAAACAGGAGTCCAGGGCCCCATAGAAGGCCACGAGCAGATTTCAGGGGGGCCTCCAAGCAGGGCCAGCATTAGATTCACTGGGGCCCAGGGCAGAAAGCCAAAGCCCCACCGCATGGAGCTGAAGCCAGGTCCCTGAGCCCCACCACCCAGGGCTGAAGCTGAGGCCTAAGCAATGTAGCTTTGTGGGGGCCCAGGCAATTGCCCTGCTTGCTACCCCCTAATGCTGGCCCTGGCTTTTATATGCAGAAAACTAATTATGTGGCACAGGTGGGCGGTGGAGTTTTTATAGCATGTTGGAGGATGGGGGGAGGGGAGGTTCAGAGGTAACAAGAAGGTTGAGAACCCCTCCCCTAGATTAGAAGAGCAATGGAAGCAGAAACTCCAGACGGCTGCCCAGGCTCAGCAAGGTAGAGCCCCACGTGGCTGGTTTTCACACTGGTTCAGGCTCTAGCCCCTTTGGGTCAGGCAAACGGGACGGGAAGGCTCCTTCATCCCACTGACGGCAGCCACCGGGACGGGCCAGGCTCCCCATGGGAAGGGATCCCAGCCTGACGCCATCCAACCACCCGCGCATTGGAGACTAACGGCGATGGCAGCGCCTGGCCAAGACTCCCGGCGGCTTCCCCGCAGCAGGTGCTTGTATCAGTCCCACCCCTCTGCAGGGCGGGCGCAGCGACGGGAGCAAGGGACGTGCAGTGGGGCTGCCTCCCAGTGGGGAGCGCAAGCCACTGGCTGCACCAGATGAGGATCACCCTGCAGCCCCCTCTCCGGAACACGGACTCGGAGACAAGGCCATGTACCGCGACTGAGACTTGCCCCAGAACCGCCCCGGGGCTCTGCCCGGTCGCACCGCGCGAGAGGGACCCCCCGCAGTGATTTCAGTTTTCCCCGTCTGCTCCCTCCGTCCGCACCGACGCGCCTGCTCGAGGCCGCTGCCCGGGACAACGAACAAAAGGGGGTGCGTGACACCCCCGCCCCGAGGCTGCTTCTCCCCACTTGGCCGTCAGCGGGGCGCGAGGGCGTCTCTCAAAAAGCCTCGCCCTCAGATCACGTGATCCTCCGACCAACCGCCGCCGGCCTAGCTCGTGCTGCCGACAGGCCTGGCTCGAGGCGGCTCAGTGCGGGGACGGGGAGTCGGATACGGACTCGGCCTAGGTCACAGGGGCTCCGTGTCCCTCGCCTCACGGGGGCGCACGCCGCATAGAGACCGCTAACGTCATCCCCCCGGCTGTGCAGATAGTCCGGGCGGGCCGCCCGGGGTCCTTCTGCAGCCCTCTAGCAACGAGCGGCAGGAGCAAACTGGAGCCCCGAGCGGGCGCGTGCAGTATGACCGGCCAGCGGCCGCCCCTCCCTATGGGGGCGACTCGGTGGAGCTGGCGGCCCTGCGCTCAGGTGCTTTGTCATGCACCTGCCTCCTCTCGGGGGAGCTGCACTCTGCTTCCCGAAGCAGCACCGCACCGGCGGTGGCCTCCCGCCCCAGCCACGCCCCTTCCCCTATAGCGGCCTCGCAGCGCTCATTGTCAGCGACTCCGAACCGGCCTCGAGGAGGGAGGAGTGAGCTCGGGCGCCGAAGCCCGGCCGCTGGGAAGTGGCAGCGCCGGGGCTGTTATGCCTCCTCTCTCCCAGGCCCAGGGCCGCTGTGTGCACGGGACAGCCCCTGGCGTAGCCACTGTCGCTGGTCCCCGTCTAGACATTTTCCTGTGTCTCTGGAGCCTGGCTCTTGAAAAAGTAGAATGTAAAACTAACCCCCCCACACACACACCTTTGGCAAGAAGCACCAGCCTCTGCCTCGCTGTGGGAAAGCCCCACGCTAGTGACTTTTAAAATCCCAAATTTGGACATAGGAAAACTTAGAACAAGCGGCCTCAAAAGTGACCTAGTTTTCAACTACACGCGATTCAGGTGATGATATCCAGAGCAGGGGGGTTTACATATGAAGAGGGGAAAAAACATTTTAAAGAACAAATATTTAACAAAAATACTATAGAAATGGGGATTACATTGACTACATAAAAGGTACAAGTACCTTGTCTTTCATTAGATGAACAAGTGTATTTGACTAAAGGAAACATTAGGAAGTCAGCTGGCCAGAAGAGCTATTTTTGGTTTTGTACAGCTGGGTGTGCATGAACAGACATTTAATTTTGACTTTATTCACATTGCACTAATGAATGTTGGGCTTTAAAAATTTATAACAGATGCAAGCAAAAGTGTTAAACTACACACATATAGAACACCATAAAGAGTTCTTAGTAATCCTGAGAGGAGCAAAGTAATTTGTGATGCTAGAAGTCTTACTGAATAAAAAGTGTCTGAAAAATCATGGCTTCCACAGGTTGTTGTAGGCTTCCAGATGGTGTAAGAGATTTTTATTTACTGTATTAAACGCTCAGATTTGCATTGGATAGCTTGTCATTTTTCTATTTCATTATTAATGAATGTTCCCCTAGCTCTGCCTTTCCCCATTCCATTACAGCTGAAGACATTATAAACTACAGACTTTTTTCTTAGTACTTGTACAATTAAAACTCTGTAATGTAATGTGTTTCCAGTGCTTGAATTAGGGGACATAGGTGTGCATGCCCCACTAACACTTCTTACTGCTACTTTTTGAGAATAAGGAACTAAAAAAAAAAATTACAACACAGTTACTGTTTTTTATTACAAGTGTAACAAACTTAAAATGATTTTTAGCACTATGACAATCAGTTCCATAAATTATATACATACAGGAATTTACACAAGTCTACATTGACAAAAAAAGCCATTAACAGAATCACATTAACAAGGGTTTGTGTGTTATGGCCAATAAAAGTTATGAAAATTCACAGTTAATCTGCACATATTTTAAAGATGCAGGAATCATATTGCACATAATAAAACTGTTAATGCTAAACAGCAGATTTACAGTATTTCACCTATTCTTTCACAGAATATACATTGGTCATAATCATGCAATACTTTACCACATACAGAATGGTATTGTATACCACTGTAAACAGTCACTTACAATGTAAGTTTTAAATATAGTAGCAAAAAAGCTGTTAGGTTTCTTTTTAAATCATACTTAAAATAAATTCTTATTATACAATAAAATATCAGTCTCAGACAGAATGGAAATAAAATTATAGTTTTGTCACAAATATCTTCAGTGTTCTTCCTTGTCCTTTCCTTTCTTTTCTTTTTCATCTTGTAGAGCAGTACCAAGTTTTTTGATAAGGACTGACAGAACTTTGTCCAGTGGGTCCATTACTCCCCGTTGAAGCCACTTAGGAATAGTAGTCCTGGCATGATGAAAGCCCAATTTTTGAAGAATGTAATCAACACCCACTGGGTCAATCTTTCTTCCAGTCCAAGAGATTAATCTAAAATACCCCCCAAAAAACCCCAAAAGGTTAAATTTCTGTGTTAAGTGTAAAACTCAGCTCAGCGTTAAATATGGCATAGAAACTAGAACCTTCATCACAAGTTAACACTGGCACTGTCAAATCTTAAACTTTTTTACTTCTAAACTGTGAAAGTCCAACAGGCATTTCTTTCAGTCTCAGCTAACTTATGTAAATAAATTTTGTATTTAGACTTTTTTGGAGGGACTAGATGATTCAGGAGATCACAGATGTAATACGTTATCTCTGGATCCTGTGTCAATTTGGACCATGTTATGGTTAACCAAAAATGGTTATCTGATAGCTGTTTTATTGGCCTGGATGGACTGAGTTGCTGGTCTCACAGTCCATTCTTAGCAGGCAAGTGTTCACTTATCAAAACATTATAGTTAGCAGTAATTGGTGCCCTTGTTAGTCTCAGCAGAGACCAACAACTGAAGAAGGCATGAAGACTACACAATTACCCCCTCATTCTCAGAAGTGATTCCTGTTGGTTAAGGATGAAGTGCATATTTAGGGCAGGGGGTGCCTGTACACCTGCTACTGCATCTGTTGTATGGGAAGTTTCATCAGGCATATGGCAACTTTTAATGAGACCTACATTCATTCTATAATAACTTTTAAAAAATAATACTTAATAGTTGCATTCCCATTGTGAAAATGGAGGGAAAAAAAGTTTTCCCTTCCTGCATGAAAAAAGGAGTTTCTTAAATTACATCAGTAGAGAAAGCAGGGGATCTAACTAGCTGACAACAGAAAGTGAATATTTGAAAGAGACATTTCTCATTTGAATGTCTGCCTCAAATTATTTTTATAGCCCCCAGAAGTGTTATACATTTTAAAAATTTAAACAACCAATAGATCCCTGACCCCAACAGCTTACATTCTCAATAGAAAACATACTGACAGAATAGAAGAAGAAAGGTTCTAAGTTCTTTTTTTAAATTGGGAATTAAAGGTTATTTGAAAAATAGCAGAAAAAGGTAAATGACAAGTTAATGTGTGGTCCTTAATGAGCTGCATTTCGCTTCGTCTTGACTTTGAGCACCTGAGAACCTTACTGTTGTGTGTGCAGGAGTTCTAAGCAGTATAACTTTCAGTGCCTTTATCCAGTGGCTACTCTTGAATTGGGCTTGTCAGCCCTAAGTGAATTCATTAGGCACCTGACTAGACCTCTTACGTGCACACCATGATCCAGCGGATCAACGGTTGTCTATGGTGAATGATGGTATTACCTAGCATTTGTTACCAAATGGCATTTCATATACTGTAGCAGGTGTCTTCCTATCATCATTTAATAGCCAAAGCAGAATCTGTGATAGCTTCCATAAGGCTAGATCCCATTAGTAGGTTAACTATCAAATTAAAACATCTGTGGTTTGAAGAATAGTCTCTGCAGATAATACTATTACTCAGCCAAAATAAATGTAAAATTGAATATACTGCAAAATAAGCCTGCTAATTACCTAAGTGTGGGTTCCAGATGCCAAGTATTGCACATAAATTCTCTCCAGTCTACAGTAGTGTAAGTAATGCTTTCTTCTGCATCTCTCTCAGAGGAACTCTCATCAGGCAAACTAACTGGACTTTTCTGTCCTGGTCGAGTAGACAAAATACGAGGTGGAAAGATGGCTACAAAGCGGGGAGGAAAAAAGTAAAATTTCATTCATGGGCATTTATTCAAGGCTTTGCTTGGACTTGGTAGTAAAGTAAGTGCTGATTTCATTCTTATCGTGGACACATCTTACTTCAACAAGCATTAGGAATACAATTTTTAAGCTCCTTTAACCTCCTTTAAGAGCAAGTTACACAACGTCAAAATAAACTCTCAACATCCTCAAGTCTAATGAACCTTAAATACCTTAATAATGTAACGTTTATTGTGCATGTATATTTTAAAAAACTATTCACACTGAATGCAAATATCTGTGCAAAACATTGGATTTCACACACACCAGACACCATATTTATGACTTTCACCACATTTGTAATTCACCTCTCTTAAACACATGCAATACCTTGCTGTGGACATAGTAGCAAAACGAGGGCAGACACATGCATGGAATGAAGCAGCAGGCCGCAACTTTTATTAAACTTTAGCACAGGGAAGGAGTGCTTGCTGCCCATGATCCATACTGTCCTATACCCGGCATTTACTTGGTTCCAGTGCAGGGATTACAGGCCTCCTAAAACTAAGGTTAAGATTTTGTCATGGTTATTTTTAGTAAAAGTCACGAGCAATAAACAAAATGTCATGGCCGTCCATGACCTGTCTGTGACTTTTACAAAAAATAATTGGGGGGGGGGGGGGGGGGGGGAAGAGGGTCGGACAGCCGTAGATAAAAGTAAGTTACCTCACTTATGGCCAAGTTCTCATACACAAAGATGAAGTTTTAATGTTAACAGTTTATAAACTAATCAGTTTTTTAAAGTTTGTTTATTCTTTAGATTTTTGTGAGCTCAAGGAAGCTAGGTTTCAACTTTCTACCTTCAATCATTTTTGTCACTGTACATAAGAAATACACAAGATTGATTCGTTATTTTTATATTAGTTTACATTTGCTAAAGATTAAAGGACTTGGTATTTAATAAACTAATACACAGATCTTCTATAGCATTTTTCACTTACTGCAAGGTGGATAAAAATTGAGAATTTTTAAAAAATAAAAAATTGTTTTTACTTAAATCATTTAATTTGCTTATTCAAGTTTTTTTTAAATATAAACATATTTAAAATAAAATCTGAATTTAATACAAAATAAGTTAAGGCCTAAACTTATTAAAATCTATTAAAACATTTTAATAAAAAATAAATATGCTGAATCCATGAGCCGCTATGAAAAACTGAGTTAAAGGTTACTTTTCTATATAAAGAAAGATGTTTTTTCCTGATTCTAACTTGAGGTCAAGCTTTATAAATATGGCACAATAGGTTGTGTACTTATTAAGGGCTTGTTTTGTTTAATAAAAATACATTTTGTATGCTCTTTTGTGCATGTAATTAAATTTCAGTTACCACCCTATTACAGCTTGACACAAGTCATTTTCTAACATACTAAAATGTACAATTAATAAGAAGCTAAAAATAATAACCTATATAATTGCTTAAATAAATATATATAGTTATAGTGTACCCTCCTAGATAGCAAAGAGATGTACCAAATCTAGTGTAAAGGTGCCATTTACTTGAAAATCAACATTTTAATGGTTATCTCAACCAATGAGAATGCACCTTTCTTTAGAAAATAAAGTACAAATGGAAAACTTGACTAAAATCGATTATTTAAATTGAGACTTTCTACTTGGTTATTTAAGTCATCTTGATTTAAGTCAGTCCACCTTGATCTACAGCTTTACAAAGAAAATAAACATATGGCAAAATTAAGGCAAAACTAAGGCACAGAAATAAAGTAGTTTGCCCCAGGTCACACATCTGATAAGTTGCAGAGCAAGGAACAAACTCCAAGTTTCTTGACTTCTAATCCAACAAAACAGCCAAGCAAGACTCAGACATTTTTGTTAGTATAAGAACAAATCTCAGGGCTTGTCTACACTATTGCTTAAGTCGACGTAACGTATGTTGCTCATGGGTGTGGGAAAGCCACCCCCCTGAGTGACGTAAGTTACATAGACTTAAAGCAGTATCTACACCACGCTATGTTGGCAGGAGAGCGTCTCCCATTGACATAGCTTCCGCTTCTTGTTGAGGTGAAGTAATTATGCTGACAGGAGAGTGCATCTTCACCAGACGTGGTGCAACTGCGCAGATGTAGCGCAGTAGTGTAGACTAGCCCTCAGTCATTAGCAGTGCTCTTTGGAAGACATAGCTCTGTAATCTCAGTTACACTGTTAGGGTAGGTTTTTCAAACTCGCTCAGTGTTGTCTTAATTCTAGTCCCATTGATTGTAATGGGAGCAGAATTAGGCCAACACTAAACATTTTGAAAACCTAGCCCGTAAAAAGCAAGCCTTCATTTAAACAAAACAAAATTTACTTTATCATATTAATAGCAATGTATAAAAATAAATTCATACATAAGTGGCTTAATATAAGATGGTTCATTTATATTACATCATAAAGAGTTTTTTTTTTAAACCACATACCTTTTTCTTTTTCTTTAAGATAAGCAGACACCAAGTCATGCAGAAACATGATTAATTCAGCATCCATCGTCACACAAATGTGGTCTGTGAATTCAGTTACTACACTGCACTCCACCGTTGGTTTAACACTGGTGTCTGGACAAAGAAAAGTAATTTTAGCATACTGTAAAGTGTGATATATATACAATCTGTCTCAATTTTTCATATATATAACACATATATATTACACAAAAGACCTTAAAAGAATTGATGTTGCAAAGTCAAGCACTCAAAAATTAGGAAATGCCAGAATTAAGGTTGCCCAGCTTTGCAAACTTAAGATTCTTTTTATGTATTTTTCCCCCCAATGCAATTTACATTTTTTAAAAGAGAATTCCATCATGTAGAACTATATTGACCCCAATTTGTGTCAGTGAACCATAACTATAGGCAGCTCTATCAGCTCCAAATATAATTGTAATGGACACTATTGGACGTGGAGGTCAAACATGCCTATTTGAGCAGCAGTGGAAAGGTTAACCAATGTAACGAGAGCCGATGTAAAATATGGCCATTTTGGCCAAGATAAAAAAAATGGAAACCTAAGGTAGGCTCCTCAATTAATGGTTTAGTTTTCAAAAGCGCTGAGGTCTCTCTGCAGTTAACTGGAAAGTATCTGCACTTTTAAAAGTTAGGTCACTTATTTTAGATGCCTGCCTTGGAGTCTCATTTTTTAAATGGCCCTTCTTTCTAAAATATATCACAAGTTAATCATATTAATCCATTTATTCAAAATTTTCATAGATGGTGAGGGTTTTCACCAGCCTTCCAAGGGTTTTCAAACAGTGCCTGGTCTCTAACTGGATATCAGGGTCCCTCAGGAATTAACATCAGAATTCACTCTAGGTTAGTTTAAGAAAATGAAGTAGCCAGTGTCCTTCTACCCAGAACTCCAACCATCTTCAGATTAAAATCCCAAAATTTGATCTGGTTCTCAGATTGTATTTTCTTGCATAGAAAGCCATTAGTCTGTCAGCTTTTCAGTTTTTAGGACACAAAGGTTAATTCTTCTCTCAGACCAATTTTACACCAGTGTAACACCATTTACTTCAGTGAAGTAAAATCTTTTAATTCCACTGCATGATCAGAATTGAAGTAATAGTTTTGAACAGTGAGAGAAAAAAAGAAAAGAAAAAGATGTCCATTGCACCTTGTAATGAAGGTTCCTGTGGCTCTTGAACATGAATGGATTTAAAATCCAATTGCATCCTTGGTAATGCGAAGATGGTTTCAGTCTCGTGGTTGTAACTGGATCCTCCTCTGAATCCACTTAACAAGCTTGAGCTTTTCACTGTTGTGCTGCTTTCTGTGTTGTTAGCATCAACGTTTCGAAGCAGGTTTAGTTCTATATGGATAACAGCAAATGCTGCAATTCAGCAATCTTTATTGAAAAGCCTTATCAGCATTTAAGGAGACAGATTTGCAAATGTTCTAGCCTAATAATGGTTTTGTTTTTCACTGCAACATGGTATTTCAATGTCAAGACCGGTCTCTCACTCCTAAGAATGTCTGGGCTGAGAACACTCTAGGAAGTACATTTATTCAGAGGTAAGGGTAATGTCTCAAATCACTCCCACAGCATCCTTGGGGCATTATTCTGTACTCCTTACTCCTTCCAGATAATTTTGCCTCAATAAAGAGAGACTACTAGGGCCCATACATCTTCACCATACTCATGTTTTCAACTACTTTTAAGAAAGCGTTCTAAAGAATGGATGGAAGACTGACAAATAATCATTTTGGTTTTTTAAGCAGTATATATATACACATGACTTTCATAACATTTTCTCTAGAAGCCACCACTTTAATTAAGGTTTCAAAACAATCTTTGTTGCAATCCCCTATTTTCAAATGCTTTGAACTTAGCACAACATTCACCTGAATTTTGGAAATTGAATGTGAAGATACTAATAATATATTCCCAATTATAATAAGTGTGACCACATTGCTGCACCCCCCACTCAAAGGAATAGTAGGGTGACCAGACGTCCTGATAAATTTTTCGGTGTTTGTCCCGCAATTTGTCCCGATATTTCACTCTGCTGGCAGCGCTCATCTTTTTTTTTGCTCCCCCCCTCCGTGTCCCGATATTTTGTTCCTCTCATCTGGTCACCCTAAGGAATAGTTCCAAAACTGGTTGAACTTTGAACCTTCAAGTTTGGTAGATACACTGTTCTGAGCAGGAAATAAACTGGTTTTGCAAACTGGCTACATATGTTTAATAGCCAGGACGGCATATAAGCAGTGAATAATTGAGTTACAGTAGAAACTTAGAGTTACGAACACCTCGGGAATGGTGGTTGTTCATAACTCTGAAATGTTCGTAACTCTGAACAAAACATTATGGTTGTTTTTTCAAAAGTTTACAGCTGAACATTGACTTAATATAGCTTTGAAACTTTACTATGCAGAAGAAAAAAACTCCTTTCCTTTTTTAGTAGTTTACGTTTAACACAGTACTGTACTATATTTGCCGGTTTTTGTTTTTGGTCTCTGCTGCTGCCTGATTGCATACTTCTGGTTCCAAATGAGGAATATGGTTGACTGGTCAGTTCGTAACTCTGGTGTTTGTAGCTCTGAGGTTCTACTGTATTAGCTCCACACTTAAAGATCAAAACACTATGCATGTGTGCACAGCTTGTTAAGTGCATGGTGCTTAGAAGTCTGATAAGCCTGAGGGATCTGATACTTGTAGCGCCAATGGAGAACTAGGCCAGAAGTCTATCTAGGTTTTTATATTGCCCCATACATAGAATCCAAGTATCTGTAAGAGTCTTGCTGTGTTTGTCAATGTTTGGGAAGCCCAAAGTCCACCTTGATTTGTCTCTGATTTCCTGGGTGAGGGGCAAAGATAGAACCTTTTAAAGTGAAAGCTTTAGAATAGAAGTTCAAACCTCACTTTTATTCTAGCATTACTTATGTGAAACTCTGCGGGACATGACCCAGTAACAGGGTTTCAAATAAGTGAGGTATGGATTATAGGGGTTCAGCTTTTCTACGAACATAAAATATCTATTCTTTTGAGCTAAACTCCTCTTTTTCCCTTTTAACTTCAACGGCTTTAAGTCAACATGTTCTGCAGTTGATTAGCAATCAGGCCAGAAATTAATGAATATGAATCTAACCTTCATTCCTTGTAGCAGTAACATAATTGAACCATTCTTTCACACTTGCAACCCCATGTGGTGGGTTTTCATGGCGGCGCCTTGTTATCTTGGTAATTGTTGCCATAGGACTTTCTAGGGCTCCACAGGGTTTGGTGACCATTGTATTATGACCCAAATGAAAGTCCAGTGTTTGTACAACATAAGTAGAATGCTCACTAGAACCTGTGTCAATGTAAAAAAAAAACAAAACATTCTGAAGAGAGTAATAGTATGATAGGGCTTGATCTTCCTATCACTTGTACAATTATAAATCAGATGTAACTCTAGTAAACTGATAGGGTAAAGCTAATGTAAGTGATAGGAGAACTAAAGTCTCCCTATTTATAGACAGAAAAGATTTATCAGAACAAGAAGGCTGTCTTCCTACCTTGGCAATATAAAGTCTCAAATAAAGGACATATCAAATATTATACTCAGCTAGGTGTTTTCCTTTATGCAACAGACAAAGCAAGAGGCAATATATTCTCTCTGGTACACCATCACTATTTTAAACATGTAGAAGCTTTTTGGGGAAAAGAACAATATTGATTCAAAGTATAGGAAAACTGCTTTGCTTGGTTAGTGATGGTCAATTATGGTTCAAGAAAAGGTTCTAAAGTGAAGGATGCATTAAGGTTTTAGTTACCATCTTCCCAAAATTTTTGTGCTTCTGTCCAAAATGCAATGTTGGGTTCTTCAAGGTGAAACAGTGCCCAAGATTTTGAACGGAAATTAGGTCCATGGAAGCATGCCAGTGTCATGTGATTTCCATGCAAGCTCATGGATCCTCCAAACTGCATTCCGTCTTCTGGTAAAGGAACCTGAAATAAGGATATGTGGCCCCCAGATACTACCTTCAAAACCCCTGGCCAGTGGCGATGATGGGCTGCATCCAGCACTAGAGGAAAAAACACAAATATAGAAAGGTCCTCAAGCTTGACCGTGAACTTTACAGAAGTGGAAGATACAACTGTAAAACGCCTGCTGGAATTCCATGTCTACTGAAAATCTGACTGTGGCTATACTAACTTTATACAGTCTATTTCACTTAAATTGTTTCAGCCTTGTCACATGCGAAGACAGAGGAGATGAAAAAAAAGTATCCAAAGAAACATACTTGAATATCAATAAAACTCATATTTCTTTTGATCAGATTAGGAGATGCCCAAGTTCATGTCTGACAAGAAGATAAATGGCTCCAGCAGTGACTATTGCTAGTCTTCATAGAGGCAAGTCTCATGAAATTGACCAAATAGCAGACAGTATGGAAAAAGATAATGTTAGCTGGTCTTTTAATTGCTTACCACCTACTACTGTGGGTCTCTAACCCTTGATTGGGGCCACTAGGCATTACTGTACTACAAAGAAATAAGAATAAGCAGCAAAGATTAATATAGAAAATTGTACTGGTAGCCCAAAGGCAACCCACATATACAAACTGTCAAAATGGATTCAACAATTACACAAAATGTGAAGAATAGGATAGTCTAAAAAAAGTCAGCAATAATAAAGAAATAATATACAGCTTTAAGGTTGGTTAGAAAGTTAGACGACAAACATGGACCAAATATATCAGAGTCGTAGTGCTACCCAAAAGGGCACAAACCTTACATTTACTGAAAAAGGTTACTCAAAACCATTGACAAGCATCACATATGTGTGGAACACAGTAACTATATGTGAGCTATTCAAACCAACAGCCAACCCACTACAGCATAACCTTTACCGGTAACGTGAGAGCCAAGAAAAAAACGCAGCACTGAGGACTAAGGTCAATGATGCAGGTTTGGAGGAAGTACTTCCATAAAAAAATGCAAAAATTTAACATGCAACACGAAGAATATTATGTACCTATTCTGGGAAGCAACTCTGGCCAAAAAATTACAGGATACAATTTTCACTATCGCAGATGCTGTGTAGAGTAGTCAGTGGATTAAATTACCTTGAACACTATACAAAAGAGATTTCTGATGATAGTATTCTCCTTTGATTTTTATAACTCATTCCTTCTTGTCCCGCCCAGTCCCAAACTCAACCATCCACATATTTGAACTGTGGTACTGAATAATATCAATTTAATAACTACTGTTGGCTAAACAGATGTATAAAACTGCTACTTATTTGAACATACAGAATTCCAGTGAGTATGGTGAAGGCGTGCCAATCGCTCTAGGATCAAAAGAGGGATACTAAAATGACATGAAATGTTCCCTGTTCTATCTGCCTTGTGCACCACAAGTATGTTAAAGTAGGTGTACACCAGATATTTTTAAATACTAGATATTTTAAAATTTCTTGTGTAGCAAGAAAGTCCCTAGATTCTTTATTGGTCATTAACAACTTCCATGTTTGGATAGGAGAAATGGGACCCTCACACTTCAGAGTGTTTAAATGAGGGCTAGTCAAAAATAGAATACGATTTTCATGAAAAGCCTTGGAAAAAAACAAATATTTTCCATTTTGCTTGATATTTTTCTTTTTAATATTTTTTATGAACATTTTTAAATGAACATTGGTTTAATTTGAATTTTTTTAAAGGCTTTTAATTTTTTGGGGTCCCCTCCCCACACGTTTTCACTTCTTTCGCCACTGGAAAAAGGAAGGGGGGAGGAGGAGAGGGAAAAAACCCTTTGAAAACCCCAAAACAAAGTTTTTCAAAATACAAGAGTTTTTGTTTTAGTGGAAAATTCATTTTTCATCTAAAAATCTGACAACAAAATTATCAGCCTACTTTTATATTTACCAAAAGAGTGTATATTCACAAGAAGAGTGCTGAACTTTATTTTTATAGGCAATCCCTGCCACAAAAATCTGTGGAAGATGTACTGAAGCTTTAGCGTGATATCTTGTTACACTAATATTAATGCTTTAAAATTCTATGGGACTTACTCTCACACATTAGTGTTTGCAATACTGGAAACCTAATTCTGTAAAAATCTCACCTATAAATGTTACTGTATAACTAAGCTTTTTATTTTTATAATACATACATTGCTCATGTGAGCTTTTCTCTATATTAGCCACTATCTTAGGAGGAAGATAAGGAACAGGTCCCCAGGTAGACAAAGCCCGTTTGCTGGTATCAAACTGCTGAGTAAAGAACTCCTGAAGCTTCATTCCTATTTTTATCAGGTCTGGGGTGGTTGATCTTGAAATCATCACTTGAAAGATATCCCACTTCAAGTCTCCATGGACAAATATCTCACTAGAATATAAAAAGAGTAAGAACATTCACCATAAATTCAGTTCATATTTGATTCAGTACAAAAAGGGACTTGTTTTCACTTTCCTAACCTGCATTATTTTAAATTTATTTTTTGTCATCATATATGATCTAGCAATTTTTTATGAAAAAATGCATATGTACTTTCTTTATTCTTTTGGATGAGATAAATGGACAGAACTAGATAGTGGAAACATTAAGTACATTAAGAAGTATTACCTTTTATCAGAAATACTTGAATCCAAGGTATTATATAGATTAACTTTCCATTCATCCTGCAGTTTAAGATCTGCATTACTGAAGATTCCCATAAGGATACTGGACCCCATATAGTCAACACGTGCTTCTGTAGAACCCATAGTAATCTGAATTTTGTGACTGGGTTGCTGGTTTGGATGTTCAGAAATATGAGCTGAAACAGAATAATTCCATATGGATATACAAGATGTTAAAAATAAAGGACCAGATTCTCTAATGAATCCTGACCCCTTTGTGCCACTCTGGTGGTGGAAAGGGGCTGGAAAGCCACTGAACTGTCCTAAGCATTGGGAAGTCCCCAAATTGGTATAGGACTGGCATATCCAGCTCTTACATATCCATCTTTCCTGCAGTTCCCAGCATGGGGGTGTTTGAGGAGCTATAGGGCACATTGGAGTGCTGTGTACTCTTCCAGTTCCCAACTGATAGAACACTTGGGGGCCACAGTCAGCCAGTGCAGGTTAAGAGCAGCCCTGGCCCTGAGGCAGAGAACCATCCCAGAATCAGGGAATTGCAACTGACTCCTGTACACCCTCCCCCACCCCCAAACTTTGCCCAGTGGACAATGGGTGCAGCAGGTGAGATTCTAGGCCATCTGTTTATATAATTAAATAAGTTCACATAGGAAAATTTTGTATTACATATGTGCTTTTGGCTTTTCACATTATGTAAAAAAGTTGACACTTCAGAACACTACACTTCTGTAGAATACAACTGCACTGGTGTAATTCGTAATGGACTTTGTATAGCAAAGTGTAAAACTTTTAGTCTTTCCAACTTACCCACCATCTCCAAGGTATTAACATCTATGGTACCTCCAACCACACCTCCTCTGGAATCCAACTGTGATCTTCCCAGACCAACAGACATGCTAATTTCACGGTCTCTGTTACTACCCACAGATAAACGTCCTTGGCTTTTCAAACCACTGGTAGTCCACCTGAAACAGAGATGAAAAGTGGCAATGCATGAGTACTTCCAATATTTCAAACTGCAAGGTACCATTGTAAGCAGAAACTGTTGAGATAGGCATAGTTTCTTGTTTTACTGCACAGTTGTTTTTCAGTCAGTGTTTGGGGCAAGAAAAATATATTTCCACAAATGAGAAAAGCCAAATGACAGAATAGTGCTGTTTCAGAAAGAACAGACACTTAAGGTGTGAGAACAAGTTACTGGATGTAATTCTTCAGATTAGGCATGCGCCATCTGTTGGAGCATTTCAACACTGGAACATGGAATGGGCAGAATTGCTAAGAGCATGGATCTAGTATACTCTACGGTAATCTACCTGTGGAGAATGAAGCTTTTTACACACAAAATTTGAAAATGTGGCTCCAAATGAAATGTTGCTTCCCCCCCTTCTCCATGAAGCAGAGATAATATAATATAGAAGGGTTGGGCCCAAACCCGGCAGAGAGAAAATCCACCTTTCCACACCTCTGTGCCTCTTATAAATGGTATTCTGATTTTCCCACATTGTCCTATACTGGTGATTTAGAAACCGACTCTCTGTAGAAATATCTATGCATATAATGTAGTGTTCCTATGGCCAGTGGCCTGCCTAGGATAGAGCAGACTATAATTTCCAGAGGGCACTGAGGCTATCTCAGATCCTAATTTATGTCAAGTTCCTGAAGTCTGAGTGTAGCCTCAGTGGCTGTTAACACTTACGGTCAGTTTCAATTCAAGCAGACCATAAGTCAGGAAATCATACAACACTACATTTGTTCACTAGGGGCATTTAAAGTGTAATCGTAGGATTTAAAGCTATACAAATACAAATAACCTAGAACAGTGGCTCTCAACCTTTCCAGACTACTGTACCACTTTCAGGAGTCTGATTTGTCTTGCGTACCCCCAATTTTCACCTCACTTAAAAACGACTCATTTACAAAAATCAGACCTAAAAATACAAAAAAGTGTCACACCACACTATTACTGAAAAATTGCTTACTTTCTCATTTTTAAGCTTATAATTGTAAAATAAATCAACTGGAATATAAATATTGTACATACATTTCAGTGTATAGTATATAGACCAGTGTAAAAAAACTCATTCTCTATATAAAATTTTAGTTCGTACTGACTCTGATAGTGCTTTTTATGTAGCCTATTGTAAAACTAGGCAAATATCTAGATGAGTTGATGTACCCCCTGGAAGACCTCTGTGTACCCCCAGGGGTAAGTGTACCCCTGGTTGAGAACCACTGACCTAGAAGACAGCAAGTTTTGAATGTTCTTAGGGGACAACTGTTTAACAGTCTTTTCCCCCAAGCAAATTAAAATATCAAACAAACAATCTGTTAATTCACCAATTTTTCTACTTACGTAGTATTGCCCATTACATTGCTCATATTCATTTGGACATTTAATTGTTTCAAATTCATAGCAAACACAACCAGAGTTTCCCATGGTGTCCCCTGCTGACTTCCAGCTTTATTTGATTTATTAAATGGTGTTGATGTTTTCGAGAGCGTATCTAAAAACAGAGGAAAGTAAAAATTGAAAAAGGCATTCCCTGGAGGAAAACTTGTAGGTTTTTAACATTAAAAGATGTTAACAGAAGACAAAACTGCCACTAGACTTAAAAGCACCACAGATGGAGAGGTTACTTACCTTAACAGTAATTTGAGTTCTTCAAGAAGTTTTGTCCCTATGGGTATTCCACTGTAGAACGCATGCATACCCATGTGCTCTCAACTGGAGATTGTAAAAAAGCAGCATCTATGTGTCTGTATAGAGCAGCACCTCGTGCTCCCAGACAAGGACATATAAAAAAAAAGCATGGATCTGCTGCTACTCAGTTTCTTATCAACCATGAAACCAAAGATGCCACAGCAACTGTATATGCCTATGAATGCTCCACTCTCGGAGGCCCCCAAGTAGTAACTAATGTGGAGGAGGGTGCTGAGGAGGCAAATCCAAAACAGTTCGGACAACTGTGTTACCAAAGGTAGCGTCAGCTCTGGAAGCAGGTAAGATAGTGTACTGCTTGGCAAACATGTGAACTGAAGACCAAGTTGCAGTCCTGCAGATCTCTGCTATGGGAACATCCTTCAGGAGGGGCAACAGAAGTGGAATGACACCCAGTGGAGTGTGCTGTTGCTCTGCGAAGGTGCTGTATCCCAGCAGTTTTATAACAGGTAAAGATGCAACCTAAAACCCATTTCAGAGTCTGAGTGGAAATTGGCTATCCATTCTTTCAGCAAAGGTACAAAGCATCTTTGGAGAAGCTTTAAAGGTCTCAGTCTAAAGGAAGAAGGTGAAGGCCCGCCTGACTTCTAGTGTGTGTAGACTAGTTTCCTCTCTGGAGGTGTCCTGCTTTGGATAAAATACTGGTAAACGAATGTCATGATTAATACGAAATTCAATGAGAACTTAGCGAGGAAGCGAGGATGGGGACACAGTGTGACCTTGTCAGGGTAAAAGACAGTATATGATGGATCTGCCATGTGCACCTTGACACCCTCATTCTTTTGGCTGAAGCAACAGCAACCAGAAATGAAGTCTTAAGGGAAAGGTGAAAAAGAGAGCAGCTATTAGCTCAAAGGGGAAACATCTCAAGGCATTAAGGACCAAGTTAAGGCCCCATGGGGGAGCAGGGTTCCTGAGAAGGGGAAACAAGTTGTGTAAGCCCTTAAGGAACCTAACCATGGTTTGGGGTCAAAGACTGAAACCCCCTCAATAGGTAAATGGAAGGCCTTGATAGCGAGCAGGTGCACTCTGAATGAGCTTACTGACAAGCCTCAGGTCTTTAAGTCCAACAGGTAATCTAGGATTTTGAGAGTGGAGCATCCGAGGCTTGCAAAGAATGGAGGGAACACCAGGAATGGAAATGTTTCCACTTCTGCAAGTAAGTCTTACAAGTAGGTGGTTTCCTACTAGATCTTATCTGACTAGAGCTTATTTGAACAGGGTAATTCCACACTCAAGAACCATCGAGGAGCCACCCCTTGAGACAAAGGACTGGGATGGATCAGGGCACCTGAGTTCCTCTCAGGGAAGACTTCCTGTCTCAGAAGATGAAGAGGTGTTGCCACGGAGAGGTGAAGAAGGTCTGAGTAGCACACTTGTCTTGGCCATGATGGCACTATGAGACTAATCCTTGCTGCTATTTGTCTCAGTTTGAATAATGTTTTGAGGATCAGAGGTATGGGCAGGTAGAGCTGGGCAGGGGACCAAGGTGGTGTTGGGCATTTTCCAACACTCGTGGTCCTGATGAAATCTGCAATTGTATTCTGGGAGGCCGGGTACATAAACCACTGAGATTTCTATATGATGTGAGATACACTAGTTCCACAGTCTTGGCGATTCTGGTCATAATGACTGGGATCTTGCTTCCCCCAATGGTTTATATAGTACATCGCTGCCTGATTGTCCAGCAATACCCTGACAGAGGGGCCCTGTATATTGTAAAGGAAGTGCTGACAGGCGAGGCAAAATGCTCTTAGTTCTAGGATGTTTATGAAGAGGGCTCTCTTTTGTGGGGATCATTTGCCCTGTGCAGTGGCCTCCTGTAGATGGGAACCCCCAACCCAAGTGAGAGGCATCCATCATCAGGATTTTCTAGAGTGGAGGATGTGAAAATAGGGATTCCACTTTAGTGGGTTCTTCCACCACCTGAGAGAGTCTGTATGTTTGGCGGTACCATGATTGGTTTGGAAAGACCATCTGTTTGTGGTGTACACAGTCCTCAGGCAAGCCCCAAGACATCTGAGGTGCAGTCTTGCAACATAATGCATGTGGAATCATGCAACATAATGAATGTGGAAGCCAACATGTGGCCTAGGAGTTGTAAGCAGGCCCTTAGAGTTGTTTGTGGACTGTGCTGTAGGGTAGACGTTAGACTGGACATAGTGGAGAATCTTACCTTGGTAAGGTAAGCTTGGGCAGTTAGGGAATCTAGAGTGGTTCCCATGAAGACTATCTGCTGACAGGAGTTAATGTCAGTGTTTTTAGATTAATGCAAATATCCAGGTATTGAAACAGTGTTAGTCCTTGAATGCTGCCAACTGAACCTCTAGAGCGGAGTGACCCCTGAGGTGCCAGTCATCCAAATATGGAAACACTGGAATGCTCCACCAACAGAGGTGAGCTGGCACGGCTAAAAAGACCTGGTAAAGACCCTTGGGGAGAATGAGGATTTTGTAATATTTTGAGTCTATTAACCAGGGCAGAAAGCGCTTGTGGGAGGAGTGAATGGCTATATAAAAGGAGGTCAATGGCTGCAAACTAATTCCCAGGATTTAGGGATGGAAATATGCTGGCTAAGGTTATCATCCTGAAGTGCTGTGAAAGGACATAGATGTCCATATTCTTGAGATTTAGAATTGTCCTCCAGCCTCTGCTTCTCTTGGGAACCAGGAAATATTTGGAGTGATATCCTCTTCTGATGAAATCAGGAGAAACAAGCTTGATAACTCCAAGTGCAGGAGAGATTGCACTTCCTGCTTCAAGAGATCTTCGTGAGGCGGGCCCCTGAAGAGGAACTGGAAGGGGTGGGAGGGACAGAATGGAAATTAATGGAGTATCCCACACTGATCACCTACGGAATCCACTTGTCTGTGGTGATGCATTTCCTAGGCATGTAGGAAATGGTATAGGCAGTCTCCAAAGGGGGGAGGGATATATAGTGGAGTCATACAGCAAAAGATCCAGAGGGAGAGGTTGTTTGAGGCCCTCAAGCAAGCTGTCAAAATGGTCTCCTACACGGAGGTGCACATTTTGTGCTGGTCCTGATCGCTGCCTAGGAGGCTCCGAAGATGTGAGGTGGGGCTGTTGTGGGTAGTATTGAAAAAGCCAAGAACGGAGTGCAGTTTGAGACGTGCTAAAATGTCTCTTTGTTGCAGGCATGTATATTCCCAGTGAGCGCAGCATTGCTCTGGAGTCTTTAAGAGAGTGGAGTGAGGAGTCCATGTCACCACTGAAGCGTTTGAGCCCTTCAAAGGGGAGGTGTTCCATAGTGTTTTGCACCTCTCTCAGGAGTCCAGATGACGAGCCAGGATGCTCGCCTCATAATCACTGTGGTGGCTAGGGATCATGAAGCAGTGTCAGTGACATTGGGAATGGCCTGCAGGGAAACTCTGGCAATTAACTGACTCCTTGTTAGAAGGAGAGGGTCTGGAACATGTTTAATGATTCCTTTTGTTGACAGCCTCTACCATCAGCTTCATTCCCTTAGCTGGAATGTAGTATTTGTTTTGCAAATGGGCATAATAGTAGCAGGTATTTGCCATAGAGTGTGAGCAGGCGAGAACAGTGTCTCATTAATAGGAAGAGCAATCTTATCCTGGGGGGTGATGTTTAAATTATCAATCAGGGACTGTTGAGACTCCTGGAGATCCTCTAAAGAAGTCTGGAGGGATTCCGCCAGAGGCTTCAGTAATAGGAAGAGCAATCTTATCCTGGGGGGTGATGTTTAAAATATCAGTCAGGGACTGTTGAGATTCCTGGAGCTCCTTTAAAGGAGTCTGCAGGAATTCCACCAAAGGCTTCATTAAGTCCTGAAAAGCCTAAAGTTGTCAGCACAGGAAGGTTGGTGGCACTGCTGCCTCAAAGGACTCAGCTGAATGGGGTGAGCCTTCCTCATTCTGTGGGTCCTGGTCCTCTTGGGTCTCCTCAGGTACCGAGGAGCCACACAGTACTGGCTTATGGTTTTGCAGTGCCTATGAGTGATGCGGTACCAACCGGTGCGGGTGTTTCTACCAGGCTGATACCCTAGAGTGCCTGTCATTACAGGGAAAATACCTGTGGCAGGTCTGGAACTCTGAGGTTTTTGATATAACCCAGGAAGTGCCATAGAACTAAAAACAATAAGTTCGGGAGGGGAGACCCCCTTTCAAAAGCACAGGATTGTACTAAAACCTAATATAATAATTAAAATAAAATTTGAGCTAACTAAAAGAATGATTTAACAGTAAGTGAGAAAAGGTGGGAAGCGGAGAACAGTGGATACCATAAATGCCCTCTAGAATAGCACACTACCTTTAAAAAAAAAAAACAAAACCACACAATCTCTGGTAAAGGGCGCATGGGCACACATGCATCCTATGGTGGAGTGCCCACGGGTCATATACTTGGAGAACTACAACTAAAGATTGCTGAAAATTAAAACATTTATGGTTTACTTTGTTGCCTTAATTATCATGAGAATGAAGTCATTCATTTCTCTATTTTTATGAACACTGTCATGAGAAAAAAAAAAAAAATTTCGAGTCATCCATAAAATATAATAAATATTTGAAAGTCTTACAGATTTTACACATTAAATACTGAATCTTTGTATTTCAGAAATGGCAACATACATGGGGAGACCAGTGGAGCAGACATCTTTTCTGTCAAAGAAATCTAGTCTTCTATGGTCCTTTTCCCTTGTGTTGTATTAGGAGGACCTGGCTACTTGGATCTTTCCTGAATAGCTACTAAAATAAGTCAGCTTGTCCCTGGATACATATCAAAGTATTCCAAGCCCTCGGAGGAGCTTGGTACTGTCTATTTGCCCTCTTAGAAGTGACAGGTATTGATGTTGGAGTGTGCCACATGTCTTTTGCAGGATTAACAATCCCTCAATAGATAATGGCGAATCTACTAGACGTAGAAGGTGGAAGATTACGAGCGGGCCTGTTCCCTCTGAGAACCATGCCTTCTCCAAAAGTGCTCTCTGGGCTCCCCGCCAACTCTCAGTGTGATGTTCATGGAAGGACAAGGACATCTTGGGTGCAGTTGCAGCCCCAAAAGACGCTGCTGACCAAAAAGATCTGATCTTGCGCACACGAGGTCCATGCGCACCAAGAGAAGGATCCATGTGGACAATCATGTTAAGAACCAACGGACATAATCTAGCCGTGTCCACACCATCCACACTATTGTAATAATCTTTGTATGAAATATGCCTTGTGAGGTATTTGAAAACGCATTATTTGCTGGTCATTACTGACCTGATAAAAGGTGTATGGCAACACTGTATAAGATTCTATTGTATAGTGTTCTTAACACATGTTCCAAACTGAGGTTGATAAACAGCCCTGTCTCAAACAAAGGAATGTGTGCTCTGCTTAATTTGCATTTAAGCAGTAAACAGAGTCATCAAGCAGGAAGGAAAACAAATGAAGCTCTAACAGGTAAGGAAAAAGCAGCAAGGAACATCCTTCCTTATAGACTGTCTCCTGAATCTTCTCAGCTGGAAATGTTTTCCAAGGGGGGGACTGACATTATAAAAAGGAGAGACAAACACCCCCAAGCAATCCCCCCCCCCGTTCATTGATTCACTGCACCAGAAGATGCAAAGGAAGCAGCCAATGAACTGGAGAAGGGGTCCTGCCCTAAGAACTTTGGTCAGTAAGACTGCATAGAGTATGTGGTGAGAAAACTTTGCTCTGAATTTAACAGTTTAAGTTAGACACCAGTTGCTTTTTATCTTTATTTTTCTTGTAACCACTTCTGACTTATGCCTTATTACTTGTACTCACTTAAAATCTCTCTCTTTATAGTTAAACTTGGGAAACTCCATTTGGAGTGGCAAGCATTATTTCTATTAAAGCAATAACAGAGTTTATATAAACTTGTATTGTCCAGGAGAAGGCTGGTCAGTACAGGACATACATTTCTGGGGCAAAATCTAAGATTGGGAATTAGTTGGGTCACCCAGCACTATAGCCAAAGTTGGTAGGAGCCAAGGTGTGGCTGGCTGGCTGCAGCACACATACAGACATAGCTGGGAGTGACTTCCATGCTGGAGACTGTGAGCAGTCCAGACTGGCAGCTACAGCAACAAAACATTGTAAAGGGCACCCCAGGTTAGAGGGCGGGGGTGTGATAGCTATTCATTAGTCTAGATTGTACCCTGGGGTTTGTCACAGACTGGTGAAATTCAAGTCAGTCGAACTCCTATTGGAAGCCCACATGAATATTTGTCATCTTTTAAAACACAGCACTATGCCTAAACTGCTTATGTGCTAGTTCAAAAAATATTTAGCTAACCGCAAATTCTACTTCAGCTCAGTCTTCCTTTTTGAACTGCTTACAACATTTTGCCCTCCATATAGACTAAAAGCCTGTCCTCTCACTTCTCCAGATATTTCACTATAGTAAAAAACATTTTTAAACACCTTATCTGCCTCAATACTGTACAGACCCCAAATAGACACCACTATTTCACCCAGAAGATGCAAAATCACATTAGTCATAGTAGAACAAGTTCATATTACTCTCTCCACCTCTATACAAAGAGTAACACATCTGTATTTACTTTGTACTTCCTAATCTGGGCCTGAGACTCTGTCATTTGCATTCAACCACAAATTTGACCCCATCCAATCTGTGACGTGGAGCTGCTGTGGGGAACACCACATTAGCGTGGGTGGACCCAAGTGTAGAGGAAAGGATTACTATAAATGAAGATAAACTGCAGAACCACACCCCAGCTGTGTAACTTTTGTGCTAGCAATAGCAATTCCAATGTCTTTTATAGACGAGAGAAAAATACATGCTTTAGGATCTGATCCTGCAAGATGCTAAACATTTCAGTGGGAGCCAATGGCATTCACCACCTCACAGGATTGTGCCTTTAAATTTTAATTTATTTATAGGCTTGCTACTTTTCCATGATTAAATTTCCTGTTTAAAATTTTAAAAACAAGTTCATTGAATTTTTAAAGCAATATAATTACCTTATCTCCATCCCACCTACAGTACTCTAAGAGTACAAGATCAGAATGAAAATTTACAGTTGCAAACACAGTTATTCTGACTAACTAATAACTAATAACTTTTCTGACTGATATGACGACTCAATGCCCTATCACATCATTGTATTTAATTACTGGAAATATTTATGGTGTTAGACCACACTAAAAAGACACAGAATTGTTAAAAATCTCCTTTTCCACTCACCTCTGTGGGGAACTGAAGAATCGGATACACTCCTGGATCGTGCAACAGCTGGAGATTTTAAATTATGATTTGTTGTCCCAGGTGACATACTGGTGTTTGTATTGTGCTCATTAAAAACATTGGGTGACTGTGCCATGTGTGTAAATGAAGCAGACTGGCAGGGCTGCTCCCAAGTCCTACAGTATGCTTTACGTGACGATTCAGGAGAAAGATGCTGGCTTACCCCGTCAATGGAATCTGGTGTTCCAGGACCTGATGCTGCTGGAAAAGAAAAATGCCCATAGTGCAGTGTAACTTTATTTTATTTTTAGTCAATCAGTCTGTAACACTTAACAGAAGCAAAATAAATTTACTCCTACATATAGGGAAATGTTCTGTATATTTCAATCTTAGCAGCAAATTTCATAGTAGTAACTCTGAAATTCTTCTAAAGTGTTTTTATTGTCACCTTAATATTATTTCAATAGTATTCATAGAATCACAGAAGTGTTGGGTTGGAAGGGACCTCAATAAGTCATCAAGTCCAACTTCCTATGCTGAGGCAGGACCAAGTATACCTAGACCATCCCTAACAGGTGTTTGTCCAGCCTGTTCTTAAAGATCTCCAACGATGCAGATTCCACAACCTCCCTTGGAAGCCTATTAGAGAGCTTAACTACTACCCTGAAGTTTTTCCTAATATCTAACATAAATCTCCCTTGCTGCAGATTAAGCCCATTACTTCTTGTTCTACCTTCAGTGGACATGGAGAACAACAGATCATAGTCATCTTTATAATAACCCTTAACATATTTGAAGACTTGTCAGGTGCCCCTCAGTCTTCTTTTCTCAAGACTAAACATGACTTTTTTTTTTTTTTTTTTTTTTTTAACATTTCTTTATAGGTCAGCTTTTCTAAATCTCCTATCATGAGTGTTGCTCTCCTCTGGACTCTCTCCTATTCATCCACCTCTTTCCTAAACTGTGGCAGCCAGAATTGGACATAATACTCCAGCTGGGGCCTCACCAGTGCTGAGCAGAATGGGACAATTACCTGCCAGATCTTACATATGACCCTCCAGTTAATACACCCCAGAATAACAGCCTTTTTCACAACTGTAACATATTCATTTTGTGACCCACAAATTGACTCCTATTCAACTTGTGACCCACTATAACCCCCTGGTCTTTTTCAGCAGTACTACAGCCTAGCTAGCTATTCCCCATTTTGTAGCTGTACGTCTGATTTTTCCTTCCTACATGCAGTACTTTGCACTTGTCTTTACTGAATGTCATCTTGTTGATTGCAGACCAATTCTCCAGTTTGTCAAGGTAATTTTGAATTATAATTCTGACCTCCAAAGTGCTTGCAAACCCTCTCAGCTTGGTGTCATCCATAAATTTTATAAGCACACTCTCCACTCCATTATCTAGGTCAGGGGTCGGCGACGTTTGGCACGCGGCTCGCCAGGGTAAGCACCCTGGCGGGCCAGGCCAGTTTATTTAACTGCTGACACAGCAGGTTCGGCCGATTGTGGCCCCCACTGGCCGCGGTTCGCCGTCCCGGGCCAATGGGGGCGGCAGGAAGCCGCAGCCAGCACATCCCTCGCCCGCGCCCTTCCCGCTGCCCCCATTGGCCCGGGATGGCGAACCGCGGCCAGTGGGGGCCACGATCAGCCGAACCTGCCACGCCAGCAGGTAAATAAACTGGCCCGGCCCGCCAGGGTGCTTTCCCTAGCAAGCCGCGTGCCAAACGTTGCCGACCCCTGATCTAGGTTATAAATTTTGCTGAAATTTAAATTTGTTTGTAGTGACTTTTTCTTAATACATAAACACCAACTCCCCATTTAGGCGAATAAAAAATTCCTGGGAATTAGAATTGGGCAATACCTGCTTTCAATCTGTATATTATACTACAGTATAGTTTCTACTGCTTTATCTAGTTACTCATTCTACTCATATATTATGGCATAAATTAAACAATTCTTGCTTTGGTTTATTTCATGGAAGAATTTTTCAGAGAAATAAGGGGTAGTTTACCTGGTAGATTTATTGTTTGATCGCCTAGAAAAAGGCGTCTGGCAATACTTCTCCTATACCAGGCTCTTGGGAAGGCCAGAATCTCACTGAGTCGCCGCATGTCATATTTAAAAGAAGCAGATCCTATATCACAGACAGCTGATAAAAAATGCAAAAGCTCAATATTCAGATATTTTGAAAATCGAATCTAACATTTGAAAATTTACCCTTCAATTTTTTTAGCTTACTTATATCTGATATATTCACCAAAACATTTTCAAGCACTAAAAGGGGTAGTGCAATATATACTTACCTTACAGTAACTGTGGTTCTTCAAGATGATGTTGTCCATGTGAATCCTACTCTAGGTGCACCTGTGCCTTGTGTGCAAGGGCGGAATCTTTGAATAGCAATGTCCATTGGGCTGCACCTGCACTGTGTATGTACTCGTGCCATCTGGACTCCAGGGCATAAAGGGTAGAGTGGGCATAACTGTTCCTCAGTTCCCTTGCCAACTCAGAATCCCAGGGAAGGAGGACTCTGAAAAAGTGGGGGTAGAGGGCAAGTTTTGGGATCCACATGGATAATATCACCTCAAAGAACCACAGTTACTATAAGGTAATTGTTCTTTCTTCTTCGAGTATATGTCCATGTGGATCCCACTCTATCTGACCGATAAACCTCATCTGAAAGGTATGATTGAGAAGTCTTGGCTGCCACTAACTAAATACTGACTGTAAAACCATCATACCAAATTTGGCATCTGATCTTGCAGCCAGGTCAAAGGCATAGCATTTAAGTAAAGTAAAGGGATTTGTTCACACAGCTGCCTTGCACATTTGAGACATGAGCATGTTCCTGAAGCATACAGAGGACATGGCTTGTGCTCTATTGGAGCAAGCTTTCATATTTGGAGGATAAGATTATCATCATGATAGATTTAAATACATTATGTAATCCGTTTCAATATTCTCTGGGAGGAGATGGCTAGAAGGGCAGAGAGGGCCACAAAAAGACAGTCTGTTTGAAAAGCTTTGCCCTATCAAGATAATATAACAAGACCCTTGAAACATCCAGGATGTGGAGTTTCTTCTCTTCTGGATAGTAATTGCGTTTTGAAAAGAAAATGGGTGATTAGAGAGTAACCGACTAGTTCAAATGAAAGTCTGACAATTTTGAGAATAAATTTAGGATGAGATCTTACCATCCCCACTTCTCTGTGGAATATTTTGCTATGAGGGTCAGCAATGAGAGCTTGGAGTTTCTGACTCTTCGGGCTGACGTAATGGTGACTAAAAATACTGTCTTGAGGCTAAGGTGCTATCTTTGGTGGCAAACAAATCTGTAATTGGATTGTGAAATATTGGCATAATGATGGAGCTCTTCAGAAAGCATTTGTGGTGGTTGATGTATTGTTGGAACACCAACACTGTTTGAAGGGGCTCTGCATCTGCCATTTTGGTGCAAATAGTGGCACAGTGTGATAAGGAACAAATTACATTTATTTTTTGATATGACCAAAATAAAGTTAAAAAAGGGGGACAATATAAAGGGAGTTGTAGGATAAATATGAAATTAAAGAATTAAAGTTAGCTTAAGTTTGGTTTAAGGAAATATATATGTTGTAAAGAAAGACCCTGACTAGCAAGCAGAAAGAAGGTCTTGAAAATAATGAGTTATAAGGCCAGAAGGAATGAAGTCTGGTAAAAAGAATAACTAATAAGATAAGGGGAAGTTTCTAAAAAGAAGGCCTCTGACTGATAGGGGTGACTGAAGATGGTTTTAAATAAAACAAAAAGAATTTGTCTTAAAAGGAACCAACATAAACCTTCCCACCCCACATACCAGTGTTATCCTAAAAATAAAAGACTATGTGAACCCAGGTGGAAAAAACTGTTGGTCAGCAACAAGGAGGGGAGGAAAGGCCTTGGGAAGAAGTCTGTAAATCTTATCTGGATTAACACGGGAGCTAAGGGTGAACAGTCTCAAATTGTTTTTTAGCTCAAGTCAGTAATTGGCAATGACATCATTGCCACGGACAGCAATAAGGAACTGACCGATAGTTGTGGCTGCTCTGCCCTTTCTATCCGACAGGAGGGACTCATGAGGACATACATTGTTGAACTGTGCCTGAACTGACACTGCAGTTCAAAGATTCTGATCTTGTGTGCATAAGGCTCATGTGCACCCACAGTTGGATCTGTGTGGACACATAGAGAAGATAACATACAAACTGTTGGAAAATAAGTTCATTTGTTTGAAGTATACTTAAAAATACTAATGTCAGCATGTACATCATTAATATACTATATATTAATTTTAGTAAACAATGACAAATTACTTTTTGCTGGTACTGCTGGAGCTGTGAGAAATACCTACAAAACCCCCTCAAAACTACATAAAACACATCTGGATTTGACAAAGGGTCCTTCAGGCTCATGAACTACCTAACTACAATTTATGCCTCAAAATCCTATGAAATTGATGGTTTAAGCTTGTTTGGGTGAAACTCAGGGATAACAATTCTCTTTGCTTTATGATCATGGATGAAATTCAAAGTTCATTCATACTGAAAAATCAAAGCAAAAATCTCAAGAGCTGTAAACCCATATAAACAGAAGTCAAAGAACATGTGTGAAGTGTTGAAATTAAATGAGTCAACAGCGGAGGAGGAGGGGGGTATATGCACACACAGATATCTGAGGTCACCCAAACACAAACCCCCCCACAAGGCCTTAGTCACTGATTCACTTAAAAGATGTTGTTATTGCACATCATAGGTTGGTGGCTTTGAAATTACAACTATATAAAAAGTGGTGGAGAAAGAATGGTGCTTATCATTGGAACAACACCTCTACTGTTAGGCAAACACAGAAGAAAGCACTATAGATTAAATGAAACTATTAAGTACCAGATATATTTATTAATGTAGTATCCATCTTGCTTGCAGCTTTGCTTGCAGACTGGCTCTCAAAAAATGAAGCACCTCCTGAACGTCTTATTCTTGACAGACTTACTTTCACAAACTCAAGGTTAATACTCAGAGAATCTTTCCGACCAGTGACTGAAGTGGGCTCCTCATCTACATTACCTACAAACAGAAAGAGTGATGCTCAGTGTACTCCCCAAATTAGCACCTCAGAGTAAAAATCATCATTTATGTTTCTTTTAGAATAGAAAAACAAAAAACATTTACCTAGGAACACCATCAAGATGAAAGTCAAAATTTTGTATGAAATTTTGGAAATTACAATATGTCACAAGTGACACAGTTTTCAGTTTGTTTACGTTATGCATTTGACAGTAGAGTGGGGTGAATAGCTAATTTTTCAGTCTGTTGGCAGTTCTGAAAAATTGGAAAAAACCATTTCAGATCAAACTGAATCCCATAATTGCAAAAAATTTAGGTGATCCAAAAAATCTGTTCTTGGTGAAATGAAACTTTTTTTGTTTGACCCAAAATGAGGGTGAGTGGGTTTGAGCATTTTTAAAGGGTTAGATTCACAAAATGGCCAGTGAAGGAGGAAATAGTGGCGATGATCTTATCACTTTTAGTCCAGTAGTTAGGACACACTCTTGCAAATCCCTTCTCCATGGGAAGAGGGGAACTGAATTTGAGGGCTTTTCTACACAGTGGGGTAACTCTACAGAGGTGTGATTTCTAAAGTGCACTAATGTGTTGCATATCAATTGGTCTGTGTCGACCCTGCTGGTGCACACTAAAGGTTCCCTAGTGAGCTTTAATGTAGTACAGTTTCAAACAGCACTATGTTGAAGAGCACCAGGAGAGTCTCCACGGCCAATTAATGCACAATATGTCAGTGTGCTTTAGAAATCACATTCGCTGTAGAGTGCATTACCCCACTGTGTAGACAAGCCCAGAGTCTTCTGTATCCTAGGTGAGTGCCTTTACCACTGGCTAAAAATTACAAGGAGATGACTATCTCCACCTCCTCCTCCCTGCCCTGGTTGTGTGAATGGCATCTAAGCCGCACTCCCCGAAATTCATGTCAAAGTTGCAAATAATTTTGGGTCAACCCAAACAGCTTTTTTTTTTGCAAATAAACTATTCCTCTGAAATATTTCGCCCAGCTCTATATGATAGCATTTTGTCACTGCTCTTCACGGCAGAGACTATTCTACTCTATGTAGATCCTGCACACATTCACTTGGTATGTTAACAGTACCACTAAATCCAACAAGAATACTCATGTATGTAAAGTTGTTCATGTTATTAAGTGTTTTCAGCGTGAAGACCTACGCTTATATAGGCTATAGCAAAATGGAACCCAACCTTGATTGTGGCTGTGAGCTGCTACCATATAACAAACAGTTAACATACAAATAAGTGCAAACACTTGCAAACCCACTTAAAGCTTTTTAACATGTTTGTGGGAGTGTTGGAATTTACACCAAGAATTCCTATAAGCGCAAGTGAGCCTACTTTTTCCTATTAAGACAAATGGGTTTTGCAGTTGCAGGTTCTAAAGCATGAACACACATGATTTTGGATCTGCCAAGTGCAGGTAATATGTATGCTTTCACACAAGTGTCAGTTGGAGTGCTGAAAATAAGGTCCTCCAGGATTCTGTAAGAGACAGTAAAGAGGGTATACACATCCCTCATGGACTGATTCTTTAACACAGTCTTGTGCAACTATTTCTCACATTTTAACAATTGTTTATGAAATCTAATGAACAATTGCAAAAGTTACAAAATTAAAAAAATCCATTCTGTACCTAGTGCTCCTGATCCAGGAGTTAGACCAGTAACAGCAGATTTTTGTTTTCCTGCTCCATATGGATGAAATACATAAAGGGAGAAATCAGACATGCAGGCTGTGAAACTCAGGCCTGATGAGTTGCTGCTAGAGCTAGTCAAATCTGACTGGCTACTGCTATGTCGGGTTCTGCCAAGAGGGCTGCCTAGTCCAGATGAACCTAAAGAAAATCCAAAAATCCACAAATGTTATGGTAGTTTTAGTACAAAAGCATTTTCAACCATGAAACCGTTTAAAAATACTTACTATGTCATAAAAAGCCAGATGATGCATCAGATGCATTTCAAAAATAACCTCCGTGAAACAACAATTTGGGGACACAACCCCATGCTCTGGGTGTCCCTAAAGCTCTGACTGCCAGAAGCTAGGATTGGACCACTTGATACATTGCCCTGTTCTGTTCATTCCCACTGAAACATCTGGCACTGGTCACTGTCGGTAGACAGGATACTGGGCTAGATGGACCATTGGTCTTACCCAGTAGGCCATTCATAGGTTCTTATGGCTTAAATAACCTAACTAACAATGCCATTCCTGTCAAAAGGTTAAAACAGACAACTGAACTTACTTTTACAAAGGCAACAAAACTGTTCCTAAAATACTTTACCCATCTGAGTTTTCAGAATAGGTTAGAAAACGGATATGAATGTCTTCTTATACAATTTCATAAATGTACAACTCCATAGTTAGTGGATGTTGTATTTTTAACTTTGCATAGAAACACATACCATCAAAAGTTGAAAATATAGAGTAAACTAAAAGTCATACTAAAAGTAAAAGGATGAAGTCATTCCAAACTGAAAACAGACAACATGAAGTGGAACTTATAAAACTCATATAATATATACATATATGTACAAATAAAGATATTTGAGAAGTTCCTCAATATTTAACAGAAGAGCTAGCAACCTATCCTTTTAAAGTTTTTCTTATAATACTCATCACCGTAGTTACTAAATGATGTGGCAAGTTTATCAAAGATCAGTAAAATAAACCTAATTGTACAACTCCGAAAGTGTTTTTTTGGATATAAAATACCAGCACACTGGCAATACAGACTACTAAAAAGTATTGCTCTGAAACTTCTTTTAAAAAACAAAGCTTTTGTTACATGGTTTGTGGACATTCCTGAAGACCAGCAACAACATAAAAAAGGTTTTTAATACTGATCTGATACCAAAGAGCCATTCTGTTAAAAATCACAACTGTATAACAACGTAGTAAAAATACATTTTATTATTCTAGCAATAAGGAGTTTTTGTCATGCCTAAAACCTAATGGAACTCTAACACTGCACTACATAGCTGTTTAACTTTTATTCTAAATTTATTCCTCCTCCCACCCCCTCAATACACAAACAGAACTTAATTCACTTATGCTGTTAGCTGAATGTATTAGGTGAACTAATTCAAAGAAAATTGTTCATATATATTACCTGGTATCCCAGTTTTATTAACTGAGTTCTTTGATCCAGTTTGTGAAGTATTACCACCAACTGCCAAGTTTTCTGTGGGGCAAGTTGTGCCTAAGGTCTCCAATTCCCCTCGGTTTGAAGAGAACACTAGGTCTAGAGAGGGCAGCTTCAGCATACATTCTACTCTTGATACAGGTAAGCAGCTGAACTTGATCTGTGAAGGCTAAGCCAAAAGAAAGGATTTTAAGCACAAATATAAAATCCCTGAAAATCATTATGAGCCTGAATCCAAAGAATAATAGCTTGCAAATTTCCTGTAGCCTAAATATAATAAGGCTTTTTGGTCCAGCTTTGAAATTACTAAAATCTCCATGATTTACAATCCGCAGAATTTATGTTCATTTCTGAGATTTATTATATCATTGAGGTGTGTTACCCAGGAAGTCCAGGCAATGGTCAGGAAAGATGCCTAGATATAATAGTGAACCATTCTGCCAGAACTAATCTGTGTGCCCCAGTGAATCCACAGCTGGGAAGCTGCTTCATATTTGGAAGATGCGGAAGCTCAGCTTTGGTACCTATCACACCAAACTATGTTGAAGCAGCTGAAATGGACAGTCTCAAGACACTTTGGATTATCTTAAAATCCTTGCCTTGTCAGCTTCCTGTCCAATTTACAGGGAGAACCAAGAGAGGTCGAAGAAAGTGCCAAAAGTGCTCAGAGACTGGTAGCCCACAGCAATTTTTGGGCATAAGTCTCCCAACCCAACCAGTTATGTTTCATTTTGAGACCCAAACAGATGTCTTTTATATTTTAGCTATATGTACTTTATTTATTTATTTGAAAAAGAATGATAGCTGTAGATGCTAGTTATACAAGGATATTTTCTGAGGAATAAGATGAGAATTGTGCTGTAGAGAAGACAAGTATGTCCAAGTGTGGCTGTGAAACAGTAAGACCTTAGCAGCAGCAAAGCAACAAAGGAAACTCCACCATGAACAGCAAGAAAAGTAGTGATGATTAAAGGCCGGGGGGCTTCGCAAAATGGTTCACTTCTGTTGATCACCATGTGCTTGGAGCCAATGACTTCAGAACTCTAGTTAAAAGAATTCTCATTGATGTCATGCTGGAAACATATACCTCAGAATGGATATCTATTGAATGTAACTATCTCTAAAGAATCTAATTTTAAAACAGCGAAGTTAAAGGCAAGCTTAAAATGCATATATGTTTTTAAAAATGCTATTAGCATTACACAGTATGCAGTATGTTAATGTTGCACTCTCACCTGAACTCGTACATAAACCACCACATCCACAGGGAAGGATGAGTATGCTGATGTTGACGATGACACTAGTGAGGCTGTGGACTCCTCCAAGGCGTCTTGTATTTCAAACTGTCCCATGTCTTCATCTTGAGAACTGACAGCTTTTAAAGTAGAAAGCTCTTGTTAAATAATGGTTTGAAGCAACTGGAATTAAAAAGTCAACAAATTTAGGTACTAGAATATATGAAAAAGTAGTAGTCACATGGTACCTGCGTAATTCCTCTCTATTGGTGTAATAGGAATAGTTTCCAGAGCCTTCTCTAGGAAGTCCAATAGGCAGGGGCTAATGACCATTTCCTCAGGCAATGACTGAAGTGCAACCCATGCATACAATTTTGCAGTTTTTATTCCACCACTTCCTTTCCCTTTGGCTGAAACATTTATAAAATGTAAATGTGTCTAGTGGAATACAATTTCTCCAAATACAATTAAAATGTATAGCAACATTTCATTACAAATAGAAAAAACAGATCAAGTACTGTATCCTCCTCCATCACCATGTGAAACAGCCACTTCATAGATCAGTTATAAAAAACAGAAGTGCATAGTTTTGCTAATAAAAATGTGTTAAAATAACAGAGATGAAGAACTCAGTTCAGTTAGTAGTACTATCCTAATGCACTTGCACTAGTTCAAGTCCTTACTTCATTTCCACATCTATGCTTTTTCAAAACAGTCACTAAAATCAGCCAAACAAAACTTCTCCAGAAGACAAAACACAGCAGCCATAACTTACTGGAAGACAATTGGCATTTACATTGGAAAGGGTGAAGCCAAAATTGCTCATCTGACTTAATTTTGCAGCAGTTTGGAAAAATATATTGATTTCAACTGAGAAATATGTCAAACCCCCTAAGAGCAAATGGTAAGTCCTACAATATTACAAAAATAATAAAATGAGAATTCTAAACAGGAAATCATATTAACAATTGATTTCGAACACCTAAATTCCAAGCTTGGAGATAATTTTATATTAAGCTATATTCCAGGTAAGAGAATTCTCTTCTCAATTCATGGAAGAGACCTGCGCCCTAAAATGAGAAAATTATCAGAGCTCAGTAAATTTCAAGCAAGATCTTATTTCTAAAAAGCTATTAGTACCAGCTCAGTTATTTTCAGTGTGAAGTATAGATAATTAGAACTAGGAATGAAGAAAGAGCAATGTAATTGAATTGGGATTCATCATCATATACAAAAATGGATCATTTGAATACAAGTAAAATATAGTATTATGGCTGTATATGATTTCTCCATGCAAGATACAAATACTGACTAACTGAAGGACTAAAATAGAACCTTACTCTCATACTTTATCTTTCTGTCAGTTCCTAAGCCACTTGGCAATGAATTTTAATGCCATGCTACTCTGACTGATGCTGCTGACCATCTGGACTGGCCTCTCCTTACCTTATAATAAGAGAATAAGTAGAGGAGAGTTTTGGGAGAAATCTATGTGGAGAAAAGATAAAAAAGCTCTGGGGGAGATTTAGGCAAGAATTAAAAAGTAAAGAATGGAAAGAAGTTATGAGCAAGCTTACAAGGAAAGATACAACATAAGACAGAAACTGAAGCAAGCAATAAAATTAAATATCATGAACTCAGAGATCCACAAAGAAGGTGGATGTTGGGAGGAAACACAGTAACAGTGGTTAAAAGCCAGGGATAATGAGGCAAATGCTCAAATTCACTGCTCTCTCTCAGACTTTGAGCCTATTAATAGACTCTTTTTTCACTGTTTCCAGCTCATTTTGTTTTGATGGTTTTTTTTTTTTTTTTAATATCTAAACTCTGAGGAAGAGAGAAGTGAGATAACAATCTTCTGGAAGGTGGGAGAGAAATCTACGTACCTCTAGATCTGACATTGCAACCTTCCAGAGATAGTCATAGACCTCTGACTGAAAACTGGGATAATTCAACTTGTTACTCTTGAAATTTTAAATCAAAGTTGAAGACACTAAAAACTGGAATTCAGGTAATTCCACGCCACAGTAGTTTTCGGTGGACTGCAGTAGTAGAGCACAGTAATGTCTGGTATTTTGACTAATCCAATGATTGTAAACAGCTGCTTGGGATCATGACGAATAAATTAATTAAAGAAATTATCACACTTCAAAGTATTACTTTCAAGGCAAGCTGCACGGTAATGAAGAGTATTCTTGGAAGGATGTAACATGGATGAACTGGTGAGTAAATTGAGTAGTATAAAATTTTCTATTGAATTTTGAATACTGCAGAGTATAACTATAGCTAGTTGTACTAGTAACATAATTATTAATTTTTAAAAACAACTAAGCTTCTTTACAGCATTGTATGTTATCTGTTCAAGGAAGAGGAGGAGTAGGTGGTATTAGGCCATTACTGTGCTCTGTGAGATATATGTTGAGAACCATTTAACAGGAAATCTCTGAGAAGGCAGCTTTAAGAGCAGTTAGAATTCATGAATTGCACATGTGCTTCTGTAGTCAGGTTTCTTTGCAGCAAATATTTAGACATTTATGACCATTTTGAGGTTCAGCTAATGCACAGATCTAGAGCTAGTAGATCATATGATGTGGAGGGAAAAAGATATCAAAGTTATAGTTTAAAAGGATATTCTACAAGTACCTGATGGGATGGGTGGGGGTTGGGGCAGAAGTAAGGTATTAGTCTTGCTGTGGGTAGTATTAGATAAAGGAGATGTGGCAGTATCTTTCATACCATACAACTTGGACTCTTTGGAAAGGGTTCTTGGCAAAGAGGATCCCCGGGAGGCATTTGGCGATTCAGTCTTCAAAGTCTTAGAGTTGTAGTGTAACTGAAATGAAAAAAATAATCCATTTACTTCACAGAAGTAGCATTCTCACTGAATCTCTGCACAGTTCAGTTTTCTCCAAATGTTCTTTGCATTTTTTTTAAATTGCATGATCTTAAAACAAACATATTATATTTAAAACATTGGAATCAATAATCTTTATCTACAAAGAGTCATAATTTTTTGTAAGCAAAATAAATTAAGAAACCTCACCCACAAAACAAAATTAAATCATAAACATACTGAGCAACAACAGGCAATATTTTTTAGCATATAGGACACAAATCTCTAATAGTTGTGACAGACTCTCTCACCAAGAGCTGCTGCTCTCCTCTTGATACATACACATTCCCTGGCCAATGACTACTTTATTCCCTCGTACAGTTGTGGGTTTTTGGTTTTTTTGTACAGACTATCCACACTACTACATATCATCTTGCCCAGATCACTTACCTCTCTTCTTAAAGTAATTCAAAGGTTTCATGTTCTACACACAAATATCCTATAGATGTGGGTAAGCAAAATCTAGTCTTATTCAGTGGATGGCACTAGGAGCCAGAGCAGAAACTGCAAATGATGCTTGTGTATCCCTAAAGCCACCTAAAAGCTACAGTAGGGAACTGGGCCATGTCTGGTATCCCTGAAGATTTCTTGTGGTTCTGGAAGGGGAAGTCCAATCACCGTGAGTAGCTCCCCACTTCTTAAAGATCTACAGCAGATGACGTCGTCATAAATAATTACCTTTATGAAAGATGATCACTTGCAGAAAAGGAAGACCACATCCTCCACCTATGCCCCACCCTGCATTCACTGACTATTGCATTTTCACATGCACTAAAGGCACAGAGAAGACTTCTCAATACATGCAATCCATACCACCTATCAGAAAGCAGAAGCAAACAAGCCAAATGTCTGGCTTTAACTTAAGCAACCTTTTCTTTTAAATGGGACTAATTGGCTTTTTAAAGTCTACGTAATACCACATACTATTTGATATACAGGATCACACACTGGAACAAAGCTAAACATTTTTCCTATGTTACAACTAAGATCTCTCTTTTTTTTTTTTTTTTTTTTTTTAAAGTGGGAGGAGTGAAATGTAGTTGATATCCTATGGATTTGAATCTCCTTCCAAAACATCAGATTAGAGAAATTATTATTTGTGGCAAAACTGAGTCAGAAGGTCAAGTTTTGTTATGGACACGTAGCGATGCCAGAAGTGCTATTGGAACTCTCGAATTCATGGCTCCTAGTCTTGTGCCTAGATAACACTTCTCATTATAATACTTATTATGCTCTATTAAGAATATAGAATATATCAGCCATACACATGTACCATACACAACTCCAAAATGTTGCTAACATGTACCAGAAGTAGCGTGCAGTAAGTACAACATATATTTCCCATGTAAGAAACAGCAGGTATCACACTTGATATCTGCACTATATAAACTGCATGCCATAATGATAAAAGATGATCTAAAGGAAGCCATGTATTTGTTTCTAGTCAATTCTAATTGGAGAGGAAAAATGTTTCCTAGTCCCATAATTTTTACCTTTACATCTACACCAGGAATGTAAAATACTGTAGTTTCCAGGTCACTAGGCTTTGTCTGTAGAGATGACGGCACTTTCTTGCCAGCAAGTAAGTGAGTAGTAGATGCATAGTTAGTTTGAAATTTCTTCTTTTTTGAAGGAGACTCTTGATCTAAACTTCTGGAACTCCGATCATAACTCCTACAGATAAATAACAATATACAACCTGTCTTAGTACAGACCTAATACTCCAAAACAAATATGTTTTTCAATATTTAAAATTTAGGGGATTTTCTTTTTAAAAATTACATTGTAATTTCACGATGAATAGTAGAAGCATTTCCACCCCTTTTAGTTGTTCTTTGCCCATCAGACCTCTATTCCCCTGGCCTTTTATTTCCCTTTGGCCTTTTCCCATCCCCCTCTGCTTTTGCCAAAATATATTATTAGTGTTATTTGCAGATTTTAAAGTTAAAACCAACTTTTTTTAAAAATGACAAAAAGTAGTAAAGTGTCCCTTGCCTTCATTCTCAAGTTTATCTATCGCAGATGATGAATTCACAGTGCAGGTAACATTTGTGGATTTTTCACTGTTTCTGCTCTCCCCTTATGATTTCCTCCCCCTGCATACCAAATTCCATTTACACAAGTGACACAGCAAAATAATAATAAAGCAATATGAAAACCAAAACAAAATATAGCTCTCATTAAAGAAAAAAATATTTCTACTCTGTCCCATGTCCATTTTAAAGTCATTCAGAAATTCAACAGTATAATCATATTTCCTTATATACACTTCTTCAGAAATGCCCCCACTGCTGTATGTTGGGAGGTTACTCAAATATGTGATATCACTACATTAAAGTGTCACAGGATTGCCTAAAGTGTGACAGCCACAGCCTGATATTCAGCTGCAGGTTCCTCCCTTTAGAGATTATAGGAGGAAAGGGGAAAAAAAAGATCTGTTACTACATACAAATCCTTGCATGATTTAAAATATGGGAAAGGTAAGAATGACGTTACAAATCCTAAGAGTTCAGTTTTGCTAAAAGCTAGGTTATCATTAACACTGTGTTAAAGTTCAAAGAAGAAATTAAAAGTAAAGGTGTATTTGGTTAAGAATGAATAACAAAAACAGAGGCTACTCGCTGTCAAAGCATATCTGCAGAATGGAGAGAAGGGTTTAAAAAACCAGAGGAAATCGTGTCCCACTGAAGTCAATGGCAAAGCTCCAACTGTTTTCAGTGGAGTCAGGATTTCACTTCAAGTTGTACAAATACATTTATTTGTACAGTGAACATTATCTCAAGGATAGTGAGTAAAATGAAAAAATGTTGGAACTGAATATCAAGAGAACACAGCATTAGCCCAGTATGGATCAACTCAGCAGTGTATTTCAAAATTTTTGAGACAGTGCATTCAGGCATTTATTTGGAGAGTAAAAAAGGAATCCAGGTGCTTTAAAAGCTTAAAATCTCCAATTATAAAAAGGATGGGTAAGAAGGAAACAGGTGTACACTCATTTCTTGGTGTCAGGCTAATTAGACTCAAGCCTTTGTGGAAGCAGACTTTCATGCTTTCCCAGAACAAAGACTATAATTCAATCATAATTAAATTTATTGCATGCTATGGCAACATGTGGTGGTGATACAAATTACTGACCACTAACTGGCTAAAAATGGTGGGAATTATTATAGTTTCTATGCTTTTCAAATGAGTCAATGTCCAGTTACCATTGAGTATTGTGTGATGTACTGGCAGGATCCCAACTGATGTAAATCAGTAAGTTGTCTTATATATGACTAAATAAATGTAAAATACAGAAAGACTGGCACAATACAGTAATATACTCTTTTCTAATATGATTTAGTAATATTACTGTCTTTCAATAGGTTTTTTACCTTCTTAAGCTGATTTCATCATGCTCTTGCTGAAGCGTTGTTGGATGCAGCACACATTTTCCACAATCAATTTCAACTCTGATATCAAGTTCAAAGTCAATATTTCTCTCTGTGGTTGTGCCAGTCACATTTCTGTTACCAGGAGTTGTCGGCCAGCGGTCAGTAAACAGTTGGTGAACTGCAGCAAAGCCTGTTGCTTTCTTGCGAGTGGTATTCCTGCAGAAAGAACAATTACTTGTTAGATATTAGCACTGTGACAAGATTCCTTCCAAGGTTATCTACTAATGTATTTGCTGACAAGTCAGTTACCCACTATATATAACATTTTAAGAAGTTTTCTGTAAGAAGCATCATATGGTAAATTTTCATAGGTGCACACTGCTATCTTGGTCCATGTTCCACTAAGGTATTATTAAATATTTAGCAACAGAGAGTCCTGTGGCACCTTTAAGACTATCTGTTAGTCTTAAAGGTGCCACAGGACTCTCTGTTGCTTTTTACAGATCCAGACTAACATGGCTACCCCTCTGATACTTGACACCATGCATGGCACTGCATTTAGCCGTATGGAATGGAAATCTATCAACCTCATGAAGAAACTTGCACAAGTACAGACAGATATCATCTTCCTTCACCTGTTAGTCTTAAAGGTGCTACAGGACTCTCTGTTGCTTTTTACAGATCCAGACTAACACGGCTACCCCTCTGATATAAGACGGTTACTCACCGTTGTAACTGTTGTTCTTCGAGATGTGTTGCTCATATCCATTCCAGTAGGTGTGTGTGCGCGCCGCGTGCACGATCGTCGGAAGATTTTTACCCTAGCAACACCCGGTGGGTCGGCTGTGGAGCCCCCTAGAGTGGCGCCGTTATGGCGCTGGATATATACCCCAGCCGACCCAGCGCCCCCTCAGTTCCTTCTTGCCGGCTACTCCGACAGTGGGGAAGGAGGGCGGGTTTGGAATGGATATGAGCAACACATCTCGAAGAACAACAGTTACAACGGTGAGTAACCGTCTTTTCTTCTTCGAGTGCTTGCTCATATCCATTCCAGTAGGTGACTCCCAAGCCCCACCTAGGTGGCGGGGTCGGAGTGAGACATTGCTGTGTGCAGAACCGCTGACCCGAAAGCAGCATCGTCTCTGGATTGTTGCACCAGCGCATAGTGAGTAGCAAATGTGTGGACCGATGACCACACTGCAGCTCTACAAATGTCCTGGATCGGTACTTGAGCCAGGAAGGCAGTCGAGGAGGCCTGGGCCCTCGTGGAATGAGCAGTGAGGTGTGGCGTCGGTACACCGGCCAGGTCGTAGCAAGCACGAATGCAGGAAGTAATCCAAAAGGACAGGCACTGTGAAGAGACCGGTGATCCTTTCATCCGGTCGGCCACCGCAACGAAGAGTTGCGTCGTTTTCCTAAATGGCTTTGTCCGGTCAATATAGAAAGCCAGGGCCCTGCGAACGTCCAAAGAATGTAAACGCTGGTCTTGACGAGTAGCGTGCGGTTTCGGATGGAAGACCGGGAGAAATATATCTTGGTTTACGTGGAAAGGTGACACCACCTTCGGAAGAAAGGCAGGATGGGGGCGAAGCTGCACCTTGTCCTTGTGGAACACCGTATAAGGGGGCTCGGATGTCAGCGCCCTGAGTTCCGAGACGCGTCGTGCTGAGGTGATGGCTACGAGGAAGGCTGTCTTCCAGGACAAGTACAGGAGTGAGCAGGTCGCCAATGGTTCAAACGGAGGCCCTGTGAGCCTGGAGAGGACGAGGTTGAGGTTCCACGTCGGAACCGGCTGTCGTTGCTGTGGGTACAGCCGGTCTAAGCCCTTGAGGAATCTAACGACCATCGGGTTAGAGAAGACCGAGGACGTGAGTTCTCCTGGGTGGAAAGCGGAAATAGCGGCGAGGTGAACCTTGATTGAGAATGTCGCCAAGCCTTGCTGTCTTAGGGACAGGAGGTATTCCAGTATCAAGGGGATAGGAGCCTGCGAGGGAGACGTAGCTCATTGCTCACACCAACAGGAGAACCTCTTCCACTTGGCTAAATAAGTGGTCCGCGTAGAGGGCTTTCTACTTCCCAGCAGGACCTGTTGGACAGCCTGCGAGCATTGCCGCTCTGAGCGACTCAACCATGAAGCATCCACGCCGTGAGGTGGAGCGACTGCAGGTCGGGGTGATACAGCCGGCCGTGGTCCTGAGAGATGAGATCCGGGCTCAAGGGGAGCGTGATCGGTCTCTGTACTGACAGTTCCAGCAGTGTGGTGTACCAGTGCTGTCTCGGCCAAGCGGGAGCGACTAGAATTACCCGTGCATGGTCCCTGCGGATCTTGAGCAGCACCCTGTGGACCAGCGGGAATGGAGGAAAGGCGTAGAACAGATGGTCTTTCCACGTTAGAAGGAAGGCGTCCGACAGAGAGCCCGGGGCTCGCCCGTGTAGGGAGCAGAAAGCCTGGCACTTCCTGTTGGCCCGAGATGCGAACAGGTCGATCTGGGGAAACCCCCACCTTTGGAAGACGGAATAGATGATGTCCGGGCGAATCGACCACTCGTGCGTCTGGAAGGACCTGCTGAGACGGTCCACCAGCGTATTCTGGACTCCAGGCAGGAATGACGCCGTGAGATGAATCGAGTGGGCGATGCAGAAGTCCCACAGGCGAATGGCCTCTTGGCATAGGGGAGATGAGCGAGCTCCGCCTTGCTTGTTGATGTAAAACATGGCCGTGGTGTTGTCGGTGAGAATCAGCACGCAACGGCCCTGTAGGAAGTTGAGGAAAGCCTGGCAAGCCAGGCGCACCGCCATCAGCTCTCGGACGTTGATGTGCAGGGCTAGTTGGGACGCGGACCACAGGCCTTGGGTATGGTGCTCCCCCAGGTGAGCGCCCCAGCCTAGAGATGAAGCGTCCGTAACTAGGTGGAGGGAGGGCTGTGGGGCGTGAAAGGGCACTCCTGCACAGACCGCAGTGCGATCCATCCACCAGGCGAGAGAGGCCAAGACCGAGGCCGGAACCGTGACCACCATGTTCAGGTCGTCTCGATGAGGACGGTAGACCGATGACACCCAAGCCTGCAGTGGGCGAAGTCGCAGTCTGGCGTGCCTGGTTACGTATGTACACGAGGCCATGTGGCCCAAAAGGACAAGGCATGTTCTTATGGTGGTAATTGGAAAGGCCCTGAGTCCTTGAATGACGCTTAAGATGGTATGAAATCGGCTGTCTGGCAGGATGGCTCGGGCACGTCTGGAGTCCAGGATTGCTCCAATGAACTCTATCCTCTGAGTTGGTACTAGAGTGGACTTCTCTCTGTTGAGTAGAATGCCCAGCTCGTGGAAGGTGTGCGTCACTATGCGGACATGAGCCTGCACTTGGTCTCTGGTGCGGCCGCGTACGAGCCAGTCGTCCAAGTACGGGAACAGTTGTATCCCTTGTCGACGAAGGAAGGCCGCGACGACTGCCAGACACTTTGTGAACACCCTGGGAGCCGAGGACAAGCCGAAGGGAAGGACTGCGAATTGGTAGTGCACCCTGTTTACCACAAATCGCAGGAAACGTCTGTGGGGCGGATAAATTGCTATGTGGAAATAAGCGTCCTTCATGTCGAGGGCGGCGAACCAGTCTCCAGGATCCAGTGAAGGGATGATGGTCCCCAATGACACCATGCGGAACTTCAACTTTACTATGAATCTGTTGAGTCCGCGCAAGTCTAAGATGGGCCGTAGACCCCCTTTTGACTTGGGTATCAGGAAGTAGCGGGAGTAAAACCCCCTGCCCCTTAGCTCCGATGGAACCTCCTCTATGGCCCCCATAGCGAGGAGCCCAAAAACCTCCTGTGTAAGGAGTTGCTCGTGAGAAGGGTCCCTGAAGAGGGACGGGGAGGGGGAGTGGGGGGGGGTCGAGGAAAACTGGAGGGCGTATCCCCTCTCCACCGTGCGAAGGACCCAACGGTCCGAGGTTATACGGGACCAAGCACGGTGGAAGCGGGAGAGGCGATCCCGGAAGGGGGGAGTTGGATCCTGGGTACCGGTCGTGGTGCCGTCCTCAACCGCACCTTCAAAAGGTTTGCCTAGGCCCTGAAGGTGGTCTAGGCTGGCCCTGGTTCTGACCGGGTTGAGGGCCGGTCGACCTTCGCCTACCACCTCGACCCCGCCTCCTAGCAAAGTCCTGTCTTGGACGAGGCGGGGGAGGGTAGAATCGCTGAGGCTGGGGCCTGAAGGGTCTGCGCTGAGGCCCTGGGACATGCATCCCCAGGGAGCGCATCATTGTCCGAGAGTCTTTAAGATTTTGGAGCCTCGAGTCTGTTTTCTCCAAAAAGAGGCCCTGGCCCTCAAACGGTAGGTCCTGCAGGGTCTGCTGCAGTTCAGGTGGCAAGCCTGACACCTGGAGCCAGGAGATTCGGCGCATTGCTATCCCCGACGCCAGGGTCCTAGCGGCCGAGTCCGCTATATCAAGGGACGCCTGCAGGGAGGTGCATGCCACCCGCTTGCCCTCCTCTACCAAGGCCCCGAACTCTTCCCTCGATTCCTGGGGAACCAGCTCTCTAAATTTCCCCATCGAGGACCACATATTAAATCCGTAGCGGCTCAGGAGCGCCTGCTGGTTCGCTGCCCGCAGTTGCAGTCCGCCAGCCGAATAGACCTTGCGTCCGAACAAATCGAAGCGCTTAGCGTCCTTCGATTTGGGCGCAGCAGCCTGCTGGCCATGGCGCTCCCGTGCATTGACTGATGAAACCACCAGTGAGCACGGTTGGGGGTGAGTGTACAAGTACTCATGTTCCTTGGAGGGCACAAAGTACTTCCTCTCAACCCCTCTGGCAGTGGGCGGAATAGAGGCCGGGGTTTGCCAGATGGTGGTGGCGTTCGCCTGGATAGTGCGGATCAGCGGTAATGCCACCCTGGATGGAGCATCCGCTGAAATGATCTGCACGATGGGATCATGGACCTCCGCAATCTCCTCCACCTGGAGGTCCATATTGCGAGCCATGCGGCGCAGCAGGTCCTGGTGGGCCCGAAGGTCTATAGGAGGCGGCCCAATGGCGGATGTGCCCGCTACGGCCTCATCAGGCGAGGACGAGGAGGATGCCCCCGGTGGCAAGGGGTCCAATGGTTGGTCCTGCTCCAGGTGTTCCTGGAGTTGGGCATCGCCTGCCCCCAGGTCCAGGGCCTCTGCTGGTGCGGGCACTGGCGCCTCCACGTCCCTTGGAGGAGGGCGGGAGATGGTGGACTCTGGGGCCCTAGGCTCCGAACGGCCCGAGGGGGAGGCAGATAGCGGAGCTCCTTGTGCCTGATGGTAGGCCCAAGGAGTCCAGAAGGACCAATGCGCAGGCCCTTGCATAGGGTCGTCGGTCTCCTGCAGGTGGCCGGCCTCCACTGCCTCAGATGATCGCGACGCCGATCTCGACGGCCACAGCGGTGCCGAACCCGACGCCGTCGGTACCGGATGGTACGGTGCCGATCGGTGCCGGCCGTAAGGCGATCTGCCCCTGTGCGGTGCCGGAGAGCGGTGCCGGGATCTGGATCAGTGCCGGTAGTCCCTCCGGTGCCGGGATCCCAATCTGGAACGGGACGACGATCTGGAGGAGGCGTGGTACCGGGAGCGGCCTCTCGAGCCCGAGTGGCGCTCATACCGGTGCTGGGAGCTGCGTCTCGAGCCCGATCGGTGCCGGTCGTCGCGACGGTGCCGGGATGTTGAACGGCGTCGCGAAGAGGACCTGGGCCGCGAGTACGACCGGTGCCGAGGTGATATTCGGCGCCGGGACTCAGAGCGGCGTCGGGACCTGCTCCGGGATCTGGAGCGGTGCCGAGAGACTCGTGCTGGCGACGGTGGGCGCACCAGGGCAGGCTTTCCTCTGGACTGCAGCACGCGTGGAGCCACCGGTGCCGGGAGTTGTGACGGCGCCGGCTCCGTGAGGGCGATCAGGTCTCTCGCCGTAGCGAAGGTCTCCGGGGTGGAAGGGAGACAAGGTTCCACCACCAGCCTTGGTGGTGAAACAGTCCGCACCGGACTCAACGGCCTCGGTGCCGGAGTCGACGGTGTGGCCGCCTGTCTTTGGCGGTCCAACTGCGGACGCGGCTCTACCCCCGGCACCGGGGGAGCCGGTATCTTTGCGGCAGCAACGTCCCGCGCCTTGCCGGCCTTCTTATGGCCCGGAGAAAGGGATCGGCGCCGAGGTTCTTTAGGCGGGCGCGGTGCCGACGTCGGTCGGTGCCGAGCAGTCTTTTCCGCCGCACCGGTTGGGCCCGCCGGGGCGCTGCGCACCGAAGCGCTCGGTGCCGGGACAGGGCGCGCCGAGGGAGGATCCGGACTCAGAGCCGCCTCCATCAGGAGCTGACGGAGTCTAAAGTCCCGCTCCTTTCTTGTCCTTGGCTTGAAGGCCTTGCAGATAGGGCACTTATCTGCTGGATGAGCCTCTCCAAGGCACTTCAAGCAGGAACTATGCGGGTCGCTGGTTGGCATATGCTTCCCGCAGGACGCGCACGGCTTAAAGCCAGGAGCCTTGGGCATGGGCCCGGCTGTGCGCCGGGGGGAAAAGGGGAAAAACACCCCCTAAACCCCCGATAACAATATACAACTATATATATACACTATACACTAACTAACTAACTTGAATAACTATCTATATAACTAACTATAACAATAACAATGAGAAGCTAGGGAGTGTGGAGATCAGCTAAGCCGCGCTCCACAGTTCCAACGACCGTCAGGGGCGGTAAGAAGGAACTGAGGGGGCGCTGGGTCGGCTGGGGTATATATCCAGCGCCATAACGGCGCCACTCTAGGGGGCTCCACAGCCGACCCACCGGGTGTTGCTAGGGTAAAAATCTTCCGACGATCGTGCACGCGGCGCGCACACACACCTACTGGAATGGATATGAGCAAGCACTCGAAGAAGAATAAATATTTACTTCATGGTTGATCTGAACTGGGCCCTGTAGACACAGACTATAGCTGTCTGAGGCAGGACTAAGACAACAAGCAACAAACGAAGGATATGGAAGAGGGAGACAATTAAATATAACACATTTTGTTATGTATATTATATTTTAATATACATCACCTCTCAACGTTGTTTATAATGCTGTTTATAATGCACGTTTAGCCCCTATACACACGCTTAGCCATGAGGTAAATTGCAGAACTATATGTTAAATAAGGTACAGTGTACCTTTGACCCACCTCACCTACCCTCTGCCCAATAACTGAGATTTATTCCAACATTCCAAAATCTGAGAGGCTTCCAAGAGCTGCCGTTAAAAAAAAAAAAAAAAAAAAAAAAAAAAGAAGTCAACTCAGACATTCCCTCCTCCCTACCCTGGAATTACACCTGCTGAAGCCAAGGACAGGCAACATTCAATCCTGGGTCAGCAAAAGCTATTCTAGACCTAAGACATGAACTTTAAAGACCATTTTCTCATGGCCCTAATGAAAATATTTTTAAACAAATTGCTTACTGTGGTTTTCTGTAAAAATAAGCCTTCTCTCTGTCATGGTCTTCTTCCTTCTCAGAGTCTTCACTGGTTGAAGATAAACTGTCATCCCGCCGTCCCTCTTCGGGCTGGAAGGGAATGCTTGGTGAGAAGACTACTGGAGTTTTGGGTGAACTGAATACTGAGCATGATCCTTCACTAGTGGATGAGTAATGGGATGGACCATCAATAGTTACTGACAAAAGGTCCAGTTCTGTCTCCTCTGGAAACTGATTGTGAAAAGACAAAAAGATATTAAAGTTCACAGTTACTGTCTTTACTACGCAAAAATTAAGATATCTTGGGGAAAACGCAGGAGTGCTTTTAAAAACTCTTAAAGCTCAGGTTCCTCATTTTGAACAGACAGAAGTGTCAGATTTAGGAATGTATGAAATGAATCATGTAACACAATAAATAAATGTATAGGTTTGGAGGAAAAACAGTACCATACATTTACCATTGACTTAGTGATTGAGTTGAATTTGTTAGCTAGATAATTAAACAAGCTCTGATCAAAACATACATTATGACAGGCCATCACTAGAAGAATGAACATTTAACTGAAAACAGATTTTAAAAGTAAAGAACATAGAACAGAAAGAATTATCCTGGCCACCTGTAAATTAGAGAAATGCACAGGAATCTGTTAGTGAATGAAAGGGCATGCAAAGTACTAGTACAGAATGTACAGTATTCTCTTATACATTATGCTCTTCTTTTTAGAAAGTTGGATAAAAGTGACTTGATGGGAAGAAACTTTAGGGTTACATTTCCAAAAAGTGGTTCCAACTGTTTTGGTGCACTTTGCATCAGCAAATACCCCCACACAAAGAGTTTTCAAGCACTAACACCTGTATATGCAGGGATAGAGTCTAAACAACTGTACATGGAGACGTTAGACTCTAACACATGGGCCATTCAAATGGGTGTTGAGTGGAAGATCCTTTGATAATTTGCTCCATGCTTTCATTATGGCCATTAACACATCTAACATCTGACTTAACACTACTTAATATTTGACAGTCTTTTCTAAGCTGTGGAAAATTGATAGAAATGGATATTACAAATGAATGGAACCTTTTGATACATTCTGTGTTAAATGTATATAAAAACTCTGCAAAGCACAATTCTGCCTTTCCTTTTGTTCTCAGAAATGAGCTGTTTAGACATCAACACTCTAAGGTGATCTGAAAAAGCATTCTAACTCAGAAACTTATAAAAGAAAAATAGAGGAAAGGTGGAAATGAAAAAGTTAGATGATTGTCTTCTAAAAGGTGTACTTAGTTTCTTCCATTCAATATGTCTAAAGTATCTTTTTAAAATTAAAAGGTTTTTTTACGTAGGTGAGTTGTCTGGGCACTAATTTTGACAAACTGTTATCCTGCTCCCTTTAAATAAGGTATCTTACACAACTGTACTAGATATAGGAATTTTAATATCAAATTATGATGCTTGATGGCCTCCCACCTTGGAATTATATTCCATCAGTGTTGATGCCTGCACTCTTGGGACACACTTGAAAAAGATTAAGATAATTGTGTGAGCACTGAGTCCTTCTCTACAGTACGCTCTGCATATAAGAATAGATCATGGCTTGCCTTATTGTAGTCTCTATAATTTAGATCAGCCTTCATCAGGGCCTTTTTAAATATGCAAACAAAATATGTCATTACTAGTTTTACAAAAAACTGCAAAATTTAAGCTACATATGGGAATGTAAGCATCCTTGAGAACTCAGTTTATCATGTCCACCTATAACTTTTCACATGTTTAAACTTACTTAAAATCTTTTTTTAAAAACTGATATACATTCTGCCTAGTGGAGTTTGAAAGAGAGATGAATAACTGAAGAGCAGCTGCCAGTGAGGTGAATTAGTGCTATGGCAAAGTATGTATTTTTTCTTTTTACAAGTACCTGAAAATACCCTTCCCCTGGACCGCTGGATTGTTGTGTAATCCCCAAAACTGTTTTATTCAACTTAATTAAAAATGAAAAAGAAAAAATAAAATTAAAACAGTTACCATAGCATGACTCATTCAAAACCAACAGCAATGACACATTTAGGAAGGATGGGGACGAGGGAATATTGCAACAAAAAACCTGATATTTGAATAATACATTTTAAACATACAGATGGACGTGTGTATCAGACTATAGCAAACTCAGAAAATGTTTATTTCATTAATAACCATTTCCAAAATGCTAAACAAGGCTGAACATACAAATTAGCATATGGCTATTGGGCATATCTGTTAAAAATAGCAATAACATGTTAACCATGTGTATTATTTTTGCACAAGATAGCTCTTGGTCTGAGGATACCTGGAAGTGAACTTGTTAAAAATATAAACTAATCTATTTAAAGAAGTAAGTGAAAATTCTTTAGTTTGATATTTCTATTAATAATTTCTGTGTTAAAATGGACACCACCAGACTTAATAATTATCAAGAGGGGTTGGCAATTCAAATCTTCGTAAGTATATTTAACTCAGGTATTTCCAAGGTGCTACCAGTCAACATGGTATTTAATCTACTATAGCATGGTATGCTAATTAAATTGATATGTAGGGTATGCCTTACAGGGTCCTGTATGTTGAAGGTTACTCTGGGTCCAGGAGATGCTGCATCTACACGGATTTCTGGGAGCTCTTCACTGTCTCCTAGTCGAGAGCTACAAGCAAAATATAACAGGAATAAATAAACTATTACAGTTTTGAATGTAATGCAGGATGTACTTGCCACGTAAAAGTTCAATAACTACACAAAAACTGTTGCACTAAAAATATAAAGCATCAGTCAATGCTTAATATTTTATAGAATTCAAATGGTATTAAATCAGTATTCAAGCATTTATGGCACATAAAAAGGAAAAAGATGAAGTTTCAAATGACTTTGGCCAGCAGTTCACTTAATTTTGCGGGGCTTTTTTTTGTTTTTTACTCTTTTCAAGCACAGGCCAAGAAGCAGAAAGACAGTTAAAAACATAAAATGTGTGTGACTTGTCACATGGAATGAAGTACAACTGGCAGATTATGCATATTCACAAAATACAGACAATTTTTCAAAACGAATGAAATCATTATGACATATTTACAGTGCAAATTTACAACTTCTCATTCACAATTAACAACTCACTAGCTTTTGAGAAAATCTTAAGCATTCCTTGATAGGCTAGCCAGCTGAATAAACTACATAACACATTTTATTAATCTTCCCAACAGAATTCCTAATTCTCTGAAGATGATTTTGTTAAAAGGTGAAGTGAAATGCTTTTTACCTGCCAGGATTTGAGTTAAGAGTCTTCACACTTGCACTCCTTCTACTGTGTAAGGTATCAGTAACGCTAACCAGTTCAGAAGAAACATTAACCTGTAAATCCTATAATCTTACAAGGCAAGTAAAAGAGGAATTCACTTTGATCCATTTTGTTTAAAGCCATTTGTAATTTGGAAGAGCTGTTCTCTGATATTTTGGGATCTCTATTAGTATTTTTTAAAGCTTCAATCTACCTTTAAAACTAATGCTCAAAATTTTCAACCAATTTGTCTTAACTTAAAAATGTCTATAATTGATGGAGAAGATGCTTATAATTCTAATAGCCAAGTTCCCTCTCCTGTTTTCTTTTTTTTAAATCTAGTACTGTACTTTATTGCTGATTAAAATGTAGCCACTAATTTTTTAAAATCCAAACCCTCCAACGTGTGCGTTTTCCCTCTGCTGGTTGTACAACAACATGCTTATTCACAAAGCAGCAGTGACACCAAGCAAAGTTGATGCACAATATTCTGCTATGAGAACTGCAACTTGCTGCTGCTGCTGTGAGCTTCAGAATACTTGGAAGAAGGAGAAAAGGAAATCATTTGCTGAAAGAAAAAGTTGCCTTCCCTCCACTAGTAGTTTAATCCTTTTTCTAATATGAGGTTGACAATGGAGTGTAAAAATTAAAGGGATAAATCGTGTCGTCTTTACTTATTAGCGTCCCCTGAAGTGCCTGCTGAGTAGAACCTTCAAATATGGGTCTTAAAAGTCCTACAAAATGACTACATAAGAAAGTGACACCTTTCTCCTCAACTGATTGGCTCCCTGAATGCATTCAGAGTAATATCTGATTATTTTACTACCTTAAGGTTTACTACTTCTTAACTCAGTCCTGCAGAGCAAATACAGCTCTGGAAGAAGGAGATGGAGTTTATTCTGTTTGTGAATCATCTCAAAATAGTTAGCCAAATTTAAATTGTAGAATCTTGGAGGCTGATGTGTGAGCCAGAAAGATCTCAATTTAATTTTCAGAATCCAGGTTCAGTTTCCAATACAGCAATTCAAACCCCACACTCTTTAGCTTCCAATAACTTCTGGTAAAGCTTTGCCTTTATAGATTTATGGATGCACTTAAATTTGATAGTTCAGCTGTGCATACTGACTATGAAGTGTAGAAGACCACAGACCTTATTAATTCTGTAAGATTTGAGCACTATGAATGTCCACAGTGAATATTTGTAATCATCAAACCTCCTGAGAAATGTACAGACATTAGTTCTCAGAAGACAGACAAAACAAATTTGGAATTTCTAAGTCAAGCTGCTTTAGAGACATGGTATGCCAAAAACAGATGCTTCACAAAAAGTAGGAAACTTCATTTGTCAAACCTCCCATCTCTCGAAAACATTTTCTCAAATCCACCCTAAAAAAAAAATATACCCATCACCTATGTCAAAAGACATCATGAAGCTCCACAATTAGACATTCTCCCTGTTGCCGTCTATTCTAACTTCATTACAGATCTCATCCTCCCACATGCATAGTCATTTGCCAAAAACACTCTACCTTGCCCTGTCCATTCTTTTTAGAGGTGGTCTTCCAGATGCTGAAATTGTTTTAGATCGGTTATAGCTGGGTTTGTAACCTAGGCCCCATTTGTCCTTCAGAGAAGCAGCCTAAACAAAAGAAAAATATATTTAAGATGTTGAGGACAAAAATAATGAAAATTATACATAAACATGGCAATGTGGAAAAATTCCACTACTTAAAACATTTTATTTTACAGCCATGCCAACAGTTATGAAAAAACGTTTACAAAATAATTTTATTTTGTAGCATGTGCTCAAGGCACCCCTCTGCAGGCCTTTGCCCAAATCTTCATTTTGACTGGTCTCTGGACAATTCACTCACCTTTCATACTAGCTGGCATTGGTACTTTCTTGCTGTCAGAAGAACAGGGTGACCCCCCTGCACCCAGTAGTTTGGGATCTGCCTACTTGAATAAAAGTCCTCTCTTCATGTGATATTGCTGCAACTGCAGTCAGCAGAGGAACATGAGCTAGAGCCTCCTCATTTAAGAAGAAGCTGCCAACAGAATACTCTCTGAGAGCGGTCCCTTGCTTTGGGATGGACTCATTTCTTGGTCCAGAATAGCTCAAATGTACTGATCTTCAGGGTCTGCTGCAAATACCCTTTTCCATGCTTTATGGCAGGCAGTGGGGCATGATAAGAGCAGGCATTTGTGGGCGAGTGAGGATACTGTTTGGGTTGGAGCTTTATTTCTGTTTGGGTATTTTCTCCTGCTTGCTGTTTTTATCTTTAATGATAGTGTATTTTTGATTAATAAAAAGGCATCTCAATTTAGGAATAAGCAATTTCTTTTAGCACACATTATAAACCTAATAAAATAAATCAGCCAAATGGAATATAACAGAGATTTTGCTCAGATACTCAAGCATGCTTATCATATCTGGATTCTTCTGGCACAGTAAGGCAATGTTTTAAGATTGCTACCACCTCTGAAAGCCTGAGTTTGAGTCTTGGCTAGTAAATGCTCCAGCATTGCATATTATTGCTTCCAAACCTCTGGAAGCCAATTCTTGTGTACATTTGCTGAACATAGATATATTTAAAAATATTAAAAACATCTATTTTAAAAAGTTAAAATAGAGCTATTAAAATAGTTTTTTCCTAAAGATTTGTCATAGGAAAACAAACAAACAAAAATCCACCTAATGCACAGTACCATTAAAATTCTGGTTTTCTATCTCCAGTAGGATAGAATAATCTGTTTTCCCAGAAAGTTAAACCATGTGTTTTATATATTTAACAGTCCTTTTACCTTTCTTTTTCAGTGTCTTTCTTTTATTTATTTTTAATATGTGGAAGAGAAACTTGTAAGCGAAAATCTTAAGAACTTGCCAAACAGCTTTAGAAAATTGCTCACCCTCATGCTGGACCTACGTAGTTTTTTACGGACGTCTCGGCGAATGTCATTCACAGCTACTGACTCTAATTGTTGATAGCGCTGAATTTCTTGGTTTATGGTTCCTTCACTTGCACCTAGTTTTCTGGGAACAAGTCAGGACAGTGAGTTTTCCAGATGGAATGAATAACTAGTGAAGTTAAACACTACTTTCACCCTTTCCTTTATCAACAAAATCTCTATACCAGGGGTTCTCAAACAGGGGGTCGGGACCCCTCAGGGGGTCGTGAGGTTATTACATGGGGGGTCACGAGCTGTCAGCCTCCACCCCAAATCCGGCTTTGCCTCCAACATTTATAATGGTGTTAAGTATATTAAAAAGAGTTTTTTAATTTAGAAGGGAGGGTCACACTCAGAGGCTTGCTATGTGAAAGGGGTCACCAGTACAAAAGTTTGAGAATCACGGCTCTATACTGTGTTCCTGTGACAATCTTAAAGCTTTTCAAACCATAACCCAATCAGCTTCTTGTTTTTCAGGAGTTATCTATCACCAATGCCATCTTTTCCATATATGGCTGTTGAGGGTCCACCATTATTTCACTATACAACTTTTGTCCATACTGTAACTTCTTTGCAAGTACCCATGATTTCAAGGTTTTTACCTCCCAGTCACACATTCAGGAAACAGAAAAAGGGGTGTGTAGCAAAATATACAAGATGTCAAACATTATATTGTGATGCCAACAGAGGTGGAAGAGGGATAGTTGCTAGAGAGCAGCTCCCTTTAAAAAGAAAGGCTCCTAAAGAGAGCAAAGATTCCCAGCTGGAACAAATCTGGATGAAAATTAGAATTTTTAAGTGTTTTCTATGTTCCTTAGTTCAAGAAAAGCAGGCGGGGAGTGGAAACCACTTGCTAGAGATGCCAGCAGGCAGGCTGAACTGGGGAAATTTCCAGGAGGAAAGAGCTTCCCACAATGGCAGACCAGACTGATCAGATCCCCTGAGTATGGAAGGCAGAAGAAGAAAATCTCCTGTAGGAATGACAAACTTGAACTTAAACAAGTTTAGAAAGGAAACTCACTAAGGTTATTTTAAAGAGAACAGGGTTTGTTGATGCTACAATACGTTGAGGACAGAAAGGTGCAAACATTAATTTTGGTCATCACAGTCACATGGCTACAAGCATTTCTTACCACATATTAACTATGAATGTTTGTATATCAAAGAGTTTGGTTACAACTAGCCTTTGATTGACTGCTGCTGGCAATCTTGCCTAAAGCTGAAATAATAAAGTATGTCCATTCTTCATTATAATTTAGCAATCAATCAGCAACAGGCATTCTTTATCACAGGTGATCCCACTTTTTACTATGATTGACCTTGCCTTCCAAATGCCAAAAATGCAAATAAAATGTTTTCATACAAAACTCATAGCTGACTCTTGCCATGAGCACTTTCAGGTGACATTTTTAATTTTCCCTTTGTGTGTGTTTTATGGAGTGTCTGAATTATTTATATAATAAAAATATATCATATAAAATCCATAAAATAGTTTATTTAGAGAGGTTTCTTCTTCCTGCAGTGAATGTGATCTCATTCCAACTTCAAAGCACTGTCACTCCAGCAAGTCACAATCATATAGCTGGTAACAGAAGTGCTACAAATCATGATGGAAATATGGTTTGCCATGATATTGGAACTGCTGACACATTGCCATCAATGTGAGGCAAAACCAGAAATGAAAGATGACTTGACACTCAGGAGAGCTTCCTGGGGATTTTAATGGCCACTTGTGCACCTGATTTTCTCTAGTAGAACCAGAATGATCAACGATTAAAAAAACATTTCCTCTTGCAGATTGTATAGTTCCACCAATGCTGAAGCAGTAGAGGTAAGAAAAGGGAAAGCCCAGTTTCAATTTGTTTTTCCCAAACTATGAGGGGAGATTAATAAGACTGGGACTTTTCAGCTTGGAGAGATGACTAATGGGGAGGGAGGGGAAGATGATAGAGATCTATAAAATCATGACTGGTGTGGAGAAAGTAAATAAGGAAGTGTTATTTATCCCTTAACATAAAACAAGAACCAGGAGTCACCCAATGCAATTAATAGGCAGCAGGTTTAAAACAAACATGAGAAAGTACTTCTTCACACAATGTACAGTCAATCTGTGGAACTCTTTGCCATAGATGTTGTGAAGGCCAAGACTATAACAGGGTTAAAAAAAGAACTAGATAAGTTCACGGAGGATAGGTCCTTCAATGGCTATTAGCCAGGATGGGCAGGGATGCAAAACCGTGGTCTGAAGTGTCCCTAGCCTCCGTTTGCCAGAAGCTGGGAATGGACGACAGGGGATGGATGACTTGATGATTACCTCTTCTGTTCATTCCCTCTGAAACACCTGACATTGGCCATTGTCAGAAGACAGGATACTGGGATAGATGGACCATTGGTCTGATCTAGTATAGCCTTTCTTATGTTCTTAACTATTGGGGGAGGGTTTTTTTGTTTTATTTTAAAACACAAGAAAAGCCAACTTACTTGAGATCATCAATTACTTTGGCTTGTTCATTCAGTTCCCTAATATCTACTAAACGTTTCACAAATTTTCTTCCTCTCTGCTCTCCAACTTGGCTACCAGATGCTCCCTGTCGCCGATAATCAACAGTTTCCTATTGAAAATAATATTTCATTAAATTCCTTGTTAAACATACAGAACCAATTTTAAGTCACAGGTACAATGAATTGTACACCCTAAATCAAAACACCGCATGCAAACATTATTTTTAAAAGTCAAAAGGCAGCTGATTTGAAATTTTCCAATGATTCAAGTCCCATCATTTGCTTAAAGACAAACATTAGCTGCTACATACATGTCCCCATGAGCAAGACCTGCCCGCTTTCAAATGTGAACTAGAATGAGTAGAGTCACACATCGCTGACCCCGACAGATACTCTACAGGAACGGAATATCGATGGTTTTGGGGGCTCAAACCCAACAGGTGATTTACAATCCGCTGCCCAAATGTTAACTTGTGTGCATCTCCACATAATGAAACTCCATCTGATTTCTAAATAATAAACAGGAATGTTAGTGTTTTAGGGCAGTTTTTCCCCAGAGCCAGTACAAGATTCTTGCAAAACTGCAATTGTTTAAAGAAATAATTGTTAAAAAAACTACTTAATATGAAACCAAAACACAAGTTGACACACAGTATTGGTTTTTGCTACTGAAAATGTAGTTCTTCTAGCTAGTTTGTAATGTTAGTATCTTCCATTGCTTGCTAGGATAATCAGAGTAACTGTAGCCAAAGTCTTTCAAAGCGGGTGCTTAAAGTTAGACACCTGAATGCGTACTACGGCATCTAATAGAAATGGTCTGCAAAAATCTCACAGCTGATTGAGCTAAAATTTCCCCACCCCATACACACACACACACACACACACACACTAATAGAAATGTTCTGAAGCTTACTGTTATGCCTAAATAATTTCACAAAATAAATTTAGACACTATTTTGGTTGATTCTCTTACTGCATGTATAGTGGGAGACATGGTATCAACTTCGTCCTCATCCGATAGGTCAGCTATGTTTACAGAATTGAGGTCAGCAATGTCATCAACATCTTCTTCTCCTGTCAGTGTTGTGAGGGTATTGCCCAAAGCATTTAATCTTTTCCCAATGTTAGGATCCATGTGGACATCAATACCGCACATCTTCCATAACACATTGAGAGTCCAGGTTCCAGCACTATTGCTTTCTGGTTAAAAGAGAAAATTTGCCTGATGATTTTTCTCTTCCTTGTAACCAGGTTTGTCATTGGATGTCATGTCTGCTTCTACAGCTTAGCAGATAGAACCAGACTTATCCATCATGGGGCGCTGCCTTGGCTCTGCCCACTTGTAAAAAGCCCCCAGTGAGACCTTTCCAGAACTGAAACACACTTTGAAAACAGTTAACAGATATATCTATTAAGTTTGTATTAAGATTTCTCTATTGAATATAAGGAAAATCTGATAGGCCACATGGAAAGTAAATTCTCCAGGGTGTGAAAGGCACAGTTAGCCACTAGAAGACAAACATGAAATATGAATTTCAATCTCTCTCTCTGAGCTAGGTTTACCATTTCCAACACAGGGATTCCAACAGCAGTGAAACCCGAAGGATGGGCACGTGAGAAAATAATTTTTAACTGTTCACAAATCAGACTCTTGGAATTACTCAAATCACAAAGATTTCAACGGTGCATTAAAGCCTGCACCTGCATCCTCTGAGTCTTGAACATATAATTTCTAGTGCCTACTGAATGGGTGAAATGGTTACCATGTTGGAGTTTTACATATTTCATCTTAAGAGGGAATAGAAGTTTCCAACCAAGTTCCACCATAGAGCGCCAAAAAACAGATATGGCTTAATGGACTTTGTAAGCTTTTTTATACAGTATTCTTAGTCATCTGGTTATGCTGAGTTTGCTATTTTTTGCCTTTTAATTGATGAATGGTAGAGGATGAATATGGCTGTTAATGGCAAAAACTTTTTAGAAAGCTGAACAGTTACATCTTGACTGCTTTGTGGACATGAAGCAGGTGCCAGACCTTCTCATTAGAAAGTGCTGAATTTGGACAAAAAGAAGAAAGGGACATGTACTGGCGATATCCTGAGATAAATTTTCATAGTGTTCACAACAAGCATGGATTCCAAAGTCTCCTTTTTACATGTCGTGTTTACCAATTTAAATCTTTCCGATTCAAATGGTCCCATTTCCACTGGATATTTTGGGAATGATCAGGACTGAATATGCTCCCAAGCTTTGCTTCCCCTTCAGCTATTGTCCAAATAGCTAAAAGATGTGAAAAGGTTTTTATGGTCTGAGTTTGCTTCCTTGGGTTTGAGAATAGAAGGGAAGAAAAAGTTTCTTACAAGTAATTTTGCTGAATTTTCTGGGGTAGTCTTTGCTCACAGTTTCCATCTGACTGAGATCAAAGCTGCCCACACAGGCTACCTTTCAGACATGCTGCAGAACGGCGTGAACACCTCTTTCTTTGGCATTCTCCAGCATTATGGCTCTGAGGCAAGAGTAAGTTAGAGCACAGAGCCCCTAGAAGCTCCATTGAGCCACAAAAAAATCCCTGAAATAGGCCACCAAAGCAAGCAAGTGAATTTTAAAAGACTAGTTCAGAAATTCCTATTTGGAAGGTTTTTCATATGCTATGTAACTTGAAAAGGCAGAGAGAGTCTGCGGACTGCTGACACAGCCCCCTCAGAGCAAAATGAACAGGGAACTTTTCACAAGTGGGCAGAGCCCTGTGTTGGCCCATTAAACCATAGAAGCAGAGGGAAAACCCACTGCCAGAATGGAGAATCTAACTATGTGGGAAGAAGAGCAGTTGTGTTGTTTTGATCTATAACCATACAATTATAAAATCTAAAACAGTTTGCAGATATGCAAATTAATGCATACCCTAGGTAGATTACAGTGGGCATTAAATAGAAAAGCGACATTGTTTGCAATATAAAATTGAGATTATAAAAGACATTTCTATAATTTAAAATTATTTTCATAATATATTCTTATACTCTAAAATACACCATGATTTTTAAACAAATAAAATTGTATTTGTATACATCAAAGTATATTCAATTTTAGGTTTTTCTGTTCCCTAATTTCTCTTGCTCCCCACAAACATACCCCTTCTTGTCCACGTTCTAGTCTTCTTCCTAGTCTGCATAATCCTCTTGTCCAATTCTATGTATTTCCCCATCTTCTTCCACCTTTTGTTTTTTTCTGTAATCTGACCTTTATCTGCTTTGCAATTCTGGCTCCTTCCTCAGTTACCCTCCCCACTTCCTTGAAGCCTGCTAAGACTGTTGGTTCCTCTCCTATCCCAGTGTTTGCTCTGTGGCCTGATTGGCATGCCCAGTAGCTCAATTTTTAATTGTTAAAATATAATGTAAAATGCAAACCAAAGAGCACAAATGAGTCATATCAGCCCTAGGGAGGAATGGTGGACATCACCAGAGCATCGAAATACCTCTGCAGCCATGGCTGTTTTATCCTCCCCCTTCAGGGCTGATTAAATGCCAAACACACTTGGACTAAAGAAAACGTAATAGGTAACTTAAGCAAAGCACCCCATTATATTTTTGAAATCCAGGGTTTGCTCAAAGTGCTAGAGGGAGGCTGATCCACCATAATTTTCATTTTCTTCCACCTGCATTCATTCCCTTTCCAGAAATTCCCTTTCTGCCCAGACTCAATGTATATCAACAGAGCTGGCTGGAAAATGGATTATCCTTTGAGTGATAAAGTTTTTGAAACTTTTCTGAATGAAAAGACAAAAATTCAATTTTTTTTTTGTAGGAAGAAAAATCCAGTTTTGGAAGAACCAAAATGGAATTTTTCCACTTGTTGGCTGCCTGGCTCCCTAGCTTCCCACGGAAGGGCAGCTGGACAGAACAATAAGTCAGCCAGCTGTGGGACCCAGGGAGCCAGCTGTTTGGGAAGCCTGGGGAGCTGGCTATCTGTGAAAACAGGCTAGGCCAAGGAATTGGCTGTCTAGGAAGCCAGGCACAGCCTGGGAACTCACTAGGCAGGCTACTGGAGTTCTTGGGGAGCCAGTTAATTAAGGACCTGGCAACCCCACAGGTCGGCTGCTGGTGAGCCTGCCTGCCTGGTTGACTGAGAGGAAAGCAGGGAGGAAGGCAGGCTCACATCAAAACTTTTCATTAAATTGAAATATTTCTGCAGAATACTTCAGTTCTGTTGAATCAACATTTTTCAGCAGAGAACTGTTTTCTTTGGAAAATTTTCAACCAGCTCCAATTATTATACTAAAAGGATTATTTTTATTTTGTATGTGTCCAATTTTTTACACATTTGATCCAGCAGGAATTAAAGTCTATCATGGCTTGCTACTACCTTTTACCAGGGTTAGCTCTAGTTTTTTTGCTGCCCCAAGCAAAAGATTTGCTGCCCCGAGAGCAAAACTGCCCAAGCAAAAAAAAAAAAAAGAAAAGAAAGAATGACCCGGAATGCCGCCCCTGGAATTGTGCCGCCCCAGGAACGTGCTTGCTTTGCTGGTGCCTAGAGCCGGTCCTGCCTTTTACTAATTTCTTGTAGCTAAAGTCCAAGAGTTTGTAAGGCTACAAGGGATTGTTGAAAGCACTCATGGCCAAAAATAGATTGGGAAATGTGGAGCCGCTACCATGAAAAGGGGGAATCAAAACAAAGCACAACCTTGAAATATACAATCACAATTAAAACAAAGCTATCAAGAGCTCACACCTGCACTAGAATATCCTACACTTTTATAAATGTTTTAAGAATATGAAAATTGAATATAAACATTACCTGCAGCAGCCTGTCCTGCTGTCCTTGAACAGACTTCATAGGTGCCATCTGGTACTACACCTAAACATGAAATAAGCAGATGCTTGTAAGACAGATGTAATTAAACACATTTTAGATCTTCCTTACAAAATTCTTTTTGTACACTTGCCCTAGCTAAGTCAAATGTCACTTTTTTTTTAAATCATCAATCATTATCAACATGTGAGTGATTATAATTTCACTTTGGCTGGCAAGTTTTCTTAGCAATTTTGCAAGCCTGTTTCAGACATTTCTGTATGCAGTGGGAAATTAAAAGAATCCATATTTAGCTGCTGAATACGGAAGATAAGAAAGGAAGTGTTCTGAGAAAGCAATTTTTTACACATTTTTGAACAAATAGGTTTTACGCATTTTATGCATTGTGTTATTATAATATTTAATAAAAATGTAATAAAATTCAATTAAATGAATACATTTAAAGCAATAAAGTAGAAAACTTTTCCAACCTGGTTAAGGCAGATGGTACTGCAAGGCAAATATTATGTTGCAGTATATTACAATTCTTGAAAAAAGGACATCTATTGTTTAAAAAAAAAAATTAAGAATACTAAAGGGTGACTGGGGTTCACATGTAGGGTCCCACATGCAATAGAACTTTATTTGGGTTTGGAAAGCAAATTTTCATCTCTTCCTTAGTCTCCTTCTGAACCGTCAAAGTTGTGAAAAAACATGAGAAAGGGCAATAGGGGACTCTGAGTTCCAGGGCCACCAAGACAAGATTAGAAACACTTACAGGCATTCATGACTAGATCCCCTCGTATTTCTGGTTTCCAGTCATCCCAACTCGTCTCAAAACCATCAGCAAAACGGATACAGAAATTTTTAAAATGTCCTTTGCTAACCAGAGACTCTGAAGAGCAGGCAGTGATTAATGTGCTTTCAATGGTCAGGACTAAAGCAGAGCCAGTGTCAAGATCTGCTGTGTGGTTAGACTGTAAAAGGAAGAAGAGACTTGTACAGAAAAGGCAATTTATTGGTAATCACAAACTTTTTTTTTTGCAGTTCATATCTTCCTCATACCCTCCTTCTATACTTTGCCAGCTCTATAGAAACCCTCTCCAAAGCAGCAAGTCTACACATTCACAATGTCATGTATCCTTACTTCTCAGTAGTTACAGCATATCCTATGGCAGGAGTGTTAAATTCTTTTGAAGGAGAGGGCCAGATTCCATGCTTAATTATGGTCTGTGGACTGGAATATAAATTCAGGACTTCATACTTCCCTTAATTCATATCAGATCTCCCCACTGCCTTTGCAGCAAAACTGATTATTTGAAACTTTGATTATCTTATAGTCACAAGCAACATCACTCAGGGAGAAAAACTGCTCCCTTTTAGGCCACCACTATTTCTGCCTTTTGTTTCTCTTCCTTCCTATCCACCTTTCACTATTTCTATTTCTCTCTTCTCTGTCTTTGCTTGTCACTCTCTGTCCTTCCCTCTGCATTTTTCTTTCCACGCTGCAACTCTCACCCCTTGAGAGCTTCTCTCATACCCTCTTTCTTATTCCATCTAATAAAATGACCGGCAATGGAGTAGTTAACACGGATACTGAAAAGTTGTCACTGGGCTTCAAAGCTCAAAGTCCAATGAGATTAATATGCGACAGTGGATACATTATTGGTAAACCAAATGTCTTCAGACATATGCAAGACTAGTTCCCCATGAAGACGTAAATCTATGGCATTGTCTAAACTAGAATTTAATGGATGATGTCAGCATATTAGCTAACGTGCAGATGTGTTTTGTGAAAGTTTATTGAACACAGGTCGTGCGCATTCTGTTATAATGTGCTAAACTTGTCATATTGAAGCCTTGTCTCCCTCCTGACTCATAGAATCATAGAATATTAGGTTTGGAAGGGACCTCAGGAGGTCATCTAGTCCAACCCCCTGCTCAAAGCAGGACCAATCCTCAGACAGATTTTTACCCCAGTTCCCTAAATGGCCCCCTCAAGGATTGAACTCTTAGCACACGTCAAAGCAAGCACTGCCTTGTCTAAACTAGACTTAAAATGTCAGTTAGCACGTGTTAGCTAATAAGTGCTTACATCACAATTTAAATCCTTTTCTGGACAAGGTTTATGACCAACTCGGGGTCTAAACACAACCAAAACCGTTACTCAAGTGAAAAATACATTAAAAATATTAAATAACGCTCATCACTTGTTTGAATAATCCAAACATCAGTCAGAACATTTAATCACATTTTTAAAAAAGAAACTTTGTAGGGTCTTTTTGTTTGTCTTCAGTTATAAGTGTTGGAAAACAGAGGTCTTAAACTGGAATTGCTGGCATAAATGTTCAAAAAGCACGCCCAACTTCACACACCTCAAAAGATTCTCAAACTCAGGGCCCATTAAGTTGCCTCAAGCTGGGCACATGGAAAGTGAACTACTCACAATCAGTAGTCGTTTTTGAAAATTAAGGCTACTATCCACATCATAACTATAATATGGTGCTAGGGAAACATTAACATTTAATAAATTCTAAATTGGTGCAATGATAGAAAAACAGTTTATGTTAAAAGCATAAAATATATAAAAATTGCTACTTCAACAAAAATCTGCACTTCTCCACACTCTTGATATTTTTCAGATACCTGTGGTGCATTTGTGATGGGTAGACAAATTCCCAAATCATTAACAGTTAGCTGAAGAAAAAGTGTCCCAAAAGCCTGGGCAGATGTTTGCTGGATTCCAGGTAACATGTCTACCACTTCTTTTGTAGCCATGTGAATATCCTTATGTAAAGCCAGTCTCTGTTCATTCCAGTTGTCATAAGCAGCCTTGTAATTCAGCCAAAACAGCACAGCTTTATGAAGAAAAAAAGTTTCCAACAAAATTAAAATAAAATGGCACAAAAGTAGTGTTCATTGTAACAAGACTAAGGTTTGAGGTTTTTGTCTTGTCTGCATATATTAAAATACAATGGATATATATTTGTATACACACACACTTATTTCCCAGGAGCAATGTGCTTTTGTTGTCAAGAGCAAAATAAAATAATACATAAATTATAAATGCTAAGGGGCAGAGGCCAAGTTAACAGAACTCAAAATGCCGATACACTCAATGCTACTGATGTTGGTATACATTTACATAAACCATTTTGTCTATATCAACTGAAAAGCCGTCCTCCCATCAGTTCAATTTTTTGCCCTTAATTAACATTAGTACACAACAAACTTCCTAACCAAACTTTGAGAACTATACTTACAGTTCTAGTCTATTTTAGGTAACAGATAAATTCAGATTTATAAATATCAAGCATTTCTTTTTTAAAAGAAATGTACAGAACTTGTTCAATTTGAAAACAAATTTGTAATAATTCTCTACTTTCTAGCAGAAGAGAAATAGAAACAGCACCCAACAGTACCTCTGTCAAACGCCACAGGCTGAGCAAAGACAATTGGCCTGTTCAAAGTAATAAGCACAGCCTCTCTATCTGATGAACCACTGATTTCTTCTCGGAGAGCATTTCTTAATCCAATTCTTGTCTTAAAATAAGCAACTTGATGGAAGTCAGAACCTGCTTCTTCATATACCTTAAAACATTTGAAAAATACAATAAAATCACACATTAAATTACGACTTTAACAGACAAATAAATTTAACACTTTGGCATAACACAAGAAAATCAAGCATGCCCCTTTTTGCAATATGCTCTTAAGAAGATAGAAAACTGTTTTCTTCTCTACTACATTTTGACCTAAGTTGGCAAATATTGTTTGTTTTCCTGTGTTTCTTAAATAACATAAGCCAACAGATCTCTCTACATTCACTTGATGCAGCAGAATCCTCTCTGAGGATAACAACCATCTGAATACAAGTTTGTTAAATTTATGTTCTCTTTCTGACTTTCCAGAGAATCCTAAATACTGTACTTCCCATAAAATTAAGTGATTTCAGGAGACAGTAGTGAATTTAAGAATCCAGGAGATGCAATTACCAATTTAAGACAAATGAAATGGATCAAGATTTAGGTTTCACAATTTGTGATCTAATCTTTTCATTCCACGTATGTATACTAGAAATAGCATTGAAATCAATGGAAATTTTGAATTTGGATCAACTAAAGCATTAGGCCATTAGTGTCCGCAATACAGTGGGGCAAATTTTTTGGATGAATAAACTATTTGTTGGAAAATGCAGTTCCTGTTCACTGGAGACTATTCATAAATTTGACACAAATAAGCTGAATAGTTTCATCAAGAATTTTTTTTTTCTAGCTCGATTCACACAATGTGGGAGAGTTCGGGAGCCCATCTTATAACTTCTAGCCCAGCGGATCAGTGCACTCACCCCAGATGTGAGAAACCCTGGTTTGAATCTGCTCTGGAGCAGGGATGTAATACAGTTCTCCACCCAGGTTTGTGCCCTAAGCACTGGACTAAAAAAATTATAAAGGGGGCTCCTTCTCTACTACCCCCCAATTTTTATGAATCTAGCTTTTTAAAATGCCCAGAAACAAAACATTTTAGATTGAACCACATGTTTGGTTTGTCCTAAAATGGACTTTTCAGTTCTGGTTCAACCTGAACCATTTTCCCCCGCAATATTTCACAACTGTCACCAAACAAAAAAAGCAGTTGCAGAAGTGCTAAATGCATTATTATAATAAAATGAATTTGATACTCCCTCTGATTTATCATGAATTACTGTTCACAGTGAACGTTTAGCCCTTTTTTCTTAAAGCCATCTTTAATGAGGACATTGAAATTCAAGTCTAACGCCAGACAATCAATTTCAACTGTTACACAACAGTACATGCAGAATATATTTAGGCGGTAATGTTTATTGATTCTGAACTGCGGATGCATTCTAAAGCAATTGTTTTAAATATTTTCCAACTAGAGGTCTAAAAAAAAAATCAAGCTAGTCATATCCTAGCAGAGTAAGATTAGAGAGGTTTGTTACGTTCTTTTCAAAGCAGAAGATACTTGTCTTCGTAAGAATGGAAAAGTATCATTACCAGGCTTTCCTAACATACACAGAGTTGCTGTCAACTAACCTGATGTTTAACAATTTGTCCCAATGCCAGATTCAGATCCACTTGGCATTTACCAAACAGTTTAAGGTAGCTGGTACTTCCAGGCATTGCTTTGGTTTGTATTCGGTTTGAGAGCTCAAGTTCTATCAATCCAGTTTCAAATCTCACGGCCCTCATTGATGGAGTTGTGGCTGTCACTTGAATTCCCTAGCAAACAATGAAAGAAAATTATTAAGGATCTGCTTGAAAGGTATCATTGATGAAAAAAATTCTTAGACATGAAACAGGAAAGGGAGTAAGGATTTTTCCATAACACTTTGCATTTAGGGCATTTCAAAAGATCATAAAAACCAAAGGGAGGCTTCTTTCTTGCTTTTTGCTAGTTAATTAAGAATTAGCATCCTTGTCTAACACAGGGCTGATTGTTATCTAACATTTCATTTGTGACCATCTCAGGAAAATTCTTGATTTGTTTGGTTTCAACATATTCAACTACTGGCAACAGCTTGAGAAATTTGTTGGTCATAAAGTTACCTTAAATTGTAGGCTCAAAGAGTACAAGAGAATTTTAGGCTTCTCTCCATCTGTTGTGCCATCATGTTCATTCCAAAGAGGAATTGGCTGCTCCCCTCCTGCACGTGTTAAAAACTGTATTTTCAGTGTTTTAACAAAGAGCATTTTTCATACAGTATAGAAATAAAATTTATCTTTAAATGTGACTCACTGAATGTAATCAATCAGAGTAGAGTACAGCCAGTTCTGCAGTAAAGAACTATAATAAGCGTAAATATGGAAGATTCGGGAGAGTAAGAGCTACTTGGGGTGTATTCTCAAGATCATGGGAGTAGCACTGCTAATGGCCCACTACTACAGATTAACACATTTTTTGCCTATTCCCATCAAGTCAAGGGGGGTGAAGGTGTCTAAGATGGACAGAGACTACTCCCACTCTCCAAACAACACCCACAGAACAACTAGCACCTGCAGAGAAAGGGTATCATTTGGTTCACAAATAATTGCTCTTTACCTGCAGCTAAATTCAGTCCACATCAGGTGCTAACAACAAGAACCAGTCACTTGACCAAATTTATTAAGAGGTATGCAAAAAGGTGGATTAAAAAAAAAAAAGTTACTTTAGAGTGAATGTGAAGGAGTCCTCTGCAAAATCTTTCTGTGTCCTTGGGAACATTTTTTTAAAACTTTACTTTGGCCTCCCTCCTCCCCACCCCACGTATACTTCTGGCTATAAATGAAAGAAACAATCCTTTTGGATGAGGACACAATGGTATCTTCTGTAGGGTCTATCAATATTCCACCACAGCTGACAAAAAGGGGTTACTATTGGAGTAGCACAAAGAATTCCATCTCCCCTGCAACTCCAAATTTTTCTAACCTCTGTTATCACTCAAATTTAAAATAATTATGCAGAAGTGTGGTAATTTTTTACATTTTTAAGTGACTTGGTATACATGCTCACAGACTATTTCATCCTCCAATTAGTTTTGATGCCCTTATTTGCTTTTTTCTAGCTTTTCAATATCCTTTCTAAACTTTGGTGACTAATAGAACTGGGCTAAATGGATTTTTTGGATCACTGGCAAATCTGAAAAATTGAAAAAAAATAGTAGTTTTGGGATGAACAAAACGATTTATTGCAATACTGAGCATTTTAATGTTAATTTAAAAAATAAAAGGGAAAGGTCAAAACAAAACAAAAAAATCAAATAAAAAAATGGAAACCTTTCATTTTGAAGACATCAAAAAGACATTTAGATTTTTCAGTTTTTGTTTTTTGGTTGAAACAACTTGGCAAAATCAACACAAAGTTGTTAAATGTTTTGGTGCTGCTGAAACTGCATTTTTTTGCCAAAAATGTTTCAGTTTAAAAATATCACCCAGCTCTAATGACTACAACTGCGTGTAGTGTTCCAGATGTGGTTACACTGGGGTTCTGAAGAGTGGCAAGAATAACTCCCTAGTTTTCTACACTATTTCAATAAGTACACTTAGCTCAGGCTATTTTTGCAATGGATTTCAGTGAAGTAGTTTTTATTGTGGCATCCCGGTACTTTTTTTTCCTTCAATGGTCACTGATTGCAAGTAGATTCCCCCGCAGCACCTGCCCCCCCCATTCTAAGCTGAGCTCTATTCCCTCCCTGAGATGTAGGGCTTTACATTTGTTAGCTGTGAATCACATCCTGTCAAATGAAGGCACTTCACTTTTTCCTCCATCCTCCTGTATATTTTTTACCCTTCTAATTTTGGTGTCATTGGCTAACTTGATCATGCTTGAATTTATACCTTCCTCTAGAGAATCAATGAAAATCTTAAAGAATAAAGGAGCCAAAATTGACACTTGCGGTGCTCAATCCAATGCTGCTCTCAACTTGGAGATATGACTGCTCTGTATTCTCTGCTCATCAACCAGCTTCTTCTCCATGGTATTTTAATTTTATCTAATTGGTATTCCTCTAATTATTTTAAACTTTATACTGTGCCACTAAAATGAATGCCTTAAAATACTATGGAGAAACCACAGCCACTGCATTCACTTATTACATTTACTGTAACATTCAAGTAATTTACTTACGTTATTCTGACTGCAAGGTCTTTAATGGCGAGGACCATCTTTTTGTTATGTTTGCCTAGCCCTGATTAGGGCCTTGCAATTTACAGCAATACGAAAAACTATTATAGTAATAATAATGTTTTTAAAAGACTTTTGATTGGTTCGGAACAGCTTCACTTACAATCTATAAGACTCAACAAACAGCATGTTAATGAAATTCACAGATGACAGTAAACTGGGAGGATACTGAACATCAGTGAAAACAGAGAAGTGATACAATGGCACCTAATAAAGCCTTCTCATTTTAATATTCTAAGTTTCTCTGTGAAGCTATTTTAATGGAATAATGATCATTATTAAAGCTTTTTCTTCCAGATGTTCTCATACTGATTATTATATGACAAGATATTTTGCCTGGAATAAACATCAGGCTGATGATTTTTCTGGTTCTTCCTTCCCACCCTTCTTAAAGATAGGTACCACATTTTTTTTTCCTGTCCTCTGATACCGCTCCTGACTTGCATGATTTATTTCTTTTCAGAGGTTCTGAGATTTCCTCCACTAGATTTTTAAACTCTCTTGAGGTAATCTCATCTGGACCTATAGATTTATATATATTCAGCTGTCAGACACTTGGTCATTATTTTGCTTGTTACCTTTTGTTCTGGGTCTTTGCAACTATTTTTTCTGATAACATGTCTGCTTGCTTCATAATAGCCTCTATATTTTCCTTAAAGCTTTCTAAAAAAAAAAGACCCAACAAAACTAAACTAAAAAAGTACATTAAAAACAGCTATTTGTAAATTTTAGCTCTTTTGGACTCTTCATTTACCTATTCTTTGTAAGATTATTTTCCACAGACATACAAGCCCTCTACACTGCTGTTTATGGATCTTCTATTCCTTTTATTCGCCTGATGGTTTTATTTTGGCTTTTTACCTGGCCTCTAGATTCTTCAACAGACAGCTTAGATTTTATTTATGTAATTCTCTTTCCTTTTCTTTTTTCTCATGCAGTTCTTGAATTTGTTTTTTCATCAATTCTTAATTTAGTCACATTTTTAAAAAAATCTTCTGTGCCACTTTAATTTATACTTGTGTATTAGGCTTTTGGACTTGTTTTTATTCAGATCACTTCTCTACCCATTTCCCATTTATTACTGTAGTTAATATCTCCAATTTAAGCAAGTGTCTTACAGAAATATGTAATGTTCTAATAGGATGTATTTTCCCATAACTTTTCTCTACAAGAAATATTAATCCGATTCATATATAATGACTTGCTCTCAGGTTTCCTCATTGTTGGTTCATGTCAGACCAATTCATGTTATTTCTTTCAGCCTTTGGAAAAAATAAGCTTTCCTTCACTAAATTTAAACACTTCTGTGATAAACTGTCACTATATGGTTACATTCACATTTGCTTTTCATCTTCAATCATGCGGTAGGATCCTCAGCTGGTAAATTGATATAGCCCAAGAAAATCAATGGAGCTATGCCAACTAAGGATCTGTTTTAGTACACTTTTGTTAGCCAATAAGCATAATTTACTAAAAAAACAGTATTTTATGTAATAAGAACAAATGTGGTGCTGAAACTAATTTTTCTATCCACTCTACCACAAACAACAAATTTTACCATTCTACCCTGACCAAATGTCCGTCCATATAGCTTTGCAAAAATCCTCCACTACCTTTTTGTAGTGAATGCTATTTTTCTTTTGCAAACTTTCACAAAGCTGCAAGCTGATCTGACTGGACAGAAAGCAATGTTACTGACAGATGCTCACATTCAGTGGATTGTTTGGTAGAATTACTTTTGCAATTAATAGACAGCACCCTTGCACAGAGTTCTCATATGTGACACAGAAGCTCCAGTGACTCAAGAAAGAGATTAACAATGTCACCTACAATGTTCTCCAAAGCCACAATTCTACCTAACCAAACTTCTTTTCCATGTGTTGCTGGCCTCTGAAACAATTTCTGTGCTACAGTGGAACCAGAAAATGGTGGAGTTCTTGGTGACATAAGAACCTGATACAGGGACAGATAGATATTGCAGATATGTTAGGCAGCACCAAAAGTCTTAAAGCTAAAATTTTAGTGAAATCCTCAGGGAGTTCATCTTACCTGACACCTTCTGTATGACTTCGTTGACTTCCTTCATGAACACTTTTTGTACAAACACTAAATGATTTAGAAGGTCAGTTGTGAGATTATGTTCAAAGGAACCAACCTGCCAGAAAATATGAAGATTATTTTTGTAAAATTTTAAAATATAGGTGTGATAGCTGTGGTCAATGCAATAATGTTTTAAGTACTGACTGCATCAGAATACAGCATAACAATGGCACATCATCTCAGATTCATTGATGTAATTATTGTTAGTAAACAATGATTTTTTAATTGTGGCCACTGTATGTGGAACAGTTTTCTCTAGTATATTTTTTGATTATAAGCAAATGACAATAAATAAGGGGGAAAGTGCATTATGTTGACTACTATAAAGGGAGCATAGGCAGAATACCAGTATTGAATTATCAAAAACAGAGAATCGCAAAGCTCATTCAGCTTTTTTGTAATGGTAAAATGGTAGGTATAATTTTACCAGCTTTACAGAAGGTTTAACTAAGGCACAAGCAAGTTAAATGAATTGTTTAGTGTCATATAGTAAATCGTTAATAGAACTGGGAACAGAAGCCACGTGTCCTGACTCCCAAGGTCCTTTACTCTAAATGCTATAGAAGAAAACCACTGCTGATATGTGCAATACCTGATAAACCTAGTTATTAACTCTGAACTCTGATTATATGCTTTAAGAAATATTATTTCTACATTTTCTAAGAACTGTTATCATGCTTTGTATTCTTTAAACTTTATTAAAAACAAGTTTGGTAAAAAACTTTAATATTAGGAAGTAAATTTAGTCAAATTTTAAATGGCAAATAGAAACACAATTCTGTTACTAATCAGAACCCCTTTTACACATTTAGAGTAAATTCAAACCAAGGCTCAATCTCTGCACTAGTAAGGTCTGTCTTGAAGCAGAAAGAAGCAAAGGTTAGATTGGGAAGTACAAAAAGACAGCAGCATGTTGGAGTTCTCTGAGAAGCATACAGATCATCAGAAGTCTCAAATATGAGGGCAAATATCAACCAAGGAGTTTTAGGGAGCATGCCAAACATGCATATATAAAAATACTGTATGAAACTTAATTGAAGTAACTTAAAGAAATTGGCAGTCTTCAATGCCTACCTCAGCCACGCAACGTAAATAGTTCCCTTGTACATAATAGCCCTGTTTAGTTGGTAGCTCATCTATACTCCATATTTGATCTGAGTAGGTGTCATGTTCCTCCATGACATATTTGCCTGACATAGTGACAGGAGGAAGATTAAGACTTGCTGAAGGAGGAATGGTAGACATATCAGTGGCAGAAACTTTTGATGTAAACCGCAATCTGTGATTTGGAAGTTCAAATGTAAACCTTGTTTGAGCACCTGTAAAGAAAGAGAAAAGTGGGTATAATGTTGTCTAAGAAAGAATATTTCAAACTTGAAAAAGTTAAGAAAATTAGTGGAACCAAATGAAAGCTCAAACTGGAGTTAAGATTGAGAGCACAGTAGTGTAAGGGCTATCAACAATTAATTCTCAATTTCTTGGGTTTTGAACCTAATTAAATTAAAAAACCCCCAAACGTTTGTAATTATGTAAATGCATAGTTAAGGTAGTCAAACAATCCAACTCTGTATCTGTACTGATAACCTGTGAAAATAAACTTAAAACAACCTCATCCATTCAGAACAGTTTCAACTCATTAGGGACCACAAAACTCTATATACTACCACTCCCTAGGTATTTTTTAAAAACTCTTGGTGCTGTGGAAAGTCCAAATGGCAATACCTTGTACTGGTAGTGATTTGGCTCCATTGTGAATCTCAAGTACTTCCTATGGGCCAAGTGGATGGCTATGTGGAAGTGCGCAGCTTGGCTGGAATGATTGAGGTAAGTGTTACCATCTTGAATCTGAGGTGGTGTATGTATTTATTCAGTCTCCTCAGGTCTAGGAAATGACAAAGGCCCCTGTTTTCTTTGAGATAAGGAAATATTATGAGCAGAAGGGTCTTCTTCTCTTTACTCTTGAGATATTCCCTCTAAGGCCACTGTGTTTTGCAACAGGCTCTTGTGAGAAAGGTGTCTGAAGAGCAACTGGATGGGGGGGTACATATAGGGTAAAGTGTGGAAATTAATAGGGTAGCCATGGGCAAAATGTCCAATACCCACTTGTCTGTTGTGACAGTAGACCAAGAGTGTTGGAGAGGGGCAAGACAGTTCCTTAAAGTGCTGGTAGGCTTTTGATGGGAGCCACGTTAGAGCCAAATACTCCCATCACACCTGCTGACAGTGACGGTGCATGGTGAACAAAGAACAATGATGGCTATCTCCTGGAGCATCATGGTTTTCTCCTTGGAGGACATTCAGGCTGTCTGCTCTGGGAGTAGAAGGATGTCCTCCTTTGTATGTAATTTACTCGTCTGGGAAAGCCTCCCCCTTCTTGTTCAAAATCCTACAGAAAACCAGGAAGAAACTGACAGAGAGCATAAGAAGGCTAAATGGTGGCCAGAACAGCTCTACAAGCGGACATGGATGCGAACATGGCCAGGTAATCTGTAATGCAGAGTTGCAATGAGGTGGAGGAATATATCCTGAAGAAGTTGAGCTTTTTTTGGGGTTCTTTTGTGCCCCAGACTTTTCTTGGACTGCCAACATGATCAGAGACCCAGCATTTGGGTGTGTGCACAAGTGTTCAAAGTGCTTTGGAAGCACCTGGTACCTCTCTTCCACTCACTTAGCTGTGGGGGGGCAGAATGGCAGAGGTCTACCACAGACCCTTTACTAGCGTAAGTATGTCTTTGTTGATCATGAAGACAAACATGACCAGGGTTTGTTGACCTCAGTATATCAAAGACCTTAAGAGACCTCTCCTGGATTACTGTGGTTTCAACATCCAGGGTCTCTGCGATTTAGGACAGGAGGTCCTGGAAAGCCATAAAGTCATCAACCATAGGCACTGGGACAATTGCCACCGCTTCATCTGGCAATGATGATGATTCCTTATATAGGGATTGATGTGGTTACTCTCCCTCCATTATTGCCTACTCCTGAATGCTGATGGCAGTCTCTGGGTGGCCAGCTATTGATGCTGCTGGGGAGTAGGATTTCCTCTTTTATGTGTGGGAGGTGGATCTGCTCTGGGACATATGCAACAGTGGTTCCTAGTATGGCCAATATGGATAGAGCGGTATGCTACAGAGGTACTGACTGGGTTGATGTTGTCTGATCCAGTGCCATTCACATCTCCCCAGTGGTGGGGCTCAAAATGGATAGCCTCCTGAACCCTGCCTAGGGTCACTCTCTGATGGTAGGTGAGAGTGATCTCTACCTGAGACAGTGAGAATGAGTAGGTCAAAGAAGGTGATGAGAGTTATGCTTCCTCAAACGGAAGGCCAAAGAGTGATGTAGGCCTCAGTGCCAGCCACTGCTTTGGTGTGGAATGTGTGTCTTCCATGGAGGTGTAACTCTAAGCCTTGACAGGTTCAGCTACGGGTGCCAGTTGCCGTGCCCAGTACCAAAGTCAGCACTGGGCCTTCATCCCCATGTGCCACACTGACTGACCAGGACTGGCCTCCTCCAATTTGGAAATCATAAAGAGTTTGGAGGCTTTGTCTTTGGAGATGGCATGTGGAGTCCACATAATGCTTGGAACTATGTTTGGACTCCATTCTGCCTTGCCTCTTGTAGTTACTCTTCGGTGTCAGGGGACTAGGTGCCAGACCTGTTGGTGCTGAAGTTGGCAGTTCCGAGATAGTCAGTGTTGAGGCTGCTGGTGCCATTCTTCAGTTCCTTTCTCTCTCTGGCCTCAGATTTTGGTGGAAGTGTTGACCAAAAATGATTTGACTCCAGTGTAGCTGTTAGCATCTCCTCAAGGTCAAAAGCATGGACTTCTCTATCAACTGTAATTTGAGCCAAGTGTACCTGGGCTTGAGAATCTTCAAGGAGACAACTGGCACACACAACACCTGTCCAGGATGTGGCTCTGTCCCAAGCAGAAAAATCATCAACTCTGTCCATTTATGAGGGGGATGAGGCAGTCACAGAATGGGCAGGGTTTCAAATCTGACTGCTTAGAATCCATCATGAGGGGTAGCAATAGGCACAACCCTGGGGAGATTGCGCAGGAGGCAGCAAATAAGGAAAAGGCTTGGAGTGCCAGCCAATTAGGGGAAGGTTTATTGGAGGAGCCAATCAGGGCCACACTGGCCCATATAAGAAGGAGTTGCTGAGCAGAGCAGAGGCAGTCACTCCCTGGAGTTTGAGGGAGGAGGACTGGCTGCTTAGAGGGCTGTAGCCCCATGGACAGAGCAGTGCTGGGCAGGGTCAGCAGAGTATGAGAAAGCTCCAGGCTGACGGCTGCCAAACTGAGGCCCTGATACATGGGCAGAGGAGATGCTGGGGCGGTGGGGAAGTGGCCCAGGGAAGGAGACAGCAGAGTTGGAGGAGGCGAGTGGCCAGTGTATGGACTGCAGTCTGTCACTGAGATGAGTGGCTAGAACCTGGACTGCAGATTGCCACGGAGGCAAGTGGTTGGACTGAGGACTGTTGGTCCCCCGGAAGGGGGGAAAGAACTGAGTGGGGCACAGAAGGCTGTGTCCAGAAGGATGACGTGGTCTGGGGAGTGACACAGGTCCTGGATATGAGACAGGAGTGACGACGGTCAAGACACCATCTGAGGAGGGCACACTGGCAACTCCGACGTAATTCCCAGGACGGCCAGCAGGAGGTGCTGCGGTGGTGAGTCAACACAATACCCTGGGCAGTAGGAGATGTGGATTCAAATATTCTCTCTGCCTGATTCAGAGAAGGATTATCAATCTTCATCTGTAAAATGGTCACCAGTAAAAATGTCTTTTCCAAACTTTAGATGTCCACAGTGTCATAGTTTGTGAACCTCTTAAAACCCAGTTCTAGAATCTAGCTGACTCATACAAAGTAGGAAACTGGAATTCAATAAAAAACCTGCACAAGTGTAACAGAACATAATACAGCTAGATATGAGTAACTCTCATATACATTAATAAAAAGACTGTTTTAGCGAGTGTGATCTTAACTGACTTAAATGCAAACTGTATTGAACTCCACCTTAGTAAGTTACTTCTTTTGAAGTGCTTTCATTTAAAACCTGAGAAAGGACTCTGTCAAACTGCAATGCCCTCAGTGACACACAACAGGAATATTTTAGAAATAAAAAAAAAAAACTAGCAGTAAATAGATAAATAGAACCACAGAAAAAGGTGGTGGTTATGCCATGCTAATATACACTAGCTATTACCACCAGCCAACATGAAATTATGAGGAGCAGCTTGGAGGGCAATGCATACCACCTTGGTTTGCCCTGTTGCAATGGTCAGCCAATGGATCAGAATCTGTAGGATGAGCGCTCTCATTGGATAGTCCTGGTGCCTTCAACAGGCTTTTGGGCAGGCTGGCTGGGGTACAGGGCAGTTGGTATTAAGATGGAAGGCAGAAGAGGGCAACTTCCTGCACCACAAATCATATCCTCCCTCTCCTGCTTTGTGGTTATTAGTGGAAGGTATGAGTACATCTGCGGTTTGTTTTGGTTTGCAGATTATGGACTGCAGCAATCGTGTGGATGTGTGTCCAGGTACTGACAGCATCCATCACTGACAACATGGAGAATCATGGGGAATTTCATGGATGTCTTTGCAGTCACTTTATGTTGGCACCGTTACCCCAGAACTTGAAATTACTGCAGTCCAGCCATTGCTAGCTGAAAACCAAATACCACATTGCTAGGAATAATTTTTAGGACTTTGAGAGGCATGGCCAAATAGCTGCATGTTTGCAGTTTTGCTAATATGAATTGGAGGATGGGTTAGAGATGTATCATGTAATGCAGTGGTTCTCAAACTTTTGTACTAGTGACCCCTTTCAAATAGCAAGCCTCTGAGTGCAACCCCCCCCCATTATAAATTAAAAACACTTTTTTATATATTTAACATTATAATAAATGCTGGATGCAAAGCGTTTGGGGTGGAGGCTGACAGCTTGTGACCCCCCATGTAATAACCTTGTGACCCCCTGAGGGGTCCCAACCCCCAGTTTGAGAACCCCTGATGTAATGTACCATAAGAATGGAAGGAATGTTTGGACAGCTGGCCTTGGGGTAAAGTGATCTTGCATATAAGTTTTATTGTTATTATGACTAGAAATGTTTTGATAAGAGATGATAGGAGAACTGGTGGTCCCCTAAGGGTTACTATGGTGACCTACTAGAAGTCACTACGAGTTATGTACTTTGTTTAAGTTAGCTATAAAAGATTAAGCAAAACAATACATCTTGGAGCAGTCAGAGGAAGTTTTTCTTTGGGCTAGGAGCTAACCCCTAAAAGCCTGGCTGTTGATTACTCAAAACCATCTCAGACTTTGGGTAACTATAACGTTTGGGATGCTCTGAACCTATAGCTATAGCATATATGGTTGTGTGTGCTTGAGACCTAATAAAAGAGTAGTTTTAGGTAAAAGCACTCTGGTTATCAATCAATCATTTATCAGACAGAGGAGTTGTGTCCGCATTGATTTATTCCTGACACTGCCTGGAGAGAAACAGTTAAGTTACCGCTGCTTTGGGTTCTGAAAACCCTGAATAACACCACTAAAGATTTTTGCAGTTTGTTGGCATGGGTGCTCCAATGACTTATGTGGTCAGTTTGCAGTTAGTGTACACAGCAGTGTTTTTTGATAAATCAGCATGAATTCTGTTTGGTTTATTAATATGCTTTTTATTTCACAGAATCACAGCTTTGGCTAGTAGGTCCTGGCAGCAGGGGTTTCAAACCTCACCAAGGCAGATACTGGTTGTGATTGGTTCTCCCAAAATCAGAGCCTGGGTGGGTTTGGGACGCCTCCACTCTTCCTTGAAGAATTAGACATCAACACAATTTTCCTCAGGAAAAGAGGTTGGATTTGTGGGCAAACCTGAGCCATCACTATGAGACCGGGGGTTCCTAGGCAGTAGGCTGTTCTAGGTTGCAACCAATGATAGACCTTGGGGTAAAACAAACTATGATAGGGAGTTAAGAACTGGGACAGTGATGCTCAGGATATGCTCAACCTATAGGGAGAAGGCAGGTGAATTGATGTTCTTCCTGGTTTCACTGCTGCTAGGACAGGTTGCCCGAGAAATTATCCTGTTATGGAATTAATGAAGTTGCAGCCACTTGGTCAAAAATTCCAGATCTTTGTATCTGTCCTCATTGGCCTCTGCCTTGTGCAAATTATTCATTATAACAAAATCTGCTAGAATTAGCCTCCTATTTTATTTTAATACACTAAATCGTCATATCTGCAGGATTGATTTTTACTGTATTCTGGTTCCTTATTAATATAAATTCTCTCATATTAATCTGTTCATGAAAATTCATATCCCCAAGGACGAACAAAGGATTAAAAAAGTATTATTACCATAACTGAATAGGAATCCATAATGCCACATTTGATCTTTTCTAGTGAAATTAATGTTAAAAAGTGACCGTGATCTTTTCAAAGTTTCATGGAGTACTGTTACCTGCACAGGCCCTGGCTTCCAACTGTCCCTGTGTGTGCTCAACCCCGACTCAGTCCCAGGTCCCGTCCCTACTCCACCCCTTCCCCCAAATCCCCACTCTGCCCTGCCTCTTCCTGCCCCTACTCCGCCTCGTTCCGCCCCCTCCCCCGAGCGCACCCCATCCCGCTCCTCCCTCTCCCTCCCACTGCCTCCTGCACGCTGTGGAACAGTTGATCCGCTGCAGACGGGAGGTGGAGGAACTGATTGGCAGAGCCACCAGCAGGTGGGAGGGGGGGGAGGGGAGCTGGGGGGAGGGGACTTGGCTACCGGTGGGTGCTAAGCACCCGCTAATATTTTTCCATGAGTGCTCCAGCCCTGGAGAACCCACAGAGTTCGCGCCTATGGTTACCTGTCATTCCATGACTTCTCATTCTTCCCATCTTATATTCTGCTTTTAGAGATGGCAAGAGTGCTGCTCCAATAGCTATACCATCTATCATGGCACTGAACTTAAGAACTATGGGCTTCTTCTCTAAGCCTTCTGGCAGTTGTGGAAATTCATTGGTTTCAACTGGAGTCTGATTAACACTTGTTGGTGTCTTTTCAGAGGGCAATGGAGTTGCAACATCTTCTTTTGCAGGCTGTGGCCTATTTAGAAGAAGAGATACCAGAAACAACTATTAGATATCCTAACGTATTCATTATACAGTATTGGCCTGATTCTCCCACAAAGCAGCATTAGCCCGTAAGAGGATAGAAAATAAGACAGGTCCATACAGGATGGCAAATAAAGCAAAACTTACGCTGTTGATGGTTGTCTGATGAGGTCTGAAATCTGTTTGGAAAGCTGGTGAGAACTGCGCACCATCATGCTGTGTAGAGTGGCAGGGTGTTGAGGAATGTTGATGCTGATAGCTCCCACTTTCAACACTGCAGCATTATTTGTTTTCAATCCTCTTTGGGCACTATAAAGAGCCTGTGATTTGGCAATACTGCATTTGACTACAGTTCTAACAAACAACAAAATATGATATTTGCATCCTTTTCTCAAAATATTTTTTAAAAATATATACATTGATATAGCTTTTCAACAACAAATTAGCTGAATTATCAAGTATTAAGATGAACACACTTGTATTAGCAATTTAGAAACTATATACATGCCTACTTAGTTTCTATTTATGCACACGCAGATGCAGTACATGCTGTATCAACTATCCAATTTATGCAGTTTATTATATTTAACAAAATTATAAGGCATGCATAGCAAAATGTCCATTCAACTATTATAAAAATGAAATATAAGATAATTTGCGATTACACACAATAGACTGCATACACACACTATACACACACTGAACACAATTGTGATTCTGTATCACCTATTTCATCCTCATTTTTTCTCAAGAATTTTAAACAATCTTCTATAGTGACAGCTCCTCAGAGAGACTTTATTTTAACAACTACTAGACTACTGGACAAGATTCTGTCTCAATTTGTAGTTAATATCTAGCAAACTATTTGCTTTTTTGGTGTAGGAATATTCAAGTTTAAATGGCCCTAACTTCACAAATGTAAACTTCAAACTACACTAATTTCAAAGGTGTCATCATATAATACAGCTGTGAAAGAAACACAATTGCACTATGTGTTTGTAATTCTAACAGTGTTTTTCATCTTCAACAACCGTGCTATAAAGAATAACAAATCCATGAGTATTTCTCATCTTTGTGGTCAGTTATTGGAATTTTACTCAGACAAGATTTCAAGTACTATGGCTTACACCAGGGGTCAGCAACCTTTCAGAAGTGGTGTGCCAAGTCTTCATTTATTCACTCTAATTTAAGGTTTTGCGTGCCAGTAATACATGTTAACGTTTTTAGAAAGTCTCTTTCTATAAGTCTATAATATATAACTAAACTATTGTATGTAAAGCAAGTAAGGTTTTTAAAATGTTTAAGAAGCTTCATTTAAAATTAAATTAAAATGCAGAGCCCCCCAGACCAGTGGCCAGGACCTGGTCAGTGTGAGTGCCACTGAAAATCAGCTCGCATGCCGCCTTTGGCACGCGTGCCATAGGTTGCCTACCCCTGGCTTACACTATTATGGTTTAATACATATGATAGGAATATAATTTAGAAGAGGCAATATATTAGCAACATAGTTTGCCAATTAGTATAGAATAAAATTTTCAACTTTCAGCTCAGATGATTTGAGCAGCAATTTCCTCTCAGGGGTATAACTAATATTCTTCACAGTATTAACATTATAATGATAAAGTTAAGAGGAAAAATGGAATTTAATTTTTGGGCAACCTGATCTCACAGTATTTATGTAATTATCTTCACAGGGTTAATGTTAAAGTAATTAAAAGTTATTTCAAGTGTTATTCTCCAACACTATGCCCAAGGCCTAGCTAGCTCAAAGAACCCAAGAGGTGGGAATACAACAAAGGCAGTGTTTTTTCTGCTCATAGCAGGAGAGAACTGTGTCACACTAATTCAATCACAGGCCTTCCAAACATCTGTTCTAACACTAGCTTAACAGATTAAGAATCGATATTGCTGGGAGTTGAAAGAAGTTCTTGTTCAGGATCCCATGGCTAGAAGGAAGGCAGCACCTTTAAGGGAACCAGATCGTCATTGATTAAAATTCAGGGGTAGAGAGGGTTGTTTAATTTTATTATAAAGTGCTCTCACAGAAATGTGGAAGACACATTTCCAAGGAGGAAAAGTCCCAATTTGTTCATTAATGTTTTCAGAACAGTATTAGGCAAATATGCTTTCCTTCAAAAGTGGGTATGTGTGTTTTGTTCTAGCTTTTAAAAAATTAAAAAAATATAACACACATATGGGCCAATACAAAATAATACCACTCTGTTTATGTTAGCGTTCCCATTCATCTCATTCCAAGCAGAAATTAACAGGGGGGCAGAATTACGTTCCATACCTATGTCTTTCCCTCAACCACTCAACCTCCAACACCATAAGGCAACTAGCTGTGAGTCAGCCCATAATACATTCCTTACATCAATGTTTCAAAAAATTGATTCGACTAGCTGTTCAATCATCATCAGTATAACTTTCAGCATGAAGGAACAATGAAACAGTTTCCCCAATCTATGCCAAGACACCAACACAATCATCCACTACACAATTTGCTGAAAAAGTAAGTGTCATAGTCAGCATTAAAATATTCACTGTTCGATTCTATGATAAAAAAATTCCCAGTTTAAAAACAACATCTGAATGCACACCCTGTCTTGGTGCTGAAACATCTGAATGCACACCCTGTCTTGGTGCTGAAACATGAGCAGTATTTCTAATACAATTTAAAGAAAAGCATTAAGCTAATGTACCAGAAGGGCAGGGGGGAGAGAGGGAAGAAGCACAAAAACAAATACAGATCCAGTGTAATTAAATTAAATGATAGAAACCCACATTTCATTGGTTCCAGACTTGAAGCTCAAAACTCACAAATCTAGACTTCCTTTACATCTAACAACTAGGTTAACCGTGCTTCCTGGGCAAGTACTTAATTTTTCATTTAATTAAAGTATCTTACTATAAGTGTCTGCTCTAAGATGCTGCCAACATGGAAAGCAGGTGTTCAGAACACTTAAAACACCATCCTATTCATACTTAACATGCATTATACATCTAACAAAAAAATGTATATAGCACTAGAGCTAGCTCAATATTATTCAAATGTTACTAAACAAACACTGAAGCTATTCACCAAAGAATTCATTCAAGTAGTAGTTTTTGTGGTATTGGATCAGTTCTATAGATTGTCATTCTAAAAGGGAACAGCTGGAAAGTGATTTGGCAAACAGGAACTCATAGCTCTATGGGAAAACCTGTGGAAGTAGGCTGAAGGGGAGAAAATTGCTGCAAGGTTCCATTCCGCAGTACTTCCTGAACCAGTTACACTGGGCTGAGGAAGAACTGGATGGGAGAAGGAGGAAGAGGGAAAAGATGGGAAGGGTTTCCCTACCATCAAACAGGCTACAGTGCCAGCCCCCAAACCCCACAGAACTTGGGGGAAATTAGAAAGGAGAATTCAGCAGCAGGCCAGCTGTTATCTACATGGAGGCTCCATGCCATATCTGTATTCCACAGCATTATCCCCACCCCTCACATCCCCAGACTTCTGCATATGGAGTTGCCCCAGAATCCCCACAACGGTATGTGGGGTTGATCAGTGGTAAGAAGGGACTCCCCACCAAGTAGGTGTTTTGGAAAATACAGTTTCTGCCCATATTTACATTTTTGCCCTGATGTCTGCAGAGTCAATGAGGGACAGAAACTTACAGGTTTGACCACTATCCTACTTCCCACCCACAACCTTTTTTCTTGGTGTGAAGTCCCAGAGTTGTGGAAGACCTTCTTTGGGTCTGAGGATGGGGAAAGGGAGGAAGTGAACATGAAGACAACATAGTCCATTTCTATATGGGAGGGGGAGACCCACGGGCACAGGGTCCCCTGTACATGTGGAAGTTAGGGAGTGGATTTGGAAGTGCTGTAAGTTTTAAATAGAACAGTATCTTTTAAAGATAACTAATGTGTGTACTTATAGTTTCAAATATTATTTAATTATTATATGCAAGAATAAAGTAAGTAAAGACAAAGAGCCCATAGTGAAGTTAAAAAGAGTTATGTGACTGCAGTCAATAAGAGCAGGCCCACAGTGGGCTAAGAATGGTCTAATTAACCTGTTCTCTTTACCTGGATCAGCACCATTTCATATCATTAAAACATATAATAGCAGCGTAAAGAACAGCCAAAGAATTAGGCTTTAATAGTTATTAAAACCAGTCTAGTTCTTCAGCAACTATAGCACCGTGCACACAATTGGGCAAAAGGGTAGACTGTTCAATGAACGCCCATAAATTTTCTTAATATATAATTAGTGGACCATACTAACTAATTCAGAGTCTATTGTTTGGTAAGCTAGAATGTTATGAAGCAACAACTGGCTACACTCAAACACAGTAATAATGCAGCCTTTAACTACACGGCACAATATTAATTGCAAGTCCATTAAACATAATAATATGACATACAGAAACTCTTGTTTGGCTGTGCTTGTTGGAGATGTAGGAAAATCCTCCAGTCTACAGATGAAGATTGAAGAGAAAGCAAGAAAAACAAAAAGCAAATAAAGAATAAACATTCATGCAAAATTAGTTAAATACTCGTAACCCAGAATATGACAAATTATCTAAAAATATATTAAAATTTAACAAGTTGACACTATGGTTTTTAGAAACTTTAGTAATTTTTCCCATTTTGTTGCATCCCTATTTTTCTGTGTGCAAGATCAGAGACGCTGCATTGAACAGAAACATGAATTTCAGCCACCTTCTAAAGTATTACATGGCTTACAGTTTAGAGCTTTTATCTACACTTGTTAAATATGTATGTACATTTAGCAATTTGGCTATGGACAATATCAATAGTAGGGGGTTTTAGTACAGAAAACAATATTACAATATTTAGTTAGAATTTATAGAGAACTGGACAAGAATTATTTTTAAAACGGAGACATGAGTGACTTTTCACATGAGACAGCCTCTTTAGCAATCTCATCATTATGCACATTTTAAAGGCCAAAGTAGCATACTGAGGGTTACCCAACTAACATTGAGAAACAGCATGAAAGTGATTTACATTATGAAGAATTTTAATTTTATTTGTAGTGCTCTGCAACTCAAAAATAAAGAGATCCAAATGGAAAGGAAGTAAGAAAAATAAGCATGCACTTCTAACCTGAGTTTGTGAACATAGCAGAAGAGCAAACTACATGGATATTGAGCAAGTCATTCTAGATGTTCATGCTTAAAAGGTGATATTTTAAACATTTGTCAGTTGTATGGGGTAAAGAACAGACCTTATAGAAGTAAAGTAATTTAAAAGACCATGCAACATGAGAGGTCAAAAAGTTCATCCTTTATGAAGCAAGAAGATCTCATATGGGAAGAATCAGCATTAAAAGATTAAATACTCTGATTTAAGAACCTCTATGTATCATTCAGGGAAATCTCTAAACTTTTAAAAAGTAATTATTATAAACATTATAGAAATAACTATAGATACACGTAATGTCATTGAGTCACTGTGTGTACACAAAGCAGGAGAAAATTGCTCAAGAAAGCTATGATTTTGTGAAAAAAATATTTGTATTCAATGGATCTATTTCCTACCATTTTTCACAATCCAACCATTCATTTACTTAGGCACTGATCCTGCAAACTCTTCTGCACATACCCTTTGCTAATGGGCGTAGACCTACTGAAGTCCACAGGAGTATTCATATCTGTATAGTTAAGTACATGCCTAAGTGTTTAACTGATTGGGGCCATAGTTATAGATGACTGTACGTTCACCATAGCCCAAATACTGCTCATTGTACTCATATGAGTAGTCTCATTAACTTCTATGGAATTATTTATGCAATGCAAGCAGGATTTACTCCAAATACAAATGTTTGCACTGTATATTGTCTGGGCAAGAAAAATGGCTGTCACTATAAATGCTGTCATGAAACAAAAAAAGTATGCTTTAGTTAAAAAAACCTTCTCTGTCTCTCAGTGTGTGTGTGTGGGTGTGGGTAAGTAAAAATTAGTTTTAGGAGCCACACTTGAGGCCCATTCCAACAATGAGCTCTACATGGCTGCCCATAGAGCTCTACTGACTTAAAGGGGACTGTGCAAAGATTCAGACCTCATTATAAGATCAGGGCCCCGGCCTCCACAGTAAGTCCCATATATTTCTCTGTATGTACAGCTGACGCTCCATTTCTATACAAATGTGTTTTTGTTATTTTTAAATTGTTTTTGGCTTCACACTCACTGGATATTTGGTGTAATTCCCTCCAGCAGAACAATGTTAACACCACCTATATGAGCAGTGGCACAAGTCTCAGTCATCTTTTGGTGCAGAACATCTTTAAGAAGAAAGAGAAAATACTTTAGAAATACTGTAATACAGTAAAATACTTCCATATATGTCAATTACTTGCCAAAATACAGTACAAGCTAATGTAAATGTCACAATGTTTGATAATTGTATTAAATAGTCTCACATTTAAACACTATCTGGTTAAGAAAAGTTGCAAAAATGTAAGCTACACTTTCATTTTCTAAAAGTATTTTCATTATATTTCAGTTTATTGAAGTTTTAAATAAGTTTACATAAAATATTGCTTATGTAACATTTAGGTATTTTTACACACATCTGCTATTGCCTTGCTGGAAGATGTTTACTAAGTGAAAGAAAAGCAAAAAGTTACTACACCACCTTTCATTTTTTCTTTTAGTGTGAAACTTCCATGAATCCTCTTCAGCTCCGATTCCATTGTTAGTCCACCAATATCTGCTTCAAGGTGTGTGCGATTCACCATGCCTATCCCAAAGACTATTAGAGTCACGTGCTGAGGTTCGGAAGTAACCAGACTGCGTTTCCTCTGTGTCTTGCTCAAGCTGCTATTGTCCTGTTCATTCTCAAACACAACTCTACATGCAGGTTCAGTAGGACTCCGAACACCTGCACAAATATATACCAATTATTCAGTGAGAACTTGAGTAAATTATCTATTGTGAAATCTATTTAAATTTGTATTTGAAACTAGGAATCTTTGCTGTATAAGAAGGCGATGTTCTGGCTAACCATTGGTATGTCACTCACATCAGTCCAGTAACATTGTCACAACTGAGCAAAAACCAAGACACTAATGATAAAATAATAAATATAACTACAGATGATTTCATATTGTACTGCTAACAATTGCTGATCCCTTTGAACTAAAAATATTTGCTGAACGTTACAGCCTAGAATGAGGATTTAATACACTGGCATGACTATTTGGCCACATAGCAGCTTTCATAATGACTAGCAGCCATTGTGACTAGTTCTTAGGCATAGCTCCCTCCACTTACAAAGTGGTGTGAGTGATTTTAGACAGGTAACCCTCTTCCCCCCCCCCCCCCCCCCCCAAAAAAACAACAACAAAAAACAGGAGAAATTTGCCCCCTTGGAATATTTCATCTTTAATTAGATTTCCTTAATATTTCTGGTTAGTTTAATGGCCAGAAAGTTCTAATAATTTAGTTTTGGAGGAAAAGTTTCCTTTTAAACACTTTAAACATAACAATAAAAGAAATGTAATAATGGAATTTACATGTAGAGAATTATGGATATTATCATTTGTCAATTAAATGGATTTCCCTCACTTCCTCCATATCTAGTGGAAGCACTGACATCAATATAACACTTTCCCCTGCTTTTAGGTTTTACATTTTAAATAATATTTTTTTTTACAAAATGCAATATAAAAGTTTATGACCTATAACTTGAAGTGCCAAACACATTTCTCATGCTATATAATTCAATAATAAATGTTCATCAACAAAAAGTAATTTAGACATAAGGCCAATACTCAATTCTTAATTCACTTTGTTGTGCTCAGTGTTCAAATATACTGCAGTATACATGGGAAGATCACCCAACTTCTAAAGCACTGGGAGAAATGCTGTCCCCAATTAAGTCAATAATAGTTTGATATCAATGGAGCAAGTATTTCACCATCTTTTCTTAAATTTAGACTTTTACAAAGGTTCTGAAGTTTTTCTCTTTGAAGTGACAGAGGGCTCATCTATACAGGGTGTCAGTACGCACCAAGGGGGTGTAAATTCTAGTTTGCATCAATGTGTCACTCACTAACTGGCCTGTGTGGATCCTGCTGGTGTACACTAAAAGTTCTGTAGTGCATTAACCTAATCCTTTTTCACACAGTATGTGTGAAACATAAGACTATCTGAAATGGGACTTCACCCCAAGCCCTGAGTAAGAATGACCTCCTTACTCAACTTCTGTTCCTTCTTTGTATTAAGAGTTATACCTACTCACTTTAGTAAAAAAGAAGCACTTGCATCAGCCTTGCAAAGCTAAAACATTTATGGGAAAGCAAGCTGGAGTCTACCCTGTTCTCACCTGATCAACAGAATTGTTAACTAAGTTTTAACTATAGAGACAAATTCTGCCCTCAGTTGCACAGTGCAACCCAAACGAAGACAACAAGGCTGCACAAGCATACCAGAGAGCAAAATTTGAAAACAATTGAGCTCAACAGGTACCTAATGACAGAATTTGGTATCAAATTTGTAACAGAATGAAACTAGCTTGACTTTCTAATATCACATGGAGTTTGCAGAGTTGGCAAATCAGAAGTTTACTTGCAAACAGGAAACATGTTGTTTGGAAGTCAATAAGATGCCAACCTGAACTCAATAATTCCATTTTACAGTCATTTTTCTGAGCAGAACTACACAAATACTGACAACTTTTAGTAAATCATTTAGGAAAGAATCTTCCCATTTGTAAAATCTATCACAGGGGTGGCCAACCTGAGCCTGAGGAGGAGCCAGAATTTACCAATGTACATCGCCAGAGAGCCACAGTAATACGTCAGCAGCCCCCCTATCAGTTCCCCCCCACCCCGCTCCCAGCGCCTCCTGCCCACCGGCAGCCCCGCTGATTAGTGCCTCCCCCTCGCTCCCCACAACTCCTGATCAGCTGTTTTGTGGAGTGTAGAAGGCTCGGAGGAGGGGGGGCGGAGGAGGAGGAGCGAGGGCACAGGAGGCTCAGGGGAGAGGGTAGGAAGAGGTGGAGTGGGGGCAGGGCCCATGGCAGTGAGCACCCCTCAGCACATTGGAAAGTTGGTGCCTGTAGCTTCAGCCATGGAGTTGGTGCCTATACAAGGAGCCGCATACTAACTTCTGAAGAGCCGCATGTAGCTCCGGAGCCACAGATTGGCCACCCCTGCTCTATCAGAATCCAGTACTACAAAAAACGGTGTAAATTAAATTATTTTCAACCCTAAAACATCTCACCTGTTGGCCCAAAAGTTTCAGACGATTTTTCTAAAATCCCTGTTGGATCAGAGATAAGTGAATAAAAATTCAGCAGTTTATACATATTTTGCCAGCACTCTGCAGATGGCTCACTCTGTTCTGACACTGTAATGGAATCTGAATCATCCATATGGATGGTCATGTGATCAACTACATCCTTTGAACCCTTCCTGGATACTTTAGAAGTTCTTCTTTCTGATCTCCCCAGAGAATTCTTGTTTCGAGATTCTTTTTTACTGTTCTCATTATTGGTTCTTTTGTTCTTTGCATTGTTTACTCTGCTGCCTCCATTGATGCTTCCTCGGGAGCTGCGGCTAAAGTCAGAAGAGCGAAAGTCTCTATGTTTACGGGTTTTAAAGGTAGGTGTTGGAGAGGCTGACCCAGCAGTGTATCTGCTAAGTTTGATGTCCGTTTGTGTGGCTTTAATATCATCTATCATTGTACTGAATTGATGAATAAGCCGAACCAGTGCCATATCTACGTGCTGGCTTATGGACTGGCAGGAAATTGTAAAATTACAGTGAAAAGTATTATAGTAACGCTTGTTCAGGTCATGAAAAGAAAGGGCATTGGTGGAGTTTTGGGGTGTACACATTGACTTCTCCATTACAACAGCACTAATGCTAAAAGTTTCCAACATCAATGCCGGTTTGAATTCAAGTGGGGGAAGATTGACGGCTCCTTGCCTAACAGAAAAAAGATAAAAGTTAAGGATTTTTAAAAAAAAGAAGGCCAGCATTAAATAGCTTTTATATAAAAAGTTCAATAAATAAGTAATATAACAACATTCAGTTCCTTCAGGAGATCACCTCTGTGCTATCGTTTATTAATTTTTACTATACAGTTTACCAATATTATACAATATATTGGCTACAGTAGAAACAATAGAAGCGAGAGTCATTTTGGTTCAATATTTTATTCTATGAAATGTGTAGTTTGATATGTAATTTGTCAATTTTACCATCCAGTTTTGTCTAAGAAGTTTTGCAAACAAGAAGTAATATAGTTTTATTCAGTAAATGACAATTACATTACAGGGTTGGAACATCCTAAACCCTGTTAACATCTCTACCTCCCATCCCCTTAGCCCCAGCTCCTCTCTCCAACCTTTCCTGTTGTAGACCTCAAACCTGCATAAGCAGCTGGATCTCTGAGGTTGCACCTATATTTCTAAAAGTGAAATATGAAGATATCAAAATGCTTTGGATGTAGCTTTTCCAAGTGAAAGTAAATTAAAACTTAATGAAAGACTGTGTTCCCATTCTGTGAGGATGTGTTTCAGAAAGTCAAACCAAACTTGAAACGGTGAAAAAAGCAATTACTGTATTCTTACACACACACATATATATATATATATATAAAATTTAAAAATAAATATTTGATAATATACCTTCGTGCTCTCTTGCTTTTTCTCTCTTTTGTTGTATCTGAATCAACAATGTCTGCCCTGAGACAGTCCAAAGTCCCTGAGAATGAAAGATACTCTCCGAAATACATTCTATAGCATAGTGGCACTGCATCTTGAGACTGAATTCCTGTATGGCTCAGAAGAGGTTTGAAAACAACCTATAAAAATATAAGATCTCTGAATTAGCTCTGTTGCCTAGAGATTTCTTATACTTCTGTTTCCTTGCTTCAGAAATGAGTTTTAATTTTTTGTTATTATTATTTATCATAAATCTAGGGTAGTTGTGATAGGCCCACTATATACATTGTAAAATAAAAAAGATTTTCCTTTTAAACTTAATTCAATTTGTATTGCTGTTAAAAAGTACAAATCCAAGATTTAGACAGAGAAGAAATGTAGTGAACCTATTTATTCCAAAAAGCCCAGTAAAACTCCTATGCAGCATGTTTACCTCAGCTACTGGTTGCTTTAAATTTAAAGCTGGATGAGGGGGTTCCATCCAATTGCAGCCCCAGCTTTCTGACTGGACAAGGAAATAAGTCTGCAGAGGAAGACCCTCCACACAAAGGACCCAGATTCAGTTTATTAAAAATCCCCTAGCTCTTCAGATTTAAAGGAAAATGCCCTCTTAGTGCTCACTCATGAAAACATTAGGAGACTCTCACAAAGCTTGCTTGGGACTTCTGTCCCCACAAGGTTATACTGTTGGATACAATACAAGGTAGAACAATATAACCACCTGACGTTTTACTTTGTTTTATCAAACATTTTTTCCTCCCAACAAACTCCAAAACTCATTAAATACCCACCTGCGCATCTGCAAGTTGAACAGCAGGAAATCCCTGGTTACCCTCTTCTACACCTGCAATATCATCCTGACTGGTGCTATGCTGAGAATGTGTCCCATCCAAAGTGTTCTGGTCACTAGACAGAACTGTATTGAAGTCTGAAGCAGAGGGTATTGTAGGAAGATTGGGTGCAACACCTACAAAATAAATCCCTGTATGAACACTCCATAACACCACAGCAAGTCATAACACTAAGTGAGTCTACATTGTCTAGACAAAGAATAAAACTCATAATAAAAAGGATAGTTATGTAGAAACAAGTGAAATACTCAGAAGTCAAGTTGTAGCCTTGTTGATCCCAGGATCTTAAGAGAAACAAGGTGGGTGAGGTAATATCTTTTATTGGACCAACTTCTGTTGGTGAGAGAGAGAAGCTTTTGAGCCACCTAAAGCTTTTCAGTCCTTCTACTGACCTCAGAAGAGCTTTGTGGGGCTCGAAAGCTTCTCTCTCTCTCACCTTCAGAAGTTAGTCCAATAAAAAGATATTACTTCATCCACTTTGTTTCATTACAAGTCAAGGTTTTTACTAGGCTGCTAACATTAGAAAAGAGCTCTTCAAAGAGTGCTTTGAGTTACCATGACATTTAGTGTATTTAAGTATCTACAGCTAACGTCAACAAGCTGATCCTCAGAGTATTTGTGGGAAATAATGTACCATACTCTTATTAAATATCAAAATACTGAAAGTTAGTTTGGTAAATTTGTGCAAAAATAAAAATAAATCCCACCCAGATCAAAATATAGGATTTGCTGGCCTAAAATGTAAAGCTTCCATGAATTAGTGAGCCTGAGGGACATGTTTGGAAAATGATCCTGTTACAACACAATTTATTATTACAGAAAACTCAACAAAAAGAATGGTTGCTTACCTTGATATAACTATTGGTTTTTGAGATATATTGTCCACATGGGTTCTATTCGTTGCATGCACACACTGCATGTACACATAATCAGATTCTTTTTAGGCAGCAGTGCCCATTGATGCCACACGAATGCTGAAGCTGTCCTTATGTCCCCTTCACTAGACAGCATAAACGGTGGAAAGGGCCAAACATCACTCAGTTCTTTTGCCAGCACAGAATCCCAGAGGAGGAGAACTCCATAGTGGCAGGTAAGGAGGGCAGGTTGTACAATCCATGTAGGCAACACATCTTGAAAAATCATAGTTACTCTACGGTAAGTAACCAATGTTTATTATTCAAATGTTTGCCCACTTGGATTCTATCCTTGATAACTAACAAGTTTTTGTCTGTTTGCTTGGAAATAGATAGTAGCAATCCAACTGAAACCATGGCTGGGCCTACTTAGACATGTGGCTGCTGAGACGAAAGCAGGTGGGAGACTAAGGGAGTCAGCCAGCTGAGTTTCCCAGCAAAGAAAGGCAGGAAGGTAGGATATTTTCCCTTGACTTGAAACCAACTCTACCAGGAAGAATCCTCAATGGAAGGAAAACTGCACCTCGCCAGCAGCACTGCTAGCTCTTCTTCTGCCTGCACCTGTAAGGGCCCTGATGGCTTCTACCCAGGTCCTGGTCTTGACTTGCTGGGAATGCAGACTGCATGTTCCTTCTGAAGAAAGTCAGGCACGGGGAACCACCCAGTAAGAGAAGTATCTGTTGTTGGGGTCCCTCAGGAAACAAGAGAGCTACAGGAGAGGGTGACTCATTTGCATAGTACCTGGGAGCACTAGGACTTCATCAACAGAACACACTTGGAAACATCTGGGATGGAGGATGATAGCTGATTACAAATGACTTCAGCATCACCAGAGGAAAAAAAAGAACCACCTGCTTTAAAGGCAGGAGAAGGCTGTTGGGTACCCTGGGCATTAGATAGTGCACCCCCCAACCCCCACCCCAGAACCAGATCCTCTGTCAATTCGAGGTCAAGAATCAGTATGCTGTACTGGCTACAGGAGGAAAGGAGAAGACCCTGCCAATGGCTGAGGAGGAGAAGACACCTGCCCCCAAAGCTGTGTGTCTCATGGCCACTGGTGCCCAAGAAGGGGACATAAAGTGGTGGTTGTAGGAAAGTCCCTTCTGAGGGAGATGGAGGCATACATTTACCAATGTGACACAATGTCCTGGGAGGTGAGCTACCTGCCTGGACCCTGCATAAGAGATATTAAAGGTTGCCAAGGTTAATCCGTCCCTCTCATCACTACCCCATGCTGCTTAGCCACGACCCTAAACAGATCAGCTGTGACTACAAGACTCTGGGAGTGAGACTGAAGGTGTAGAGGATGCAAGTGGTGTTCTTGCCTAACCGCCCAGTTGAGGGTAAGGTTCCAGGCAGGGACATGCACATCCTGGAGATGAATGCATGGCTGTGTAGATGGTGTTGATAGGAGGGCTTTGGCTTCTTTGTCCTGGCTGTTCTAGGAAGGAGGACTGCTGGGAAGAGAGGAGGGGTCTATCTAACCAAGAAGGGGAAGAGCATCTTCACACTCCAACCCATCAACAAAGTGATGTTTGGAAGCATGGGTTGTTGGGGCTTTCAACATCAGTAGTAGGTCTTACTTAGGGAAGATCCATCTGACCACTGGTCTGGCCAGTCTAACTGCTCTGAAGAACATAAGATACATGAGGGTTCTCAGCCAGGGAGACCAAAGATCCTGCAAGCAGTGCACTACTGAGGGTCGACACCTGGCATGATAAGGTGCTTGGCTGAAATCCCTTATCCCTCTGAGAGGGAAGAGCAGGAACTTGAGGCCATTTATGTGACACAACATCTATCCCCACAGACTTGGGGTCTGCTTCCCTGGTGAATCATTTCTTCCGATTGGCAAACAGGTTGACCAGCGCATGTGCAATTGGGTTGAAGACTTTCAGATAAGGCACAATTCCCAGTTGCTGACATTGCAATGCCTGAGCTAGTTTGCCTTTTGTTTCAGTTCCCCTTTCATGGGAGGCTTCCACTTTCCTATCAGTTAGATACTTGGAGAAAGTCCTTTTGAATGGAATAACCATATCCTTTGCTAAAGATGCTACATCAACATCGACCTTAGACACATCTCTGAGAGCATTCTTTGACTCTGGCAGTTTGTAGAATCTGAGAACATGCCTGTTAATGTGTTTAACTTTTTCAAGGGATTGGCACTCATCCCTGATTACTTCCTTGCATGATAGGTACAGGGGAACTGCTGCCACGGGAGAAGGTTTAGAAGGGAAATATTTGCTCTGAAGCTTGTCCTTGAGGGCCTGCTCACGTCTGAACTGGATCCTAGATACTACCAACTTTTTTGCACACTTTTCAAACTTTTCAAGGAGGGACAAAACCTTTCTGGCATTTTGTTCGTGTCCTGCTGAGAATCAGAGGCTGATATCATTCCTTCCTCAGTAAAAGGAGGAAGTGTCTGAGTCAGAGGCAACCATCCTTTAGGTTTTCCTACCTTTTTTGGGGGGAGGGGAGAAAGGCAGTTGGTGTGTGTGTGTGTGTGTGTGTGTGTGTGTGTGTGTGTGTGTGTGTGTACTTTGCAGGAGTGGCCATCTGGGTATGCCCTAGGTGGGGTCTTTTGTGGCTAGCCTTGCAAAGGGCCTTGAACCCTCTACAAATTCCTCTCTCCGAATCCTTCCCTTTAGGTTCCCACTCCTGCAGGTCAGAGGATGGGGACTCACTGGCAGATTTTCCTGACTCAAGCTGGAAGGAAGAGGGGCTAATTGACAGCCCTGCGTATCTCCCCAGAGCACTTAGGAATGCCATTTCAGGACTGTGGGTGGGACCAGACCCAGTCTTTATGAAACACTGCATGATGGGGACCAACTCACCATGAGGGCCTGAATCTCCCCTATGCTACCAGGGGACGGAACTACTACTGAAAAGGCAGTCTTCACTAATAAGATGGTACAGGCTAGTAAGGAATCAAAGGAGGGCATCCCATCAACTCTATTAATAGTATATAAAGGTCTCAAAAGGGAACGGGACTTCTGAACTGAAGGAAAGCCCTTAAGGATTCCAGCCTCTGTAGGTTAAGAAAACATACTGTGGCCCTGTATAGAAGGATGATGTGCAGATATTGCTGTCAGGTGTACCCTTATGAAACTAATAGAAAGTCCAGATTGTTTCACAGCTAGTAAATACTACTGAAATGGGTGTTGTCAAAAAAGCAGCTGCTTCTGAGATGCCCAAACAGAAAATTTCTTCCTATTAGGTTTATAAGTCAGTCTGATTGAGGCTCTTTCTTTCTTAGGAGCAGTATTTTCTGAACTGCTTCTTTGGTGAACATCAGCCGGCCAATACAAAGGCTGTGAGGTAACAAAGCTGTGTCCAGGTCCATCCAAGGGATGAGAAAGGCATCTGACAGGCAGCCTGGACTGCAGCACTCTGTGGAGCAGAACACTTCGCATTTCTTGTTCTGGACTATGACAAATAAGTCTATTGATGGGGCTCCTCACTTGCAGAAGATGTTCTGTGATACTAGATCCTTGATTGATCACTCAAGGGTATCTGAGAACGGTCAGCTGAAGTGATCTGCTAGTGAATTCTGAATGTGGGTCCTGGAAAATACATGGACAGCGAAAAATACACCAATTCCAGAGTTGAATGGCCTTCTGATAGAGCAGAAATTACATGTTTGTTGACATGATGCAGATCTGTAGTATTATTCGTTAATACTCAGATTGTGAAGATCTAGAGCAGAAACAGGAATGTTTTGCATGCAGGTGGATAGCTCTGAGTCCCTGTGTTTGAATGTGATTTAGATCCCACCTCAGCGCAAAGGCACTGATCACTAGTCTTGGTAGGTAGAGGTGCAGAGACAAGTACTCCCTTGCACTAATGACTCATGCACTAGTTTGATGAGTACAGTGCTTGTTGCAGGACCACAATCAATAGGCTCATGTGGTGGGTAGTTACACTGATTTCAACCACACTTGCATGGAGCACAGGTCAAGACTGGCAAACTACATAACGTAGGTGATGCCATACGTCCCAGAAGCATGCAGCATTCTCTTACTGATGATCTTCTGTGAGTTAGAAGATGGTTCATCAGGTTCCCTATGGTTTAGAATCTTTCTTGAAACCTTGAAGATAAGGTTTCACTGACCTGGAATCTAACACAGCTCCTATAAACTCTGTCTTTTTAGTCAGAGTAAGTGTAGATTCTTTCTGTTGACTTTGAGGCCCAGTGTGGCAAAGAGCTAAGTTTACTTGAACTGAGTAGTTTACCTACCGGTAGACCCCAGATCAACCTGTCTGCAGGATATAGATAGAACTGAACACCATTTTCCCTTAAGTGAACTGTATGACTACCAAGTATGTAGTGAACACACGGTGGAGTGGAAAGACGAAAGGGCAGAATCCTGTACTGGTAGTGAGAGATGTTCCTACCAGAAATCTGAGGTATGTCCTGTGACTCTGAAGTATGCTTTTGAGACGTCAAAAGTCCAGAATGGGAACACTAATTCCCTTCCTTCCTTGGGATGAGAATATAATAGAAATAAAAACCCCTGCCTCTGAACTCCTAGGGCATCCCTTCCACTACTCCAAGATACAGGAGAGAGAGTCCACCATTGCTTCAATAGTATTTCATGAGAAGAGTCCCTGAATAAGAATTAGGAAGATGGTAGGGGGATAGGAAAGGACCGGAATTGTATGCAATACCCATTTCTGATAATGTCAGATCCACTTATCCATAGTGAACCCAGTCTAGGCTTCCTGGAAGAATCATAGAATATCAGGGTTGGAAGGGACCTCAGGAGGTCATCTAGTCCAACCCCCTGCTCAAAGCAGGACCAATCCCCAACTAAATCATCCCAGCCAGGGCTTTGTCAAGCCTGACCTTAAAAACCTCTAAGGAAGGAAATTTCACCAAGAAGAAGAAGAAGAAGAAGAAGAAGGGGGGGGGGGAAAGCATTTCCCACAGTTTCACCAACCTCTAGACTGGTGCAAAACCTGATGTTGAGAGGAAGAAGTCGAGTACACCACAGCTGAAGAGGTCATCTGTGTTTGAACCTGTTCTTCTCTGTTGGTGGATCCAGTGCCTTCTGCGGGTTATTACAGTGTGCACTACAGGGATACAGTCTGAAAATTTGAGGTCTTGCTGGTTTTCTCTTTAGGGCTGACATATACAAGAGAATACAAAGTGGCTCTAGAGTCCTTAATGAGTGGAGGGCCTTGTTGGTCTATGAGTTGAAGAGATCACAGCCCTTGAATGGAAGATCCTCTGTTTTGGTTTGGACATGCCTAGATGTTTGATTATTGGAGCTAGGAGGATCTCTTTATCACCACATATGTTGCAATGGTGTATGTGGATACATCCAAAACAGTATTCAGTGAAGGTCAAGATATCAGCAAGCATGACAGATTGTAATTCTTCCCTGTATTCTTGTGGAAGTCCTTATTAACAGACCATTTGTCCTAAGGTAGATACTAGGTGTTTCTCGCAAAATATAATTATTTGGTAATGTCCATCTGGAGACCAGCAGAGGAGTAGACTTTTCTGCCAAAGAGATCCAGTCTTTTAACAGACCTCTTCCCTTGGTGTTGTATGAGGCTTGGGTCTTTCCTGAATAGCCACTATGACAAGTGGATGTCAATAAAAGTACACAAAGCCCTTGGGAAGAACTTGGTACTGTCTATTCACCCTCTAGGAAATGGCAGGTATTGATGCTAGAGTGTGCCACAAGTCTTTTACAGGCTTTAACAATCCCTCCCTTAATAGACAATAGTGAATCTACCAAGCATGGAAGGGGGCAGAATACCAGGGAGCCTGTTTCTTGTGAGAACCATCCCTTCTCCCGCTCAAAGTCTCTACCTGACTCCCAGGCTGATGCCCATGAAGGAGAAAGGACATCTTCGGCACCAGAACACTGCTGGCCAAATGCACATGAGGGCGCATGTACACCAAGACTAGAATACATGTGGACAAACAAAGAAAAACTGACTAATTTGAATTTCAACAGTCTAACTCCTATTAAAAGCCCACAATAATATTTGTATTTTTTAAAATATGGCATTATTGTAAACTGCATTAATATGTGCTAGTTTTAAACAGTCAAAAAATATTTAGCCACACATTCCACAGAAGGATAATGATCCTCAGCATTGCCACACATGCATGCTTTTAGTTTTGAATTCAAAACTTACACCACTGCTCATTATTATCCCCAATAACATGCATTTTATTTAAGCAAGATTCACTAACTAGATTACTCTTCTCTATCCATATATGCTGCATGTAATGGTATAATTGTAGATATCACCACACACCTTTTACAGAGGAAAATTTTGATAATTGATAGAGCCATATCTCTGGGCCATAGAATTATACCTACAGCAATTTCAGGAACCTGAATTTGTGACCAAATTATTGTGGTTTAATTAAATAAATGAGGGGAAAACAGTGGACGTGTTATTCCTTGACTTTAGCAAAGCTTTTGATATGGTCTCCCACAGTATTCTTGCCGGCAAGTTAAAGAAGTATGGGCTGGATGAATGGACTATAAGGTGGATAGAAAGCTGGCTAGATCGTCGGGCTCAAAGGGTAGTGCTTAATGGCTCCATGTCTAGTTGGCAGCCGGTATCAAGCGGAGTGCCCCAAGGGTCAGTCCTGGAGCCGGTTTTGTTCAATATCTTCATTAATGATCTGGAGGATGGCGTGGACTGCACCCTCAGCAAGTTTGCAGATGACAGTAAACTGGGAGGAGCGATAGATATGCTGGAGGGTAGGATACAGAGGGACCTAGACAAATTAGAGGATTGGGCCAAAAGAAATCTGATGAGGTTCAACGAGGACAAGTGCAGAGTCCTGCACTTAGGACGGAAGAATCCCATGCACTGCTACAAACTAGGGACCGAATGGCTAGGCAGCAGTTCTGCAGAAAAGGACCTAGGGGTTACAGTGGACGAGAAGCAGGATATGAGTCAACAGTGTGACCTTGTGGCCAAGAAGGCTAACGGCATTTTGGGCTGTATAAATAGGGGCATTGCCAGCAGATCGAGGGATGTGATCGTTCCCATTTATTCGACATTGGTGAGGCCTCATCTGGAGTACTGTGTCCAGTTTTGGGCCCCACACTACAAGAAGGATGTGGAAAAATTGGAAAGAGTCCAGCGGAGGGCAACAAAAATGATTAGGGGTCTGGAGCACATGACTTATGAGGAGAGGCTGAGGGAACTGGGATTGTTTAGTCTGCAGAAGAGAAGAATGAGGGGGGATTTGATAGCTGCTTTCAATTACTTGAAAGAGGATTCCAAAGAGGATGGATCTAGACTGTTCTCAGTGGTACCAGATGACAGAACAAGGAGTAATGGTCTCAAGTTGCAGTGGAGGAGGTTTAGGTTGGATATTAGGAAAAACTTTTTCACTAGGAGGGTAGTGAAGCACTGGAATGCGTTACCTAGGGAGGTGGTGGAATCTACTTCCTTAGAGGTTTTTAAGGTCAGGCTTGACAAAGCCCTGGCTGGGATGATTTAGTTGGGGATTGGTCCTGCTTTGAGCAGGGGGTTGGACTAGATGACCTCCTGAGGTCCCTTCCAACCCTGATAGTCTATGATTCTAAATAAACTCATGCCATTAAATACTATACAACGAATGCAACTGTTTAACAAAGATCATTTAAAATCAAGTTCACAACATTCCTACTTTGTGGTTCTTTTCACAGAATAGCAGGTTACAGATTTAACAGGTTACAGAATCAGAGTCACAGTGGGTGAACACCTTCACGCACATGTAAAGTTAAGCACTCACAATGTGTTTGCAGGATTGGGCCACGTATTTGTTCAACCATAACATAATTACAAGGTAATAATTATATTCTGAGATTAACAAAGAGAGGTTAAAGGACAGTTAATAAATTAAAAAAGGAGGAACCTTCAAATTATTAATAGAAAAACTGAAAATTAAAATATTCACATTTGAAGATTATGAACAAGGGAAGGATTATAAAAGGACTATGGAAAGACCAGTAAACTGCTGTAAATTATCTTGTTTAATGTGTTTTAGCACATTTTTTAATCCTTTAATCCCATCTCTCCTTTCTTTTTCCCGCCTTCATTCCCTCTCATGTCCTCTCACTACCTTCTCTTCAGGTTAAAGCTCATCTTTCTCAAAACAGAAGAAATATGTTTGGTTATATTTAGCTTCAAAACTGAACAGGGAGAAAGAGGATCTGTTTTTCCTGTGTAAACTAACATATACACAAAAATAAGAACTTTATTGTGCAGACAAGAGCCTTGCTGACAAAAGAGGAAAGTATGAAAAGAAAGGTCTGCAACACACTGACATTTGAAAGTTTCCCATTAATTCCTGGGAGCAGAACTGAGCCTGAAGAATGGAAATCAAGGGTTTTCAGGCTTTTTTTTTTTTTTTTAAAGCTATCTTTCAGCAGCTCGACAACTCTGCCTTCTTTCTTTTAGGAGTTATCTTGTTTTCTTTCATGCATATTTTTTTCGGAGTTTGAGACTCTGAGGGAGTTTTTCAGAAGTGAGACTTTGAGGGAACCATGTTTGGATGACATGCAGCTTGAAAATGCTGAATAAAGAGCCAGTCTGGACAGAAGCCAGAATACAGAGATTTGCATATTATGTGAAGGCTGTTTTATGACATCCATCACTGTAATATTTAAGTGCTACAAATACACTAATGCATTTATGCTACCACCACTTCTTTGATATAAAGAAGTATTATTAACCCCATTTTATAGAGGAGGAACAATAAAAATTAGCATATGGTAAGGAAAGATAGGAAATAGACTGATCATGCAAATCAAATACCCAGCACCAGAATGCAAGGAATTGCATAACTCAGGGAAAACTGATAACTATGCAATATCTTTGAAGTCCAATCATAGTTAACAATACCTGTTGGAAGGCTATTGTGTCCAGATTTGGTGTTGGGAGACTCTTGCACTACACCTCCTCTGTTGCCAACAGCATTTGACATCCAGTTATAGAAACTCACAGATGATGGTTCAGACAACAAAGGATGTTCAGATAACATGTCGGTGGCCACAGTATTTCCTGTATTAATAAATCAGTAAAGTTTTAAAGACCACGACACCAAAATTACTGTGTAAAATTGGTACACAACATAGGTATCTTGATAATGGAAAACAGGTGAGGTACCATTACTGTTAGCTTATTCCGATATATAGGAATTCCTCAAGGGATATTTCAGAAAGGTATAAAAAAAATAGTCAGACAGCACTCTTGCAAACTACTGGTGCTGGGGAAGTCCACCCCAACCCAAGGCTTCAGAGCCTGAGCTCCAGCCTGAGCTGCAACTTCAAAGTGCTTTCCATACAGCTATTGTTAGAGCACTAGCACAAGCCCCACTAACCCCAATATGTCAAAATGGGCTTGAAGGCTCATTCCAAAATGCTGTGTACACACACACAGTAGTAAGAATATATAAAATGAAAGCTTTTTTAAAAAAATTGTAATTATTTGGTTGTCATCTTCTCCCCCAACCTTCCATACTTCAGAGCAGGGGTGATCAAAGACAAGCAACATGAAGACCTTACAAGATCTTACTACTGTAAAGCACCTAGTACACGAAGGCCTCAGTCCTGTTCAGAGCCTCCAACTGCTACCATAAAAACAACAGGAATGGTAACAAGCAGAGAGTCAGGAAATACAAAGTTAACCTTCTCAGTACCAGGGCTTTGGAGCTGTGCTCCGGCTCCGCTCCAGTTCCAGGCAAAAACCTGCAGCTGCACTGCTCTAGAGCTGCTCCGTGCTCCAGCTCCGGGCTCTGCTCCAAAGCCCTGCTCAGTACAGTATTGTTTTAATTTTTTTATTTCTGCTTTTCCACTGAAAGCACAGATTTATAGTATACGTTTTGATACTAATTTTCAAATTACAGGATGTGCAGTGAGAATTAATGTTATGTACTTCCAGACTCTTACTTTAAAATTAACAACTTTTATGATGCATTTTTACATATTTATTTTGCTTTTTGGCTTTGGGCATTTTTTTTTAAAGCAGAGCTAAAGGAAAGTGTTAGCATTTAAAACTAAGATCTTCACTTTGTGAGGTGCTCATGTAGGCAGATTTCTTCAAAATCACTGAGTTGCTAAACAACATATGTGTTCAGCTCCCCTTCAGATCAGCCATTCCTGGTGACAGAGACACTATGTAGAGGCAGCAGAGACAAAGGAGGAGAGAACAAGGGCTAGTCTACACAACTGCAGTCCATCAGCACAGCTGCATCAATGCAGCTGAGCCCGCTGTAGCGTGTCTGGTGAAGATGCACTAGGCCGATGGGAGAACCCATCAGCATCATTACTCCACATCAATGAGAGGCTCTCCCACTGACATAGCATGCTGTAGACACCACTTTAAGTCCATGTAATTTACGTCGCTCAGGGGGTGACTTTTTCACACCCTTAAGTCAATATAAGTTACGTTGCTTAAGTGGTAGCGTAGACAAGACCCAAGTGAGCAAAAAAGAAACAGAGCAGCTGACTGACGGGGAGGAACAGAAGGCAAGAAGGTGAGCAGCAGCCCTAGTGCTAGTCCAAGATACAATGGATGGAAGTTGAAGCTAGACAAATTCAGACAGGAAATAAAGCACAAATTTTAACAGTGAGGATAATTAACCATTGGAACAATTTACCAAGGGTTGTGGTGGATTCTCTATCACAAGCAATTTTTAAATTAAGATTAGATTTTTTTCCTAAAAGATTTACCACCTGTTTGAACTGAGGCATATCAGGGAAGGCCTATGGTCCATGTTATGCAAGAGGTCAGACTTGATGATCACAGTGGTCCCTTCTGTCTTTATAATCTATTAGTCTAGTCCCTGATTAGGGACCTTCATATTGGACACACTTCTCAAGAGGAGTCATATACAAAGTTTCTCAGTTCTGTTGTTTGAATGATTGTATGTGTACACACACACACACACACACACACACACACACAGAGACAGAGAGAGAGAGAGAGAGAGAGAGAATACCATTCTTGGAAAGAGACCAGACATGAAAAATTTCAGTTCAAAATTCTATTTTTTCATAACGTTATAAGAATGTAAAGATATGGGGGGGGAGCTAAAATATAGCAGTCACCACTAGGCACTGCTTTAATAACCTTACTGCTTCTTTAGAAAGTCAGAAGGAAAAATATCCTAACACCTTTGGGAAAGCATTGCTTCTTTTTTGATGATTCATAAATTAAGCTGAAAAAATCCAAAGACATAACATGTACAGTACCTGTTCTTGTTAAAGAACTACTTTTAACTGCTGTAGTACTTCTTTGAGGAGTCCCTTCAAGAAGATTATGCAAACTAGGAAAACTTCCAGTAAGGTAGCTGAGTAGGCTCTCCTTTCTCGGACTTTCCTTGACTGGCATTCCAGAACGGCCAACATGCACTGGTGAATCCGTGGCTGTGTCCCCACTAGTATAGCTCAAGGATTGGTAAGGATGTATACCCTTTCACACACAAAACACAAAACACTAAATGCTAAGTAATCTATATACATATAACAAAATCAAAATAAGTAATTATTAAGTGCTATGAACACTTTATTAAGCCTGAACACAAGACCAGCATCCAGAAACTCAAGGATCATAATCTGGCTCTGATACTAACTCTTTTGACAGTCTTAGACAAGTTACATCCTCTTTCCCTCTTTCCACAATTTGCACTTGCCCCACCTCACAAGCGTGTTGTGTAGAATTATTAGTTATACTGCACTCCAAAGATGAAAAAAGTGCTATGATTGTGTGTGTAAGACACCTTAATTAAAAAGCAAAGTATGTAAACTTTTAGCACCTGGAATCATGGGTAGGTAACCAGTGTTGAATTTAACTAAAGGAAGTTTGTGGAAGGCACAGCAAAAACTGCTGAATACCCATCTAAACTGCAATTATATTTGTTTCTAATAGTCAATCTGGAACAATGCAGGCCTAGAAGCATCATTTTTGTTGCAAAAGCATCATTAAAAAAAGCTTCATGCTGTCTAAGGTGCTGAAGCATAAACAGGTGGTTTAAAGAATCTCCAGAACTTTACCCAAACAGTAAAAGTAAAATTAAGACTTTTTCCCTTAGAATTACTTTTCTAAAAACCATTTGTAGAATAGTTTCCCAAAGCAGGCACGCTTTACTATTACTGAATGACACTTTATCAAACATGGAATCATTAGGTAACGATGCCTAAAATCACATTCCTCTTGTCCATAACTGGACCTAATGCATGAGATCTTGTATCAGTTGAGACCAGAAAGTTAATTATATAACATATCATAGCTTTACCGTACATCAGAAAGGTAACTTTTAATTCAGGTTTGTACATTACTTTTAAGATAAAAAGTTCCATATCAATGCTATGTTCAAAGTAACTCAAATCACAGCAGGAGATGTTAGTCAGCTTGTGCAATACTAGAGTTATTCGAGATGTGTTTCACTATGAGTGCTCCATTTCAGGTGTGTATGTGCCCCATGCATCTGTGATCAGAGATTTTCAATAGCTGTGCCGATTCAGTCCATGTATATGCTCCAGATATCCTCGTACTCCTTACCAAGGAGATACAGAGCTGCGCAGATGAACCTCCCTCAGTTCCTTCTTTACTCTGAAGTTCCGTAAGATGAAACTCCGAAGCAGAAAGGAAGGAGGACAAATAGCGGTGTTGTAATAATGGGGCCTACAAATTTACCCTAATTGTGAGCTCAACTGTAAAAATTAAGTGAAAATTCATAAAAATGTCACAATAACTTATAACAAATGCTGACAAGAAAAGGTACAAAAACGAGAAAGACTAAACTAGTGCAAACAAAAAGGCCTGCTGATATAATTCAAGGACTGTGAACCAAACGCTGTGTGTCAGAAACTAGGTTTAGCTGGTGGACAATGAGAGAATGAGCCCTTCCTCCCAGCGCAACGCTTATGGGGTCCTCAAAACAAAAAAAAACAAACAAAAAAAAGACTGGGGGGCAGGGAGGAGGAGAGAACTGGTGATTGCAATGCTGGCTGACTGAAAGACGAGAAGGGGAGGGAGCGAACTCCAGCACCAGGGAGCACTGTTTCCAAAAATCTCCAATTGAAGGTTCATGTGCACCTGAGGTGGAACACCCTTAGAGACACTACTCAAAGAACCACCATGAAGAACACTCTCTATGCTACCATTACTATGCCACTGTGCATATGGCTTAACCTGTTCACAGTAGTAACACAGAGCTCTCCTCCTTCACTGCCAGAGCTTCTGTGACAATGGGGGTTAAATTAGAACATTTGTGGGTGGGGAGTTTGAATTCTCCACGTTCTTTAAAACTTAATTTTGTTTGTTTGTTTGTTTATATATATATATATATATATATATATATATATATATATATATATATAAACCACAAACTGATATATTCATAAACCATCAGTTTGTGGGAGGTAAGGTGAAATCATTTACGGAATAGGGATATCCACAATCAGAGTCCATCTACAAAACTATATCCCATTAGTTTAAGGGTGATTTGTCGCAATAATCACGTGGAGAACTCTTACTACTGTTAAAGTTAGAAGACAATACTAGCACTGAGGCTACAATCAGAGTACCATGAGAACAAACTTTTTACTATTATCCTCAGAACAAGAGTCGCTTTTAGCTAATACCATCACTGGAACCAAAATCAAGGAGGAACTCTTTCTAAGAATATCCAGATTATTTATTTGCAGAAAATGTGATAGGGTTCTGTAGTATAATACCATCAGTGACAGCAGACTTTATATATCATATTCCTAAATTGCACGTTTTAGCCAAAAATTTCCAATTTGTGCACACAACCACATATTTTATCCTAAATATTACTCATGTGCACCCATACATTTTGGAATCCACAATTTAATGGTCTGTTTTTGAAAGTGGGGACCTAGAGTTCACTGCTGGGGGAGGGGGGAGAGGAGGGGAGGAGAGAAGAAAACTACAGTGATTAAATAATGTAACTCTTTTCTACAGTATAATGAACATGTCTCAATTGCATAGTATGCATTATATTGGTTAGTGTTTAATCCAGGTGAAAATTATTTTGGGGACACAAAATCAAACTTAAAATAGATTGCAAACAAAACACTTCTCTCCCCCCATATCTTCCAAGTTACAGTATAAACTTACCTTTATTTTCAGAGCAGAATCACTGTGAGTATGGGTCTTGGATAATTTCCTCATGATCTCAGCCCCAGTTACAGGCCCAGAAGAAACTCCAGCAGGTGGAGGACGGTTAGCTGTTCCTTCTAGGAGCATTGTGTGTTCACTGACTGTAGCTGAACCATGTAACAATTGTACAAATTAACTACATGTTAAACAAGTCCAAGAGTATCTATTATTATGTACGCTTATTCCCAAACCATCGTGTACACATCCATGCTTTTGCATTTTGGCACACAGACGGCAGAGACTGATCTAAGCAAAATCTAACAAAAAACAAAACCCCAAACATGTGCCAGCTGGCATTTATACAAGATTATAATGCAGTTGTCAAGCATGTTTTGAAACTACACTAAGACAGCTTTTAAAATTTTATGTCACGATGTAGCGGGGTGGTCACCCTGCTCCGGCCCTGGAAGGGTACAAGCAGCCCTGGGGAGGGCTGCAGTGGTAAAGGCAGCCCTGGAGAGGGCTGCAGCTCTGAAAGCTGGGCTGATTGGGAAAGCAGCCACAGATGTAGCTGGCTTAATAAGGGCCCAGCTGGCCCTTATAAGAGGGCAGTGGGCCAGGAGCAAGCAGTCTCCCTCTAGCCAGGGCCGGCTCCAGGCACCCGCTTACCACGCAGGTGCTTGGGGCAGCAAGTCCAGCTGTTCCGTGGCAATTCGGTGGACGGTCCCTCACTCCTGCTCGGAGCGAAGGACCTCCCGCCGAATTGCCGCCGCAGATCGCGATCGCGGCTTTTTTGTTTTGTTTTGTTTTTTTGTTTGGCTGCTTGGGGCGGCCAAACCCCTGGAGCCAGCCCTGCCTCTAGCTGAGGAGGGAGCTGGACCTAGCTGCCTGAGTGCTAAAGGGTACTGGAGCGAAGCAGGGCTGGGGAAAGGCTAGAGGAGCTGGGGAGCTCCGGGCCGGCAACTCCTCAGGCAGCAGGGCCTTGTACAAGGCCCCTGGAGGTACTGGGTTGCAGAGAAAGGCAGTAGGTCAAAACCTCCCTTGCCTATGATGACTGGCTTATACAGACTGCAGTCGGCCCCAGTGAAAGGGGGCTAGATGGTGACTGGCAGTAGCCCATAGGCTGAGGCAAGGTGGGGATAGGGAGTTGGGGATTCCCCTGGGTGGGGAGACCCTGAGACTGTGGGGGTATTGCCAGGGGGCAGCACCCCAAAGACAAAGGGCACCGGGGTCCGGGTGGGACACAGGGGCCAGCGGCAGCAGGACACCAGCCTGCAGAGGGCGCTCTGTGCTGGAAAGAGCTAATTCCCTGAGGAAACCAGCAGGAGGCACGCAGGGGTGAGACCCACAACCGTTACAGACGGAAAATACCTATTAAAGACAGACATACAGCTACAACCATTCAAATTCATGACATAAGTCTACAATGTCAGAGACAGCACATAATATAAGTTAAATGCACACAAGGCAACTAATTAAGCTGAAGTATTTTATGTTATCAAATAAGGGTGAGCAAGGAAGAAAATCAGATGTCAATTTTTCAAGACAGGTGTCAACCTCAGTTCTAGTTTAAACAAAGTTCACTGAGGTGAAGTGAGGACTGAGCTAGTACCACAGATTTAGAGAGTTTTAGCATCAGATGCCATAGCATTAGGCTTTATCTGCACTAGCACTTTTGTGTAAAACTTTTGTCAGTCAGGGGTGTGAAAAAACACACCCCTGACCAACAAGTTTCACCAACAAAAGTGCTGGTGTGGACAGCGCTACGTCGGCAGGAGACGCTCTCCCGCCGACATAGCTACTGCTGCTTGTTGGGAGTGGTTTAATTATGCTGGTAGGAGAACTCTCTCCCGCTGGCTTAGAGTGGCTACATGGGAGACCTTACTGCAGTGCAACTGCAGCGGTACAGCTGTGCCACTGTTAGGTAGTGCAGACATAGCCTTAAAAGATAAACATAGTTATTATGCTATTTTACCACAAAAGTTGTCTAAAAAAGTATTATTTGTTCCCACATCATTTGTATAGAGCATAACTGCAACACAAATATACCTGCATCAAACTCAAACTCTGCTCCATCAGCACTTGTGTCACTCTGAAGGCCACCTCCATTGTCTAATCCAACTCCATCCTCATGCTCATGGTGTGCAGTTGTCTGTGGTTTCAACGGTTGAGCTGGTCTGTGTAAGCTAACTCCTTTGAAAGCTGGTGTCACAACAATGAATTTCATCCACTGCCTAGCAAGTGCAACTAGACCTTTCTTTAAAGTCACTAATGCAGGAAGACCATCACTCTAAAAATACAGACACACACAATAACATCTTAACATAAATTGAAAAAGATCAGTGTTACAAAGCATTTTCTGATCATGCAGAACATGACCTTGAATAAAAGCTTCTCAAGAGTTTATATTTCTGCAGCTTCCATGTCCAAAAATGGAAAATGGAAATGTTTAAAGAAAACTGAAACATGACATAGAAAGGCCAATAAGTTATTGGGGGGAGGGAGGTTAAATCCACATCTTAAATTTATGGTGTCTCCCAAAATTTATAAATAAAATAGCTAAATAACAGACTATAAACAATTAATCTATAATGTAGAAATGGTGGTCTAAAAAAATTCAAGCCCTATATAATAGTAACTAATAAGCACTTTAATGTTTTTATACAGTTATCTACATTAAGACACCTGCAGTCTGTACTAGGTTTACATGCTAAACTGTAATAACCTCAATATTGTAAAACTATTATGTACACACTATTATTTACTTCTTTAAAGGATAACTCACCATGGTAGCATCCTCAATGATGGAATAATTTGCCTGATGAAGGTAGTGATGCAGTATATTACACAGCAAACAGGAAGGATTTTCTTGTAGGAAACGAGCCACTTTAGTCAGTCTGTTGTATTTGCTTCTCAAAGGGAAGTGCATACTTTTATTCTGAAATAAATATTTATACATGTATATATTTTCCCTATAGTAAATACATATAAAAATGCATGCATATTATAAACCTCTGTGTGAGCTAACAGCATCTAATGTAAGAGAGCAAGGAGCTCACTTGTATCTGGTACTGTTGTTTGCAATGTTGTTGTAGCCATATTGGTGCCAGGAATATTAGAAACATAAGATGGATGAGGTAATATCTTTTATTGGACCAACTTTTGTTGGTGAAAAAGACAAGCTTTCTAGCTACAAAGACCTGTTAAAGAGCTCTGTGTAGCTTGAAAGCTTGTCTCTTTCACCAACAAAAGTTGGTCCAATAAAAGACATTATCTCACCCATCTTGATTCTCTGGTATCTGGTAGTGAGTTTCAGCTGGTCTGACCAGTTGAGAGTACTGCAACACACTAATGCCAAAACCTGTATTTTAAAAGTGTCATATAAAATATCAATCACTAATATTATTGTCTGGTATATGTACGGAGAACAAATTCAAAATTACAAACCAATTGGAAATTACGTTCTTAAAGTGTGTCTGCTAGGCAGGGCTAGGTTGGGATAACTTCAGACGAAGGTATGTGGTTCTGCCACTTTGATGGTTCCTCCAAGATACATTAAGAGATAATGAGAATGTATTTACTTAAAAACCATCCAGCTAACAAGGGGAGGAGATAACCACTCAGGAATACAGTATGGGGAGGAGAATTGAGGAACAGATCCATTCATTTGCATCTTAGCAAACACCAGATGGTGAAGAAACCAACATGGAATTTCCACCAGAAGACTCCATGAATCCTTCCTCACAGCTTGAATGAACTTTACTTTGAGAGGTAATCTTCAGAATAATCCATTTCAAAGGTTCACTGGATTACAAAAGAGAGGGGCAAAGAACCCTAAGTTACCATTCACCTAAGATGATTAAGGAACTGAGCGCTTTGGACTTTGTGGGAAATCCTGACCAGAAGGGTGGTCAGCCATCTTGCTGGAAGGTAGACTGGTAAGGAAACTACCTGGAACAAAGGCTGTAGCTTGTTGTGTTAAGTTTTAGCCATTAGAAAGCGTCTTTCCTTTTTATTTCTAAACACTATCATTTATACTTGAATTCACTTAAAATCCCATCTCCTTTTGTTAATAAACTTGTGTTATTTTCAGTCTAAACCAACCCAGTGCAGTATTTGAATCAAAGAAATTGCTAACTCCAGTTAAAGTGATAAGATGAGCATTTTGTCTCTTTAGAGGAGCAAACAAACTGTATTATTCCTCTGAATGGTTAAGGGGTGAACCTTGCAGAGCACACAGTTTGGGGAAAATTTGGGTCGGGGGGGTGTTGCGGTCATCTTCCCACGTGTACTCAAAGCTGGTGTATATCAGAGTGTGGCTGGGGTGTAACAAGCACGCTGCTGGAAACAGTTGCTTAGTCAGAGCTGCTTAGCACACAGACATTCAGTGCACGCTTGTCTGTGGACTGTCAGTGTCCAGGCTGTTGGCCACAGCAGCAGAGCATTTAAGGCACTCAGGATTACAGGCAGGCAGTGATACAACCTTATTGGTCTGGATTGCATCCCAGAATGTGACACCATGAGCTACATGCTTTTACAGTCTGTTTTACAGTGTGATGTCAAACTCTAATGATACCACACTGTTGCAGAAGATTTAAAGAAAATCTACCTAGAAATATTTCTATGTCCATCTCCATTGACAGAGCAGGCTATCTGCTATACTATACTGTGAAAAAAAATACAATAAGAGACCACATTGCATTTTAGAACTTCTGATATGGATTACAGAAATTAATAATTCCTCCTAAGAACTGAACAAATTAATTATTTTCTAACCGTTTAATTCTAGAAGAAGTCACCCTAATACTATACATTGTTTCCTGCAGTATAAGATTTTTTATTCAAGTTTTAAGGATGTGATGACACTTAAGGTAAAGGGATAGGCAACTGTAACAAGCATTAACCTGCCAGGTCTTGCAATAGCAGACAAGGAAGCCCTGAAAAACCTTCCCACCAATGAGACTGATTTAGTGAAACAGAAGAAAAGAAAGTTTATGGCATAAAATCAGGGTCATGTGTACTCTACAACACAGTTAACCTAAATTCTGCATCAAGTCCCCCAATTTCTGCAGCTAAATTATGCTGAATTTGTCAGGAAAATGACATTTCTGCATAATCAAGTAAATTGAAAATATTTTTTACTGAATTAAATATTAAATTAATACCGTTGGTACAGTATGTCTTATGATGTTCATTTGGGTGTTGAACTCAAGTCAAATCTCAAATTTTGAATGTTTTTCAGCTGTATAAGCCAATATTTTCAATATTTACTTTGCCATAGAATTTTGTATGCTAATAATTAAACTTTACAGAAGTTGTCCAGTAAAAAAATGAAGATTTTGACAGCTGGGTAAGGTCATATGGGGCTTTTGGCACCCAAGAAAATACCTTTTAAAAAAATATGGAGGGTGATGGGTAGGAGGGAGCAAGGAAAAGGCAGTGAGAGCAATTTTAAATGTTTAGTTCCGTGCTCCAGCAAGTAGTTCACTCCTCTCCATCCCACACCCCCAATCCAAAAAATCTTTGGCTATATTCAACAAATACAGATCAATACACTGCCTGGACACAACATAAATCATGTGCAAGAATTCATTGTTTTCATTAGGTTTCAGTTTGTAGCCCACGAAGATTCACTGGATAGTTCACACATTCACAAAGGCACTGTTGCAGACACCAAATCAATTAGTATGGGGCCTAATTCTCCTCATTTCCCATTACTTTACAATGGTGTAACTCCACTGACTTCAACTGGAGACACTATTTATTAACACCAATGTGAGAGGAGAATCAGGCCCATTTTGTTCACAATCACCAAGGTTTTCTTCTCAGACATAACAGCTAGAAACTTTTCCCATGGAAGTTTAGGTTCTGCATCCAAATCACAAGGGGTGAAATCTGTGGCCAGTTCAACAAGCACTGGATTTCAGTTACAAGTAAATCACTAAAGAAGACAGACACCAAAGGAAGGTGTGTTGCTTGTGCTTATTTTAAGTCTGTTGACCTTATTTTTCAGTGAGTCACCAACCTCTAATGCCTCTGTCATTATGCAGCCCATGACAGCACAAATCCTTAGAGTTCCTTCAGTTTCTAATCTGTTTAATGAAGACTTCAGTTGATCAATGGGAACAAGCCACGCACCAACAGCAGGAGTTGCAGTGCTCAGTAGGTTCAGTTGCCTATTTGAAGAAAAATTAAATATTAAAAGACAGAATTCAAGTTCAGCAATAATTATCAGTAATGTTTCCATATGCATTAGTTTGAGTTGGATATTACATAACTAGATAGTTACAAAATGAAACAAAACAATCTTTATAGGCTTGAAAATGTTAAGCTATACAGAACAATATTATTCATATTTAAAACTGGTGCAAACTTAAATATTTGGCTCTAAATGCCAGAAGCACACTCACTAATACCCTTCTCTCACTCCTGCTACAGGCTCTCTTACTCTTCTCTCTCCTTCCTGGCATAGGGTAACTGGGTTTTCAAAGTGAAAAACAGGTCACAGGAATGGGAGTCATGCAAGGGTGTACAAGTAGTTTTGACAGATGGAAAGGGGAAAGAAAATGTAACAACTCCCTCCTCTCTCTCAAACAATACCATCACTTCCCTCAAACAATTTCACTGCCTCAGAATAAATAAAAAAAAAAAAAGTACACATTACAATAAAAGGTCAAGATGGGATAAAATTAGTATTTACCCTTATACTGGTCAAAAACCATTTTATACCCGAGACTATGTGCAACTTCAACTTTGGTATTTCCAGCTTTTTCAGTGATTACCAGTGCAAATATAATATTTTCCTGAATATTTTCAAAAGTGACTTAGGAACTCAAGTCTCACTTTCAATGACACCAAAGGCTTGTCTCTACAAAGGCAAAAAGCTCACAGTAGCTAGTGCACGCCATCCACTCCACACACTAGCTCCCCTTGTGGACACACTTATTACACATTTAAGTGTGTCTTCGTTTGCTTTAACGTAACACACTTTGGAAGTATATTAAGCTACAGTGCATAAAGACACTCTTAGTGTGTACTAAGAGTGTGCTCATGGCGGTGTTAATGCAGAGTAGTTCATGTGCTTTAACTTCACACCCTTGCTTATCCCACACTAGCTTCCTCAAGTAGTCAAGCCTTAGGCTCTTAATTGCCTAAATCCCTTTAGAAAATGGAATTTTAAGCACTTCTGAAAATATTACTCTTTCCTACACTTTTCCTATGTCATGTTCACTATTTAGTCATTTTTAATCCCTTTTAAAAAAGATAACTAGATATATCTCTATATAATGATGACAGTTATACAGGCAGTTGCATAGTACGGTGACACTGATTTGGTCTGATCTATCTACATCCCAAAGTTTTGTCATTATCCAATAATAGAAGCAGCAGCAATTACTAAGGAGGCTGCACACAGAATATACCAGATTTAATAATATACAGAGCCGCTCCTTTTATTTCTTTTAAGTCTAAGGAAGTATACCTTGAAAATTTATGGGCAGGAGAGCGCACATTAGTGGGAGCTGCAAAACTAAACCAAATTTCTTTGATTGTCAGCTTCATGCTGCAGGAGTCAGGTGGGGGAGGCATTAGAGGAAGATCTTTTTTCAGATCATCAGATTCAACTCCTTCATCCTACACAAAAAGAGGTAAAGGATAAGAGGTAAATTGTTTTCAGAGGGCAACAGGTGCTTAACAGAAAAGCATATTATGTACTGTCTGTCAAAAAATAAAATTGCATATGACATTTAACTAGAGAAAAGGAATAAAAAACACACATGCCTCACACTATCTCCCAAGATCATATTTTGATGCATCCTTCAGAAAACTGCAATTTTAACTATGTAAGCAGATACTTTGAATTCAAAGTAAGTACAGAAGTTGTTAAACTGCTACTAAAAATAATTCTGCACTATCATTAGCAATTGCTAAAAAAGAAGTCAACCCTGAGACAAGTACCAATCTGAATAATTTAAAAGGGCATGCACCCACCTGTTCATCGGAAACTGAATTTCCATTTATGTCCGAAGAGGGACTTCTATCACAAGGAAGATTATCATCAGACACATCAGTATTATAACCACTACCAGTTGGAGAATCTGAAGAATTGTTGGATGCAAGCAATCCACCCCTCTCTGTGGCATTAGATTTACCCATGACTCCAAAAGTACTATATAAAACAGCTCCAGATTGTCTTCCACCTTTAAATACAAAATTAGAGTAATTTGTTTACAAAACTCTTGGTTTGTTCCATTTATTCTATTTTCACAAACTTTTAAAAATAGTGAATTTTGTCAATTTTCCACTCCCAAGTCCCATGCAAAACATTTGTAACTCCTCTTACTTTCACAAATACTTTGCTGCATATTTTGGTTAATCCTTGTGCACATATATTTAGATACAAGTAAATTTAATACCTATTTTTGGAAAAGTTTTTATCTCCTCAAAGCAATTTTGTATGCCCTCTATCTAACTGAAACATTAAACACACAATCTACTGAAGAGAACAATTCAGATGCAGAACACATTTAGACTATTTCTTTTATAAGAGTGAGCTTCCCTCTGGAAAACAAGGCTCCAATCCTGCAAGCAGACCCCTACTGTGGGTCTGATTGTAGGATCATGGCCCAAAGGACTACTTATATTACCAATTTCTATCTTTACAAACTCAATGTTATAGACAAAACTCCCTAAATATCATTAAGGCTGAAATAAAGCTATCATTTTAACCTTTAAAAAGTTACTCTGCACTAGTATATGTCATTCTGAGCTAATTATATAGGTAACTATACAAGCTTACCTATTAGAGAATCCATTGTGTAAAGTATGTATATTCACATAAAATATAAACTATTTAATACCACCTACATTCAGTAACTTTTTAAATTAAATTAAAAATGAAGATTAGAAACTTGGAACACCTAACAGAGCATTTCATTAATTAATTACAATAATAGTAAATAATATTGATTATGTAGTATTGCAATATTGTAGCTGTACCTTTTATTGTTAAATTTTCAATTCCACATTCAAACATTATCCAGCCCCACCTCTCTTGGCTGGGACCTATTCGAGTTACATCTGGAACAGCTTGCTGATCAGTTTCATCTACAAAAGTAAACTCATCCAACTCTTCCAAAGTAAAAAGAACTTTTGACTTCTCAAAAGGAATCGCTGTTATTGCACAAGTCCCAATGTCTGTAAAAACAAGTAATTTACTTCTTTTTATACAGATGATGACAAAGAATTTATATGGATATAGCGCATTTTTATAGCGACAGCGCATTTTTCCTAAATTAAAGAGGGTTTGTTTGGATTGGGGGGGGGGAGGGTGGTACAAATCAATCATTTTTAAAAAATGACTATGCACAAAAAGGAAAGATTGAAAGAAGTGATCTTAACATTTGGAACTGCTGCAAAAAAAAAAAAAACTACTCATTAAGCATTGCTCAAAACAATTTAAAATAGTGTTTCTCTTTCACCACATCTTCCATCACCTACATACAATCTGAAAGAGCATGGAAAAGAAAGCAACGCAACAAGGATCGCAAAATTAAATTTAAGCCCAAATATATTTCCAATCTTAATGATGTTAAGGTACTGTTAGCAAAAATACGATGCTATATAAAGAAAAGTTTGTGGCTGCTTTTCAAAAATTGACCTGTGACTGGTTACAGCCTCTGAGATACTTTAGCCCTAAGGAAAAATCTTGTTACAGCACATTCCAAATGAATACCTTCATGATATCAAATGATAAATGAAATACAGTGATATTGATGTGGTTCTCTTAGATAAAAGGGAAACTTTATGGCATATAAAAAAAGTGTTTTGTTTTTTTAAAGGCACTTGCTTGAGTCCACTATATTTTGAGGGTATTTTCAAAATATATCTTCAGTACAAATTCAAGGTTTATTCAGTGGCTAGAATGTATGCCTCCGCCCATGTTGTAAGTGTGTAATGTGTATAATCAGTTCCATTGATCGCTAAGAAAACAAACCCAACATAGACTATTTTAAATTTGTTATATTACTTTCTTTGAAGTCTGAGTCAGACCCCGTGACTTGTACAAAAAAAAATAATTAGAGAAGTTATCCTAAGCATCATGTGACAGAACTGATGTATGCTGGCGAAACTCTGTCACCAAAGGGATGCTTGAAGTTAATCAAATAACAGTAAGAGAGGCATTTGTGAAACTTTGCCTCCCCTCTCCATTGAAAATGACAATGGAAAAAATATACTCACTAATGGGTATTGCATTTTAAACAAAAGATAGGACCAGCTGCCATTATTTGGAAAGCAGCTCAAATTGGTAATTTCAGTCAAAAGCTAGGAGTAGAAAAACTGAAATCTGACTCAACCTTAAATAGACAATCACAGTTGATGCCTCCAAAAAAAAAAAAAAAAATTGTTTCCACACTTATGAATAAGCCAACCTGTTGCATCAAGGCCTCTAAGCTGTCCATGAACACGATGAATGTTCAGTTTGGCAGCAATTTCTTTTCCTTTTTCTGCTCCAGCATTTGATCTCAGTGAGCCAGAAGACTGAGGCTGCATTTTACTGGCATGGATGTACCGATCAAATGTTACTGAATTCCTCCCAGTATCTGCATTGTTTGAAGTCTCTTCAATCACACCCCTTTTAAGTGAAAAGGGAAAAATAAATATAAAAATCTCAAAGACAATTATTTACCGGGTTTCTTTTAGTTTTACGCCAATTTAAAATAAAGTAGGCACATCAGAACTAAGAATTCTTTGTTCACAAAAACTAATAAAAGTTGATTAGGAAAACTAACAAAGATTTAATTCTCCCTTCAATGACATAAGTACAATTCCCTCCTGACATCACTAAGAGTTAAACCTGTGTAACTGAAGGATTAAGGCTTTAAAGATTCCAAAGTGCTCTTCCCCACCTCATTTAAAAACTAATTTATATTTAGAAATCCAGTGACAAGAAAAGGCTCAGCCAGAGCAATTTTTTCAGATTCTCCTGATCTGCAAGATATTAAGAGTTATGAATTATTAAATGTTTTGTTCTTACCTGTTCATACGAACTTGTGTAGCAATTCTATCAAAACACAAAGCTACTAAGGAAACATGAGTTACAGTTTTGCCAGAAGCAATGCCTGAGGTTTCTTCAACCGATGCTTGCAATAAACACAAGTTTACCTAAACACAAAATTCCCACAAAGAATAAAGACAGTTTTTTTAAAAAATGCCCCTTTAAAAAAAAAAAGAAAGAAAGAAAGAAATATATATCAAAGGTTTCTCATCTGATATAATCTATACCATTTCTAGTAAAAATGAAATCCAAGAGGGTGAAATAATCTAATCATATCTAAACCTTTTACAGAGTTTGAACACAAGTTCAGTCAGATAGCATTGCACTGGTTAAAAACTTTAATTTTATACTTAATTTGCATAACTATTTTACTTTGATTGAGCAGGCCGACAAAAATTTATAATCCTCAACAAAATATGACAGTCATTTATCACAGCTAGAGGTAAGCTTTTCAAAAGGTCAAAAGAATACATACTAAGGCTAGCTTGTGAACTCCTGTCATGTGAGACTACACATATGCACAGAAAATTATTACCTTGGGTATGGTAACATTGGCCTGAAGACCTTTAATTTTCACATTATCTTGCTTAAGTGAAAGATTAGTCTGTGCCTGGCCTTGGTTTGTTGTTCCTGTAGCAGGGTTCTCTGTTTTTGTTCCTCTAACATCCTGTTTGGAAGATAACTTAAAAAAAAATGTGGTACCAGTTAGTAATTTACACTAATTGAAACCTATCAAAATATTTTTTAAATATTGGCTCAGAGGCATTACAGTGCAATAGACTCAGGTTTGATTCCAACCTATGGTGTCATGATTTCTGGATCATCCGAGTCTGAGTGTGCTACAAAGGGTTGTGCCGCTCAGCACATAAATTTCAACTGATTAAAGATCCAAAATGAACTCCAAAGAGTTCCTCTGATCTAAAAGATTAGTTGTTTTGATAGGGAACCCTCAGGAGAGGTCACAAGGTAAATTAAAAATATAAGGAATCATCAGCAAGGATAGAAAGAATTCCTAGTTGTGGAGGAGGAGAATTGTACAATTAGTTTCAAAAGACTGATAGGAAGGTAGGGACAATTTTGTAAGGTATCAGATGGCCTGCCTTTCTGCCATTCCCCTCTCATAAAAAGATAGATGTGCTTTTATGGCTTCATTTCAGCAGAACCCTACCCCACAATCACAAAGCACAACTTTCTGGAAGTATTCTAAAACATTAACTGTGATAAATTATGTATTGCCAGTATACATTCCACTAAAAAAATCTGTTGGAAGAATATTGACCCATCACCAGCAGAGCTATGTCAAATTTACAGCAGCCAAAGATCCAGCCTTATATGTATTGTACTAAATTATACTAATTAATGTCACACTTTCTCAAATATAGTACAGTCATATAGATTTTTCTGCTATGCTATTGAGTAAATAACTGTTCTGTAACTGTGGATCCTTGAGATGTTGTCACCATGGATCCCACTGTAGATGCACATGTGCCTCGTGCTCAAGATTGGATTCTTCTGAACAGCAGCATCCAGCAGGCTCGACGGTACTCACAGCTGAGATGTCTGTCACGGGTACTACCCATGCCGATGTCTAGGGCATTGACATCAATATCACTGGCTCTGGTGCCATCAGCACTGGAGTTGCAATGGAGCGTACAATCTCTACAGCACTGATGACGTTGGCACCAGACTTGACATTAGTGGGGAGTGGCACTCTTGAGGTCTTTTAACCTCAGTACCAGAGAACTTAGGAGAGCCCTTATCAGCCAAAATCCTATGATTCGAGTTCTTGTGAGAGCCCGAGGAGCCCTTTTTGGGTCTTGACTCAGTCTCCTCCTCCCGAGAGCTGGAAGATGGCCCCAGGTAAGAAGAGGGAGCCTTTGCTCCCTGTGTGCCTTCACAAGTTTTTGTCTCTTGAGGGACAGGAGGTAGCCAGAGGACCAGCCAGAGCACTGGGGGATGATGAGTTCTTTGTCCATTCAGCTCCAGATTAGATGCATGGATTTTTCCATGAGGTACTCCCTCAGGAGTAGGGTGACCAGATAGCAAGCGTGAAAAATTAAGATGGGGGAAGGGTGTAATAGATTGCCTATATAAGACAAAGCTCCTAATATTGGGACATCTGGTCACCCTACTCAGAAGTATCTCATGAGATTTCTGCATCCCAGAAAGACCTGCAGATGACCATCTGTCCATTAGGTGCCCTTTGCCTTAACATATCAATGTGTATGACCATCACTAAGGGTCACAACAACAGGAAGGGCATTTTTTACATTTTAAAGTGGCACTCTAGTTCACCTCCAGAAAACAACAGAAATTCCCTGCTCAAGAAACAAGAAAAGTAAACACTAAAATCTTACTATTTATTTACACAACAGCAAACACACACTATGAACTATCTACATATTAAACAAATAAAAGACCATGAGAGCTCCAGGTAACACCGGAGTTCCAACTCATAGCCACAGGTGCTAAGGAGGAAGTAAGGGAGGAGTCGGGTGACTCCATCCTTTATGCCATTAATGGCAGCACAAGCACATGCAGGGTACATGCACCTCTACAATGGACAGTGCTAGCTAAAAATCTTTGACTCAAGTGCACTGGGCATGCAGACACCTGGAGTGGAATATGTATGTACTCAATCACTTGAAGGAGAACATTTGGTTATAACAAATGTGCATGCATCCTTAACTATAGGATAAGATAAAAATTTAATCTGAAATAAAGACATTTATAATGTTATTTGTTGTGTATCATCCCACCCAATCTAATAAAAATATACATGCTTCTGCTCCCCCAAAACATCCTGCAGTTTTGTAGTACCCTTACGTTCTCTGAAAAGGTTGTTTTGCTGTTCTGTACAGCTTCTCTGAGGACCTTATAATGTAGATCATCCACAATTGCTGCTGGGTGTTGAGTGCTAGCACAATGTACCATTGCTTCTATATACCTATAGGAGAAAAAAAAATCAGTTCACAAAAGAAAAATTAATTCCTAACAAGGGGTCAGAGCAGGTCACAAGTCACTACAATATAACATTTTTTCTAGCTCTCCTGTTAGACGTGAAATTACATAAATTGGCGGTTTTGGGAGGGGGGGGGAAATAAGAGCAGGACATCAGCTGCTATTCTATGTATTATATAAAATCAGCTCTTTTTCCAAAGCCTATATACAACTAGTCTATCCAAAAAGTTTTTATTTTAGCAATTGATCTTCTAGTATCTAGCAATTTTAAACATCTATCTTAAAGTAAATGAAAATAAAATACCTGTCTAAAGCTTCTGCTACCAGAGGAGTAAGAACAACATCTACAGTTCCTTTTACTTCCACTATTGCTGTTGTTCTAGTCTGGGAGACCGGATGATCCAGGGTCCATTCCTCTGTGATTGTTTCATCATCTGTATTATCCATTGTTTTCTTTTCCAAAGGAGTATAGGGTGTACTAAACAAGTCAAACAGAAACTCATTATTTAGATTTTCAAAATAGGCATTATAAAATTTATAGTTAACATTATATTTTCTAATCCTATAGTTTGGTATGACAGCTACTCCAAAAGAATCAGAGCCTTGGGTTGGAGATTCAACACTAAACAAATCTTCTATTTATTTAAACAGAAGATTCTCTGGGGATGAGGAGTGTCTTCAAGACACAGATACTTTTCAAAGTAAGCACAACAGACTACATATTTAATAGGCTATGTATAAGAACCTCAAATGTGAAAAGTACCTATGTACGTATGCTAGAACTATGCATGCAAGTAAGCATTCCCCAATTCAAAGATTGCAAAACAGGCCTCTCAGTTCGCTGAAATTCTTCTTCCCCAGTATTACTGACGTTAACATTGGTTAAGTCCGTGTTAAAACAATATTTGTCATGGCAATTCTCAACATTAATGGAATTTTTATAACATGTTGCAGAAAGGATGGTCTTGAGAGTCCCAGTCTAATGTTTTAGTCACAATAGCCAAATTCTACTTTTGGTTCTGCCACAGGCTTCCTGTGGTACCTTGGCAAGTCGTAGTTCACAATATGTAAAATGGGAATATTATTTCCCTACACAAGGGCAATCCTTTAATGTTTGTGAGGTGCTCATATATTTTGGTGACGAGCAACACAGAAAAGCCTTTAAATAAGACATGATATGTCATTCTAAAATAGATATATAACAAAAATGCTGCTGATACCAGCCTGATTTTAATAAGGCTAGCAAGAGCTGCAACAGTTGAAGTATTACACAAACTCAATCACCTCTCATTTAAAGCCATACCAACATTATAATGTAGTGGTCCCCAAACTTTTTACCTCGCCCTCCCCCTTACTCCTGTCCATGCCCCCCGTTTCCCCCAAGCTGGGGCCAGGAGTGGGGCTGCGGCTCCAGGAGGGGAGAGATGTGGATGGGTTAAGGGGGCCAAGGCTGGGAGCAGAGTCTCGGCTGGGGCCAGCAGCCACGGCCCCAGGTGCAGGGCTGGCAGCCATGGCCCCAGGGGCCAGCAGCAGGGGTGGAGCTGGATGGTGCTCCCTCCCTCCCCACCCCCAAGGGGCTGGCCCAGGCCCCAGCAGCACCCCCCCAAATTTTCCTCTTCACTCCCCTGGGGGAGCGCACCCCACAGTTTGGGGATCTCTGCTATAATGCAATCTTTTACTCACTTGGATGTTGATCCTGTAAGCTGCATGCCTCTGTCCAGCAAAGCATTAGCTGTGAGACCCTGTTTAACAATCTAAAACAGTACGAAACAATTACTTCTTTGAGTTTATAAATGACTAATATATTCCTTGAATACTATAACTTCAAGAGAAGATTCCCATTATTGTGTTTTCTGCTCCCCCCCCCCAAGAGTGGCACTCCAACTATATATCTGGGGTTTTTTTTAACATATTGTACATGAATTCCATCACTAAGCTGCATTTTTATAACCATTTAAAGATAATATCCTGAAATTCTCACATGAAAATTAATACAATGAATAAATATTATTTGAAAATTTTTACACAACTATTTAGGAAAAGTAATTATGAAAGATTAACAATATCCAGTGTTTCTTTGACTCTAAAAGCACATCTAAAATTAGCTTTCATTGTGTTCATTACTTACATTTCTACAAAATCATTTTAATTATTTTTCATATGATATGAAAATTGCAAATTTAATATAGTATAGTGTTCAGTAAACAAAGGGGTTAACCCAGTGGAGCCATGATTTCACATTTGTACAATTGCTGATATTCAGTTTCATACTGGCATCTACTTGAAAAGAGGGGAAGGAGGCTAGGTTATCCTGAAATCAAAAAGCAATGGAAAACTTGCACCCAATAATATTGCTGCACAAAGAAAACAAACCAGAAACATTTTGTTGTAAGGGAGATATTTGCTTTCCTGTGTTGAATCCTAATATGCAAACAAGCCTACTAAACTAATTCAGAGCACTGGGAGGTACTTTTCTGAGTCTTCACTAAACTGTACTAGTCTATAGTCCAATGGTTCTTAAACTTTTGTACTGGTGACCCCTTTCACCTAGCAAGCCACTGAGTGCGACCCCACCTTATAAATTAAAAACATTTCTTTATATATTTAACATAATAATAAATGTTGGAGGCAAAGCAGGGTTTGGGGTGGAGGCTGACAGCTCGCGACCCCCTCAGGGGTCCCAACCCCCAGTTTGAGAACCCCTGGTGTATATTTATTTTTTTTAAATTTTCTTTTAATCAATTCTCTGCCCCCAACACAAACATTTGGGCCTCATGGATCCTAAGTTTTCATATATTAATGTACCATTCAAAAGTCTTATTTAGATTTTAGTAGCTCCTTCAAACATATACCGTCACACAGAATACTTAAGACTCCTGAGGGAATTCTGCACCACTGCGCACACCCACAATTCATGTCTGGTGCAGAATTCTTTTCCCCCCAGAAAATAGATTCTGCCCAAGAATGCTACAGTTTGGCCTTTCACCCACCAGATGCTGCTGTGGCACCAGAACAGCCATCTGACTGGCAATAACAGCTAGCAGCCAACTGCATTAATTACAGCAACCTGCCCATGGAGCCAGGGTAGGAGGGAGAGTGGGACACATGGGGCTGCTGCGGGGGTCACAGACTGGGGTTCAGAAGGGCTGGGGGGAGCAGACTAGGGCACAGGCTCAGGAGCAAATGGAATGACAGCATTGAGCCAGGGGCTGAATGGGAGGGGGGCTCCAGGGCTACATGGGGACAGCGGGTTCAGGGACACACGGGGACAAGGGCAGATGTGCATGACTGAATGGGAGAGGCTCGGGGTCAGCCAAGGTCTGCATGGGGGAAAACTCCCCAACACCATAACAATCCCTTCCCTTCCCCGCCCAAAAGAAACTGTTCCTTACTTCTCCCAACCACACCCAACACCCCCCCAGGTTCACCCCCAGGCTCCTTTCCTCTCCCACAGCTCCCCCTTTGCCCCTGCCTCCCCCAAGCTTTTGCACTGCTTCTGAGGGGTGGGTGAAATATGTTTCTGTATTGTAGTTTAAATGAATTATTCAAAGTTCTATATTAATTTGCCTAGTAAAGAATCTATTTGTCAAAAAACATTTCCTGAATCTTTTTTTTTTTGGTCTGTATTGTTACAGAAATACTTACTGACAGGTATTTTGAAACAAATTACCAAAACGATTGAAACTAGTGTGACTATATTGTGTTATTTTGTGCAGAATTTTTAATTTTTTGGTGCAGAATTCCCCCAGGAGTAACTTAAATAGGAAATAAAGCCAAATCTCAGCACCTTGTTGTCTAAATCTGCTGATTCCCAACTTTACTTTGATGTAGAGCTGTTCACAGCCTATATGACACAGTATGGTTAACAACAACTAACTGAAGTGTTAAGCTTTTGTGGAGGAGTTAATCAAGTATACTGTAAGCAC